TATATATATATATATATATATATATATATATATATATAGTTCCTCCGCCCTGAAGAGAAGATAAAGTGAAGTGAAGATTAGGGTTTCGTCCTGGTTCCCAGCCGTCGCCTGTGGTGTTGGGTATTAGACCGTTGGTTCCGCTGCTGCTGTTGTTGGTGTTCGCCTCGTCCGTGTCATCGGTTGTATTCTCGGGCTGTCTGAGCTGCAACCTAAGTTAAGGTAAATAAGTCCTCTATTTATTTTAAAGATTGCTATGATTCATATTTGTCACCGTGGGTACCAGCACTATGTCCTAGGACTGGTACCGAGATCGCGGTTTTGTAGGAAGCGGTTCGCGCCGTTTTCCCTACGACACGCTCCTATCAGGTGCCGTTGTACGGCGGTATCAGATTGGGGTGTGACAACTAAACCATAAAACAATAATAAAATTAAAATAGACTTCACCCGTTGCAACGCACGGGCATTTTTTCTAGTTGAGACAAAAATAACAAATCTGACTATGAATAATAGTGCTTGTACTACTAATTAGGGTGTAATCTAGTAGTATTTTATTACTCATGTTGTGGATCAAATTTGAAAATGACTTTTTTGGTGGATGTAGACGAGTATCAGTTAATGTTGTCATTCAGATTTTTCTTATAACTATTTGAGTAGTATTTAAGATTTACAGAGAAACGAGTACTGGACATACAGTTAGGGGAGAAAAGGAAAAAGCAGTTCCAATCGATGTCAAAGTAACTAGGTGTCAGCCAAAGTAACTAATTAACAATGAACAAGTAAGTATGTAGGGTTAACTATACTGAACTGAAAATAAATGCCATATATATATAGTTGCATGGAATGGAAGATGAATATATATATATATATATATATATATATATATATATATATATATATATATATATATATATATATAGAGAGAGAGAGAGAGAGAGAGAGAGAGAGAGAGAGAGATCTCTAAAGAGAGATGAGTAATAATTGGATCAGTAGGAGATGTGGCAGGTGGTGGGGTGGAAGTGGTGGGGATTATGATTATTAGTGGTGGTGGTGGCGTTGGAAGGAGAAGGGTGGAGGCGGAGCCTGAGGGGGCAGTCGAGCTTGATGTTGGGGCCGGGCAGCCTGATAATGGCGGACGGCGTGAGCTTGATCTCGGTCTTGGCGGCCATGGTGACGTGGATGGAGTAGATGCCCTCGGTGTCCTCGCGGCGGAAGGCGGCGGCGGCGAGGCCGCCCAAGAGCTGGTGGCGGCCTTGGAAGGAGGGGGTGATGCGGGTGGTGTTGGTGGAGGCGGGCTGGGAGAAGTCAGGGAGGAGGGCGTGGGCGAAGCGCTGGTCGTGGTAGTAGGCGTCGGCGGCGATGGAGTGGTAGCGGAGGGCGAGGCGGGCGTTGTGCCTCGTCAGGTCCACCCCCACCGACAGGTTGTAGCTCAGCGTCCACTCCTTGAGCGCCAGCGAGAAGGTGGACAGCTCCGCCCCCGCCGCCGTCGCGTGCAGGAGGTTTGGCCGGAACATGAGGTACACCACCATCGCCACCACAAGCACGCACCCCATCCCCGCCACCACGCAGCTCGCCACGCCGCACACCGCCGACCGCCGGCAGGGGTAGCAAACCTCGCCGCCCGCTCCCATTCTACCTCGATCGCATCGACCAGATGACTGGAATTGGATGCGAGACGAGGGGAGTAAGGCGCTGCATGCTTATGCCCCTCTTTGCATGCGTTGAACTGGCAACGTACCCACTGCAACCTGCAAGATAAGGCCTAACCAGCCTAGCCTGCCCAGCCACATCATGGCCCACTTACTTCCAGCCACGGCCCAACTGGAAATGGGCCGCATCAAACAGTTTAACAAACAAGAGAAAGTTCTCCTTGATCACATCCCTCAACTAGGGGTCGAGTTTTATCTATATATTATATTGACGGTGATTTTTGACTGACATGGTGCCCTCGTGGCACATTGATATTATCATCATCCTACGTGGCGTCTAGGTGGTGCATACATAGCCCCAACTTATGAAAGTCCCTGATATGGACCCACACATAAGTCTACGAGAAAAATATAGTGAGGTCCGCATATCATCTCCCCCTCTCTCTACACTTTTATATTCCTCTTGATGTCTTGGTTGTCCACCGCCACCGGGCACCAAGGGCAGTACAAGGAGGTGCTCCCTTCAAGCCTCACCTATCCCCTCCCCCCTCCCTCTGAGCTGGCAGCCACAACGCCAATGCCGAGGGATGTTACCAGGGCAAGATTCTCCGACAACACAGCCTATTCGGTTGCAAAGAACCCTGCCACCACACGAATCCCCTAACCTTGTGAGGGCCACAAGGAAGGAGCAACAAGGGCCACAAACTGGCACTCCACCAGCTCCCATTGGAACACCTAATGTCTCTACCATCGGGATGAGATCGGTGGCGGGTTTAGGTGGCATTGCTACCTACTCCCAACATGGTGGGATGGGACTGGGCTCGCAAGTGGCAGCCGGGGGAGGGGGCATCTCTGCATGATGATAGCGGGCTAGAGGACGTCAGTCTCGCATCGTCGCTGACCGGCTCAGCCCTCCTCGTGCTTCCCCTCTCATTCCCTTGGCTCTGTCGAGATCCTTCGTAGCCTCACACGGTCGATGCGAGTGCAATGCGCGAGGAACACCGATAGTAGCTAGGGAGAGAGAGGGGGTGGAAGGGGAAGGAGATAAGAGTGAGGATGACACCTGGTCCAACTGCACTTTTTTATTTTTTAACTAGATACCCACTGACATGTGGGTCCCACATATATGTTTTATTTTTAACAGGATTCCCACTTACATGTGTGTCCCATTGTTTTTTCCTCTAGTGACACATAAGCATCATGTAGGCACCTCGTGGGACGAAAACCCAATTGAATAAGCATCCCACGTCAGCCAAAAAGCTCTTGGTACCGCAGAGGAATTTGATTTTCATTTATTTTGGATATAGGGAATGCTTAATACCCGATTTTATGGTTGATATATAGATGTACATTACTACTCTACCTCTATTTGAGTGACTTAAAGTGAACATTTTTTAGCAAACAACTAGTAGGGCCTAGCTACCGCTCCTTTCTCTCCTTTCTCTCTCACGAAACCATGGCATGGCAAGTTGGCAACTCCTCCTATTTCTAGGCTGCGGTGGCGCCGCAGCTACCACCGTCGTCCATGGAATGCCGGCCACTCTCACCCTAAAGCCTGCGACCTCGACTATCGCCTGCGATGGAATGGGACCCTCCCTTTTAATTTGAGCAGCCAAAGGTAATTAATACTTCTTCTATTTGTTCTTTAATATATGACATTGTTGATTTTTAGATATATTTGATCATTCATTTTATTAAAAAGTTATTGAATTATTATTTTTTTTATTATGATTTGATTTATCATTAAATATTTTTTTAAGGATGACTTATATTTTTTATATTTATATAAAATTTTTAAATAAGATAAATGACTAAAAGTTTATCAAAAAGTCAACGGCGACATATATTAAAAACAGATTTAGTAATAATCAGCCCTGGTTTCTGTTTCTCCCCTAAAATCCATCTCCATCTACTATTTGAAGAAATTAACAGGGTAGCTGATGGTATGTGTACGGTGCTAAACCTCCAAATCGGATATTACTACTCCAGTTGGTAGTGCAATGTCATGTCGAATTGATGATATTTTCCTTTTAAGTTTGCTTCTCTATCACTCTATCTGCACCCAGCCCAACTACTTTGCTTGGATCTTAATTACACAGTCCGTCAAACCCAAAATTTACTAGTCAAAACTCAAAACAGATATGATCTTTCAAAAATCAAATTACGAGTAACAAGCTAGGGCCAAAACAAAGTACACCCAGTAAACCTTCAAAGAAAAAAGAAAACCCACCAGTATTGTGCCTTAAACAAAATCCAAGGAATTGAATTCTGTGAAACACAGGGGTATTAATTATTAATCTTGACATATCCATGAATTTGTATTCCGGCAGTTACATATTCTCGTATGTTCATCCTGGTGGCAATTGTATTATTGCGTATCACATATTCACATTAGTTTATAAATTGGTGTCAAAATTTTAAAACTTATTTTAAGGTTGATTTTAAAGTTTATTTTGATCGTAGTTTATTTTTCGGCATCGACTTTTAAATCGTGAGTAACACACAACTATAAAAAAAATTTACCTACAATATTTTTTACTTCTGTTCCATTTTCATCTAAGCAGCTGTAGGCTAAACGATCGGACCAAGCCAACTTTGCTAAGGTCTCCTTCGAAACATATGAATTTTTCATAAGAAACATTTCAATTTTTCTAAATTTTTTATGAAATTCCTCCAATCCAAAATAGGCCTAGGACCGGCCGGCTGTGAGGATCAAATAGTGCAGGCAAAGAAGATAAGATTGATGCAACAAGCCACATATATACATGTAGAGATATGTATATGGGTGTAGGTGTTTGCCCCACTTAGTTTGGACAAATGCACGCAAGAGTCCAGAAATGTCATCATGCAACTATAAGGACATCTCAACTCCCAACCATCTCCTTTTCTTTTCTTGTTCTTTTTTCCTGACAATCAATTTATTTGCTACTTCTCCACTCAACTGGACATATAGATCGATCTTTCTAGCTAGTGATGAGTACTGATACTAGCATGTCAACAAATTAAAGGAGCTAGGTAAGGTACCTGGTGACCAATCCTTTGACAACTCGTTAATTAGTGAGTATTAATTAACAATGGCAGGTAATTTTCATCTGTAATACCTTTTTGTCAATAAATTAATGTTCCGGGCTGGCGTTGGACAACTGCTGTAGTTTCCTAAAATAAATAAATAAATAAATAAATAAATAAATAAATAAATAAATAAATATATATATATATATATATATATATATATATATATATATATATATATATATATAAGCTAGACGGACGTTTCATGTATCAATTGTAATATGCCTAGCATTATTTCTGCTACTAGCTTGTTTAATTTATTGATTAATAGCTAGAAATAAATTGAAGGTGAAGACGAACACTCTTTGTTGAAAAATGAACAGAACATTAATTGATTACAATGTTGCAACTATGTAGTATGCATGTGAAGATAAGTACAATTATTATATATTCTAGTAGTAATTACAAGATTGTAGCAATTGCTTAATTATCCCCTCTCTATATGCGAATTATTACTACAAGTAGCTGTACACCTGAACCATGCAGCTAGCCACAAGCATGGCACTGTACGTAGTACCAAAAAAAACACAGGCATGAAAATTAAGTAAGAAAAAGGTCAAATTAATTCGTACTGTAAATACATAAAACCACTGGTGGCAGGCATATATGCAAGATTACTCCGATCCTCACTCGATCAGTTGAGCTGAGCTTTTAATTATATAGCTTCTTCATCAGGGCTGTGCTTGTAGAATGTAGATCGATCAATTAAGCAAGCAATTATATATGGAAGGAGGAGAATTAATTAAGGATGATATGATTTGTTGGATGCATGAGAGGAGGATGAGGAGATGGATGGATGGATCAGACGTCGACGACGCAGGCGGCGGCTCGCTGGAACCTGAAGTAGCCGTTGCCGCCGCCGGAGTTGGAGCCGTAGCTTCCCCGGCCGTCGTTGACGATGAGCAGGGCGGGGCACCTGACGCGGAGGTGGTAGTGTCCGGTGATGAAGGCGCCGGCCTTGTAGCGGATCCAGCCGTCGACGCGGATGGTGACGAGCAGGTAGCCGGCGGTCTCGTCCTGGGTGATGGAGACGGCGAGGTAGGGCGGGAGCTGGACGTTGTTGCCGGAGAGGAAAGGGGACCAGACGGTGAGGTCCGGGTGGCCCTGGTACACCGGCGGCAGCGACGTCGGCACGGTGATGCGGAGGCCCTTGTACTCGGCGTACACGTCGGCGCGGTCGTAGTAGATGCCCACGCGCTCGTTGCCGTTGCGGGCGGCGAGGGTGGTCTGCATGGTGACGGTGAGGAAGGAGAAGTAGCCGGAGGAGGCGGTGGCGCCGGCGTAGGAACCACCGGTGGTGACGTTGAGGCAGACGACGGTGAGGTCGTTGAGGTAGAAGCGAGGCTTGGTGGGGCGGAGGATGAGCCAGACGATGAGGACGATGAGGAGGAGGAGGAGAAGGATGCCGAAGATGGCCGCGCAGCAACGCCGGTACAGGCGCTGCCGCTCGCAATCCTTGTGTTGCTCGCAGTGCTTGATCGACATTATATATCTATATTCTTGCTAGCTAGCTAGTACTATTTCTCTAAATTTCTTGTGTAATTCTTCCCAACTCTCTCTCAATCTGCTACAACTTGTTGCTTCAATTCCTTGTAGCTAGCAACTAACTGGGACTAATAATCGATCTTACTAATAATTGAGGGGTATGGTAGGAAAGGAATAATTGAGAGGTATGGTAGGAAAGGAAGGGCAGAGAGTGAGTGAGGAGTGAGCTCGCTAGCTACCAACAACAATAAGCTAGGTAGGAGGAGGAGAAGAAGATGGACAAGTAAGTGGAGAAGAAGAAGAAAGAAGATGGACAAGTAAGTGAAGAAGAAGAAGAAGAAGATAGTTGGTGGCAGGCCACATCTAGCTATCTATCGTTCGATCGCTACATGTCATGCATCCCCATGTGGGGTGCCTAGCTCTCTCGGTGTTCTTTCTTTCTTTCTTTCTGTTTTGCACGCTCGTACGTACTCCATGCTTTCTTCCTGTAATAAGCAGACACATTATTCAGCATTCAGCTGCGTGATTAATTTGACTGCATCATGCAGGGCTCTCTCTCTTTTGTTACCTACCTATGTGAGATCTACTAGCACTAGTAGTTCACAATTGCCGAAATTTCCCAATCGATCTTTCTGCACTTTAGATGTGCCTAATTAATTAAACAGATACTTCAGAGGCTGGTTATTATTTGTTTTTCAGGTGAAAGTAATTAGTACCAGCACGAGTAGCTAGCTAGATAGAGGTGGGAGAAACACTATTTTTTTTAAAAAAAAACATTTTTCGTGGAGAACAACCCTTTTTATTACTAGCGGATTAAACATATATACGCTTGTAAAAATGCTACCGCTGTGGGCGGAAAGACTGTGCCATGCTGATAGGACTGTTATCGAGTCCTATAAACATATTCTATCCTCTCATCTCCGTTCAAATACAACTTAAAGTCCCTATACTCCAACTTCCTTTTAATTGAAATTCAGGTGGGAAGCTCTCCCCAGGATGACCAGTCTAAAAAAACAGAGTTGCTAGAAATATGGCGCCATATGCTATAGTCGATTTTTTTTCAACCACTTACACAGTAGTTATACCTCATTTACACCCCACTTACATATATAATTAGTATGTAATTTTCGAATTTACATATGCAATTTTAGTACTTACATATGTAATTTTGAGACTTACATTGTAAATACACTAAAATTACATATGTAATTTATGGACTTACAATATAAATACATGCCGACTATTTTTTAATGAAAAATATGGCGCCACAAATATAGCTACACAAAAAAAAAATTGTATTGAAGGGATTTCCGGTCACGGATCACCGGCGAGAATCAATTTTTACACCAAACTGCCTAGGAAAAAACGTTTCTTGCTGATGGGCTTCCTAGGGCATAGTTTGCGAAAACATATATCCGTTGGCGGCATAAAAACCGTCAGCGATCATCATCGATGGTTGCAGGCAATCTGTTTCCGTCAACGAAACTAAAAGTGAAATCATAAGTAATTTCCCATTTTGTAGTAGTGAAATCATAAAGGTGGAATTAAAAGTGTGAGTGATTGAGGGAGTGTGGCATTAGCTCGCAAAAGTGGATATATATACATAGAGAGAGAGATGGCGGCAGGTAAGCTGTCAAATTCAGACAAGTCCATTTCATCAACATCAACTTTTTGTTTCTCTGTTTTAAATTCTTTTTGGAGAAAAAAGAAAAAGGAACAGGACGATCGAGAAAAAGATAGGAGGCAATCGAAGCCAGGGATAAGTGGATCACAATTAACTTAGGCACGCAGAGGCCGATAGATCACCTGGCTTCTTGTCAGTCTCAATTTCGATCTGAATATTGTTTTGCTCCAGTAACTGCACGTATACATGTTTAGTTACAAATATGTAGCATATCACGTCATTTCTCATTTCCTCACATGCATGTGCCGGCCTGCCTGCCGGTTAGCTCTAGTAGCAGGGGCTGGCTAACGGGCGATCGATCTCCATCCACCCCTATACACTTCTCTCCCCCCTTCTTCCTCCCTTCTTCTCTTCCTACTACACTATAATTTTTTTTACAAAAATAAAAAACAAAGTATATGTATATATATATATATATATACACACACACACACACACACACACACACACACACACATGAATCGGGTATGTAAACTTTTGACTTATAAACTTTGGGTCTATAAACTTTAGATGTATAAACTTTAGATGTATAGAAATACTATATATAAAAAATATTTGAATTCAAATTCAAATTTGAATCGGATATATAAACTTTTGATTTATAAACTTTGGGTCTTTAAACTTTAGATGTGTAAACTTGAGATGTACAAACTTTAAGTGCATAAATTTACTAAAATAGAAAAGTAATATGGTGCCAAAAAAGAAACCAGGTAAAGGGAGGGGATCCGAATTTGATCGCTCCTTAGCAATCTCGCTAGTAGCGTGCCATCCACCGATGGATGCATGTTCACTAATCCAGCACTCAATTAGATCAATTAGCTTGATTAGTTAACAAAACAATTAAGGGTTGAATCAAAGTAAGAGGCAAAATAATTATGTTTCCTGCGTCGATACGATCCACGTCCACCACTACTTAGAAAAAGAGTTTTTTCTGGCGGTCAAAATTGATTTTTTTGCTTGCGGGTAGCCAGCAAAGGCTAGTGAAAAATGCATTTTCACTGGTACGCAGCCGGCTGCCAGCGAAAATCAAGTTTCGTAGGCAGCATGTTAATACAACCGCTCACAAAACTACCATCTTCACTGGCAACAATTTAAGAGGACCACCAGTGAAAATATTTTTTGGGGGTAAAAACAATTGAAAATCAGTGCGCGCTGGCTACCATGGCCGCATGCACCGCCCACCGCCTAGCCCCACCATGGAGGCTCCCTTGCCACCACTGAGCCCTATTCACAGTTGGTCACCGCCGCCACCGGTCGCCACCGCGGAGCCTGTAGAGGAGAGGCTCCCTTGCACCACCTCACTCTACTGAGCCCAGCTATCGCCACCAGATCAAGCGCCTGCAGGAGTCCTCGCCGCTGGTCCGCCTCCTGCGCGAGTCGCCGCCGCCACCTAGGGATGCAAGCGGGGCGGGCAAGCGGGTTTTTTTAACCCGCTTATCCCACTTCTGGTTCATTTTTTCTTCTAAATTTTGTACTACCATATGAAAAATAAACTAGCAAGCGGGTTTTTATGCGGGTAGCGGGACTACCCACTTGCATCCCTACCGCCACCCCCTCCCCTTTGCCTCCGCCGAGCCCGAAGAGAAGAGACTCCCCTATGCCACCCCACTCTGCCGAGCCCGGCCACCTCCCTAATGCCTTACTGCCACGGCCGCCGCCCTCTAGGTCCGCGCTCGCGAGGGAGAGCTCGGCCGGCCGGCGGTGGTTCCGCCGCTCCGTGGCCCGCTGACGCTGGATTTGGAGCCCTTCGTCGCCTCCGTAACGCCCTACCGGAGCCATCACCGTCATGGCCGCCACCCTCCGGATCTGAGCCCGCGAGGGAGAGCTCGGGCAGCCGACGGTGGATGTACCTCTCCGTGGCCCGCTGACGCCAGATCCGCGGAGGTCGATCACGTGCCGTCACCATCGCCGCCGAGCGGTGTCACCGCCAAGCCCCGCCATGCACCGCCGATTCTTCCCCACGCGTTACCTCCGAGTCCCCTCCTTGTCGCCGCCGCCGCCAGTGGGGATGGAGGAGGAGATTGGTGCGACGACTTACGGTGGGTAAGGAAGGCGCCACTGGTGAGGGAGGAAGAGAGGGAGGCGGTGGGTTGGGGGATCTGGAGAAGAGGAGGCGATGGGTGGGTGGATGTGGAGATCCGGTGGGTGGTGGTGGTTTTTAATGTCGTAAATTTGTTTTAGTGTGCCGATGTTTTTCACTAGCGGACCTATTTAGCCGCCTCTGGTAAAAGTAATTATCATTTATTTTACGGTGACTTAATTTATCGTCAAATGATTTTTAAGCATGATTTATTTTTATATTTACATAACATATTGAATCAGAAGAATGGTTAAGCGTTTGTAAAAAAATTAATGGCACCATATATTAAAAAAGGGAGATAGTAGCTCGTGAAGCATGCTGGTTGGTGGCAGATCATGCTCGATCGCCCCCATCGTCGCCCAGCTTATATTCCTCGTCCAAACTAAAGAAACAATTAAGCTCCATCGGAGACGGTCATTATCTATAGAGTAAAGTGCACGGGCGGTCTCTAAACTTGTGTGGGTGTGTCAACTAGGTCCTTTAATTCTCAAAATAAATTTTTGGGTCCCTCAACTTGTCTCGGGTGTCATATAGGTCCAAAAGGGTTTCAACCCGCTCCGTGTGCTGACATGGCATGCCATGTTGGCGCCTACGTGTTAGTAGAACCCATATGTCAGCCACATATAGAAAAAAAAGGACATATTTTTTCTCCTATCTTTTTTCATTTATTTTTCAAAAATTAAAACATCATTTTCTTCTCTCTTTTTAAATTTTATTTTTTTCTACATGATTGACATGTGGATCCCACTGACACATAAGAGTTACTGTGGCTTGCCACATTATCTCATAGAGTGGGTTAGAGCCCGTTTAGACCTATATGACACATGACGAGTTTGGGGACCCAAAAATACATTTTGAGAGTTTAGAGATCTAGATGACAACATATATATATATAAACTTAGGCTAATAAAATCTTGCTACTAAAAATATCATGCACTCTTTAGTTTTAAATATCTAAAGAGTAATTCCTTTTTAGGATATTGCTGGCCTCGGCCGCCCGATGCAGAGAAAAAAATCGGTAGACCTCACACTACTATACGTATGCAATATTGTATCTAGCCACTAGTTTATTCTCTTTCCCTCTTTCACACTTTAAATATTTTATCTCCTAAACTACTTATCCAATCTACAATCCGATCACACCGTTGTATTCATTGTAATTAAATTTTTACTACAAAATATTATATGATTATATTCCGATAAAAGAGAAACATGTGTTTGAAACCGTTAAATTAAACTCAATATTTTATATGTGATAGCGGCACGTTTCAACCCGTGTTTCCGATGTGTTTCACAAAATTGATGCAACTACATGCCTCTATTATGTCTTCTCTCTTCATTCCATCCATCCATGCATTCATGTATTTAATGATCTTAAAAAAATTCTCCTAAATTACTTATTCGATCTACGATCCGATCCCACCGTTGTATTTATTGTAATTAAATCTTTACAATAAGAATCACATGATTATATCCTGATGAAGAAAAATGTTTCAATCTGTTGACCCTCGATATTTCATACGCGCGTGATAGAGACATGTTTTAATGTGTGTGCTTTCCTTGTGTATCACAAAAAATTTGAATGTTTGAATGGTTGATTTTTTTCACCATATATGACCTAACATTTTTAGAACGGTCAAATGAAATGTTTGACCGGTAAGAAAAATCAAACACCCAATTTGGAACATTGGTCTGGTAAGAAAAACCGAACACTCGATTTGGAGTTTGCTCTTTTTTTTCAAGCTATTATTAATTGTTCCATCAAGAATAGGAAAGCTCCATGGAAGTCATTTAGGCCCTGTTTAGTTTCTAAAAAGTTTTTCCCAAAAACATCACATCGAATCTTTGGACACATGCATGAATCATTAAATATAGATAAAAACAAAAACTAATTACACAGTTAGGGGGAGACGAATTTTTTTAGCCTAATTAGTCCATAATTAGCCATAAGTGCTATAGTAACCCACATGTCCTAATGACGGATTAATTAGGCTCAAAAGATTCGTCTCGCGGTTTCCAGGCGAGTTATGAAATTAGTTTTTTCATTCGTGTCCGAAAAATCCTTCCGATATCCGGTCAAACGTCCGATGTGACACCCAAAATTTTTCATTTCTCGCGAACTAAACGGGGCCTTAGGTCCGTGCATTGCAGCCACAGACGTGCATATCACCTCGTCCGACCCGGCTTTAACATAGCTAGCGAGTACTACCTTTATTTATTTACAACTAGTTAATTATTAATTATTACTGTGTGATCCTCTAGCTGTAGCTAACCCGCGCGCCGCTCCGAGAGATAAGATAAACCCGCGAGTAGTGAGAGTCGACGATAGATGGCGCCAACGCTGCCGTCGTGGTGGTTGCTCTTCCTCCTGCTCCTCGGAGTTGGCGCCACCGCGGCGGCCAGAGGCAGCAAGAAGCTGACTCCCCCGGTGTCGACGGCGTACGAGTGGCCGGAGCGGTTCCACGCGGTGGTGGTGTCGATCAACCTGACCAACCACGACCGCGGCGGCGGGCGGCTGCAGCTAATCGAGATCTACTACGACTGGCCGCATGGCCGCGACCTTAACATCGTCAGGGACCAGCTCTCCGGCGATCCACCGCTGTACAACGTGGAGTGGGTGAATGGCACCTCCTACCTCTTCGACACCGCCGCCTCCAGCTGCCGCACCTTCCAGTTCCCCGTCGGCATCCTGCCTCGATCGGGCGTGACACCGTGGACGCCGACGTCGCCACTGGCCGCCCCGTCCGCTGGATATTCAACGGCAATACGCGGCATGTGCTCGTGTTCGAAGCCGGTGTAATCCTCCAAGTGGCAGGCGCCGCCGTACTGCTTCCTCAACCTCAATAATCTCGTCGCTCGATCGATCTCGCTGCCTCATGATTATATTAACTGTGATCAGGTTCGCATGCATATATATTGGACCAGCTGATGATTATATCCACCCATCGATCAATTCATGCCAAAGTCGATCAATATATCCTGTGCACGCGCGTACAACTTACTGAGTATATATGTTGTATATATAGTTTCCTCTCTGCTACCAATTAATTCATCCGTATTTTAATGTATGACGCCGTTTAACCATTCGTTTTATTTAATTTTTTTTTAAAATATGAAAATATTTATGTCATGCTTAAAGAACATTTGATGATGAATTAAGTCACAATAAAATAAATGATAATACAATAAAATTTTTGAATAAGACGAATGTTCAAACGTTGGACGAAAAGTTAACGGCATCATACATTACAATATGGAGGTAGTAATTAATTAACTGTGACATACCATAGTCAATACATATATATTCTGTGCTAAACAACACTAATATACCAACCTGTACTTACTTGCACAGTTATATTTTTTTTCTCCTGCTATATTTAATGAAATTAACATTCTCTACTCTGGTCGTAAAAAAAAATATAATACAACACCTTATTAACTACTCCTTTCCTAAAAAAATATTAACTACTCCCTCCGTCATATTATATAACAATCTAGTATCAGATACGACATGTCAGTACTACAAACCTGAACACTATGTTGCTATATTTTAGAATGGATGTAAGTTGCTGGCTATTTAATTTGTTTAAGCCAGCCTCCATGGGAAGGGAAAGGGAAGGGATGATGGGGACATGATGCAATTTCAGGCACAACACAACAACACTCATATCAATCGATAGGATATAGTACCTTATTTTTATAATATTGGATAAAACACAACATAACACTATAAATCTGAATAGTGTGTGTTCCATTAAATTTTAGTTTGTTGTATTTTAGGAAGATGATGAGGGAGAATATACTATAGTGGAGTGTTGTAGTGTAAGAGAGAATCTCAGGAGCTCTGGTCCATCGTATAGTGACGTACACCAACAAGCAAGCGTGACATCACAACTATCGGCATTGTTCGGTAGAATATCCGTGCAAATATATATTTGCAATGTGTTTGGATGCTTCAGGCTATTAAATAGCCCACTGAAATCTTTCTATTTAGAAGTATTAAACGTAGATTACTGACAAAATCCATTCTATAACCCCTAGGCTATTTTGTAAGACGAATCTAACGAGGTATATTAATCCATGATTTGCTACAGTGATGCTACAGTAATCATCTGCTAATCATAGATTAGTATACCTCGTTAGATTCGTCTCCCAAAATAGCCTAGGGGTTATAGAATTGATTTTGTCAGTAATCTACGTTTAATACTCCTAAATAGCAAGATTCCGGAGGGCTATTTAATAGCCCGAAGGATCCAAACAAGACCAATGAGATAGTACTAAGTTACTTTCTCCGTCTTAAAATATTAAAAGAAAATATGATCGGATGGGATATTTCTTAATATTATGGATCTGGATAGGAAATGACGCATTCAATTCTAGGTTTATATATTTTGAGATGGAGAAATTAAAGTATTGTATGGCAGAAACAGAAAGCGAAAAGAGCAGGACGAGGCGTGAGCTTATGGAGAGGGGACTGAAAAAACGAGAAGCAGGATGTCTATATATCAAGTAGTAAAGCACTGTGTTTTTTAGTGTTATCGTAAATTAGTATACTTTGAGAAATGAACTTCACAACAGATAGCTTTCGAACAAATGCTTTAAGCAATACGGTACAATTTTTATTTCGAATCATATTTTATACAACCCGTGATAAAGTTTTGGGGGGAAAAGAAGGCTGGAAAGAACCCTCTATTATCTCCATGTGCTTATATTTGTGGCTGTCTCTGTCTGAAAAAGAGAAAAGAAAGAAAAGAAGAAAGGGAGCGGTACATGAACATGTACTTGTCAGGTGAAGTGAGGTAATTAAGCGGCAAAGAGAAAAAAAGGTAATTAAGCGGCAAAGATAAAAAAAGAAAAAAGAAAAGGCAGCAGTGAGCAGAGGATGAGAGCCAGAGGAACAGGCAGATACACACACTGCAGAGTGCAGAGTCGCCTCTAGCATTCTTCTTCTTGTTGTATTACTTTGTTTTTCATGTGACTGATACTTTCTTTTAATTTTTTTCAAACCAGATTGGTAACGACATGTGGATCTTATTTGTGTTTTTATTTTTAATTTTGAGTAATTTTTTAAAAATAGAGATATTTAGATGAAACTATCACAAAATTACAAATTTAATGACATGTATCACAGAACTACAAATTTAGCATCAAATTTTTCATGAAACTGCATATTCAAGACATCATATCGTATCATAAAACTATAGAATTAGTGATAAAGTTATTAAAGAACTAATTTTAGAGTTTAGATCCATGCATGGTACTATTATCTCTACTATTATAAAAATTGAAGATGTTTTTGCCGGTATTTTGATACGTGATCCGTGTATGAGTCAGATTTTAAGTTCGTTTGCTTTTGGAAATATATATCCGTATTTGAGTCAGTTTTTAAGATAATTGTTTTTGGTAATACAGAAGAAATCATATAAGAAATCTGTTTTTAAAAAAAACTCACATGCAACTTGAGACGATCGGACTCCTAAGTGTAGCTCATGATATATATATATATATATATATATATATATATATATATATATATATATATATATATATATATATTCAAGTAGACTCCTACAGTGAATTTTATCTAACTAAACCACGTAACAATAATAAAATTAAAATAGACTTCACCAGTTGCAACGCACTGGCATTTTTTCTTGTTTATTTAAATTTGTAAAAGCTGTAGGTTTATGATAATATTGATGTTAAATATGATATCTTAAATCTGATAATATTTTCTGTGAATGACAAATGGGTCTCACACATATTTTTTAATTCTAATACCACCTAAGCGTCACGTCAACACCACGTGGAACGAAGACTATCCTCCAAAATAATCTAGAGAGTCAAATTACACCGGTTTTAATAGTTGAGGGTTGATATATCCGGTACTATGGTTCAGGATACGAATCAAATTCGTTTATTAGTTAAGGGAGTAAAAGTGAACGTATTCCACTTCATATATATGAATGCATGGTCTCTGCTAGCTAAGCTGCTAATTATTAATTGGGCCATGATTTTATACGTGTGCTAGGCCCAACGCACGCACGTTTGCTTCATTGAGCGAGCTGGACATACTGTTGGAGTTATGAAGCTGCACTGTGACCTAATTAACCTACGTCGCCTTCCCAGCTCGTACCTGTATGTACGTTCTAATTAAGCTACTGTACTACTACTAGTCATTACTACTGTCAACAAATTAACTAAAGTCATTCGTATATTTACTTTATTTTGCCTTAGCTAATGTAACTGCAAACGATTTACTACTGTGTTAATTTTCCTTGAGAAAAATACTACCGTGTTCGTCATAATTAAGTAGCTGTAATTAATACTGCATACAGCTACTTAATTACGTAGGATAGATATGTATGGATTGATCCATAGGAGACTGCCTCTATACGTATATATGTTCATACATGTCGATCGATGATGTAGATGGTTGATACTATTAATTTGGATGGATTCAACGTACGTAATTGACCAGACGAAGACGACTAGATCAATCTACCCTTGACTTTGTCTCCTACGCTCTCTTCTGACCGTCTCCCTAATTCCTATCTAGCTACTATACATCGATCGATCTCTCTAGATCTCTACATATATATTCACTCTGTTTTTTTACTCCTTACGTTTCGTATTATAAATCATCACCGTTTCATAGTATAAGCCGTTTAACTTTTTATTAGTCAAATTTTATTAAATTTAATTAAGTTTATAGAAAAATTTAACAACACATCCAAAATATGAAATAAGTTTCACTAGATCATAATATATTTATTTTGTGTCGAACATAATACCCTATATGTTTTATCAAACTTAAAGAAGTTTGTCTAAAAAAAATTAAACACTTATAATATGAAACATAATGAGTATATCTCTATATGATGAAAAACATTATATATATATATATATATATATATATATATATATATATATATATATATATTGTCGGTGACATAGGATCGAGGGTATCATGACTAGAGAATTGGGCAGCCGCGGTCACCCACGTGGCCCGACCCCCCCGAGGGTGACGTGGCCACCCCTCCCTCTGTCTCCCCGAGGGGTCGGGCCGCTCCCGTTTTGGCCCCGAGGGCTGGGGTGCCCCGACCCCTTGTGATTTTGGCACCACGTGTATGGGTTAGGTGAGCACAAGCGGGGCTCACCTAACCGCATTTATCGCGGGTTGGACGAGCGCGCCACGCCACATTTAATGCAGCATAGCGCATGCTTATCCGGTCCGTGATCGGTCGCAGTGTGTGACCGGTCACAGACCGGTCAGATCGCGGGTTAGGGGGCAACAGGCGGCCTGACACACGCCTCGCCCCGTCCCGTCGGAATGATGAGAGCCTCCAGGCACTCGTCCCTAGCCGGAGCCGGCGTGGGAACTCCTAGAGTTGGCACGTCAGCCCCGGCCAGATACATTCCAGGCTTCATCGTAACCATTGCAAGGAAGTCATTGTATGAAGAAGGGCAGACGTGTAGCATGCTAAACTGACACGTGGTGGACAAGAATGACCGGTCTGTGACTGGTCTGACGCCGGTCGCGTCATCGGCAGACAACCGTGCTCCCACGATGCATCTGCCTCCGGTGGAGTGGAGGTAGGTATGACCCATCTCGTCGGATGGTCATTTGGATAGCAGCCATGGCAAATCTCCGCCCATTAATGAGGGAGTAACAGGGAGATCCCCGGTGTCAGGCGAGTGATGACGCTGGGCCTCACTCAAAGATAAGCTGTGATTTAGCTTCCAGGCGAAGGCGCAAGCCAGTTTTTTCTTTTTTGGGAAGATAGGGTGAGTCCCCACCCAAAAGAAGAGTAAGTAGAAGTGGTGCATGTGGGATCCCCTTGAGATATAAAAGGAGGACCTTGCCCACCGAAGGGAGCGGGGGAAAAAGGGAAGAGAAAGGACTCTAGAGGGGTTCTGGAGCCTGAACTCTCTTGCTCTCCGGCTTTCTGTAACTCCTTCACACACAGATCCACCAGAACACAGGAGTAGGGTATTACGCTTCTCAGCGGCCCGAACCTGTCTACATCGCCCGTGTCTCGTGCACTTGCTCTCTCGCGAACATTCCCCAGATCGATCGAGGACGAAGAACCTCACTTAGCGCCCCCGGCCGAACCGGCAAAGGGGGGCCTACGCGGTCTCCCGGTGAGGAGTCCCACGCTCCTTCATATATATATATATATATATATATATATATATAGAGAGAGAGAGAGAGTACTTTTACGGTATAATATACTATACTAGTGCTATATATTGATAGTATAAAGAAGATTATGTTGGAAATTTCTCACAAAATAGAAAATGTTCTTTAGTACGTAATTTCGTGTTAGATGTTAACTCAGATAATAATCCTAATGGATCATGCGTCAGATCGGATTACTGACTGGATACGTTTGAATTAATAAATGGCACAAGATCTCTATAGATTGCTCAAACACATAAAAACATTAGGGCTTGTTTGGTTTAATACTAACTTAAATTTTGGTAACTTCAATAGTAACAATTGCATGTTTAGTTTGGTACCAAATTTTATTCACAATAATTCAAATTCAATACTATCCATTTGGCACTATCAAGATTTTGGTAGGATAAAAATTGGTTCCAAACCAAATAGGCCCTTAATTTGTGTTATAGCTAGAGTGGGAGAGATTATCTAGCATAGAGAAAGATCATTTTACCCCCATTAAAATTTTATATTGCAGTCGATTTAAATGGATATATAGGCAAATCAACCTACACCCTTGAATTGTTTCTACTAGCGGTATACATTGTACCATAAAAGTTCTCTCTATATATAATATATATATAGAGAGATACAAAGATAGATATATATAGCCCCAGGGGCGGAGCTAGTGTATATTAGGGGGTGCCTAGGAACCCGGTTAAGAAAATTTTTTAGTTATACCTTATCTATTTTTACCATGTATGCACTCCCCTCAATACAAACTTAGACATCCACATCAGCTTAAACTCGGTCTAAAGTATAGTAAATTAAGCAAGTGGTACCACCCTCTATTTCGCTCTAGCTGCGCCCCTGTATAGCCCATAAATCCATCATCCACATGTACATATACGTGTGCACATCGATCGATTGATCTCTGCCTCCTCCTATACTACACTACTACTACGTCAACGCCTGCGTTTTGAGTAATTACGAAAAAAAAAACTGCGGGGTTTGACACCATCAAAACATGACAAAGTAGTAGTACAAGATATGGTAGTTGCTTTCCAATTCAGTTCCAGCAACAGCAGCTTGAAATCAGTCTAAGCGCATTAATCTAGCTTAGCTGCTCACTCCAATCTCGATCAGCAATCGGGCTAACTTAGCTCCTCACAGTACACATATATATAGTCACACGACACGCTCTTCTTATGTACATGTATCCTTCAAACAAGCCCTTTAATATATATGTTATTTTGTTTAAATAAAAGGCCCTTGAAATGTTACTTGTACGTATTATATATGAAGATACTACACGATAGATGTTATATTGCACACACATAAAAATTCTCATACATAGTTAGCTAACTATGTTGATAAGAAAGCATCGCATTTTTTTCAAGTCTTTGTAGAAAAGACAAATTATGCAAAAACTGGAGTAGATCAGGTGGTTATGTACCTTATGATAGGACCTACTAATTTATACTTTTTATAAAGTTATAGCCTACTAAATCTAAAACTCAACATGCAACATTGCCACATTATCACCCATTAACAATAATTGCATATTTAACCTCATGCAAACATACAACGGCATCTATAATTTATTTAATTCTACAAATCAATATGTAAGCATATCCAATCATATCCCCTCACATCATTTGCACAATATTTTAACAAATCTATCTATTATTTTTTATAATATTTAAAATATACTTATCAATATGTTTCACATTAAAACACGGGTATCATATGTTTCATGATAAGCACTGATAAAACCTAATGTTTCATTTCATTATTTACCCTGATTGTCGAAAAAAACATATTGAGAATTGCTTAGCAATTCCCGTAGCAAAATGCGGGGAACCATCTAGTTTTATAATAGTAGACATCGTACCCGTCGACGTCAAAGTGCTTGTACTAGTTTTTCTTCCATTTCAAGGTACGCTGATTCATAGAGATAGGAGAGAGAGGTTATGCGCGAGTGGACATTTGTATTGAGTTTCGTAAAAAGAATAGGAAAAGAAAAAGAAAAACTGTAGGAAAAATAAATTGGGTTTATCACGGCACGTAAGTGGTAATAAGAAAAGAAAAGAAAATAGGTAATGGGTAGAGAAGATTGCTAACTTGATCGTTGAGCTGCTGTCGGATGAAATGAAATGAATGAAATGAAAGGTAGGAAGCTTCTTAACAGAAAAAAAAGAGCGGTTATGTAGAGTATATAATTATATCCGCAGTAAAGCGAAAGAGATATGTATGTGTGACGACTTGGCCCACTCAAATCTATCAACCAAAAGCTGATGAGAAGAAACTGACTGACTAAGTGCACCATATAAACCAATGAAAGCAATCCACGTCTATACGTAAATAGTTAGGGACAGATTCAGCACAAAAAATGTATCGTATTCAAGCAGCAGAACATCGATTGAGATCGATCGATCGATGGATGATCGGTCCAGCTAGCTTAATGAAATTATTAGTAATTTGACGTTGTCAAAAGGCAAGCGCATTTTCCATTTTTTGAGGACAAAAGGCAAGGCATTGGTGAATGGTGATAGCTACTGCAATTCACTTTTTCTTGGCGATCGCTAGCTTTATACTAATATTTTGCAATCGATCGATGGAGTGCGTCCATGCGACCTTTTGTTGACTCGATCGAACATCGATGTATCCTCCTACCTCAGCTTACATATATGCATACCAAATCAACGGGAAAAATTCAAGCAACAATTAATAATTTCAGTTTGCACCTCTCTCTCTATATATTTACCAACGGGGCCGGCTAGACAGTTTACTTTCAGGCAGGCAGGCAGCAGCAGCTATTACTATCGAGCTGAAAACGAGTTCAGTACAGCTGCGGGCATCGCCGGCCGGCCGGCCGGCTGCTCCCCTTCAACCAACCAAAAAAACTTAGGCTTAGGTCGTCATGGAGCAGCAGTTGTCCTCGCCGTCGGCGTCGCAGCGTGGCGGCGGGAGGGAGCTGCAGGGTCCACGGCCGGCGCCGCTCAAGGTCCGCAAGGAGTCTCACAAGATCAGGAAGCAGGAGCCGGTGCAGCAGCTCCGGCAGCCGGTCATCATCTACACCATGTCGCCCAAGGTCGTCCACGCCAACGCCGCCGACTTCATGTCCGTCGTGCAGCGCCTCACCGGCGCCCCGCCCACCGCACCGCCGCAGCCGCAGCCGCACCACCCCACGCTCTTGGCGCAGATGCCGCCGCAGCCGTCGTTCCCTTTCCACCTCCAACAGCAAGATGCTTGGCCCCAGCAGCAGCACTCGCCCGCCGCCATCGAGCAAGCGGCAGCACGGAGCTCCGGCGCCGATCTGCCACCGTTGCCGAGCATCCTGTCGCCGGTGCCGGGGACAGTACTGCCAGCTATCCCGGCGAGCTTCTTCTCCCCGCCGTCGTTGATCAGCCCCGTGCCATTTCTTGGTGCAACGACTACTTCTTCTGCTGCGCCGTCGACGTCGCCGTCTCCAATGGGCGGCAGCGCCTACTATTGGGATCTCTTCAACATGCAGCAGCAGCAGCACTACCACCACCAAAATTAATTAATTTCATCCATCAATTCAGATATATAATTTGCACGGATATGGCGCGGTCATCATCACAATATTGGCATCCATTTAATTAGTTCCTAAGCTAGTTAGGGTTTACCATATTTTTTTTAGATATATGACGTCATAGTCATACAGGAGAAAATCCACTGTCAGATGATAGAGTACATTGGGATTAATTATTGATAGATAGTCGATGCTAATTACCTCGTTAGCTAGCTAGCTTAATTAGTTAGAGTGCACAACTGTAACTAACTCTAGCTAGCTGCAAGGAAGCTTCATCGTATCGATCGCCAGCACCTACTAATTGATTTTCTCCGATGTACTTGCTGTAATTTTTCACTCTTGTAGGCACCCCACTTAATTTGGAGGTGATAATATACCTAGATGCCACAGTGTATAATGTAATATTCACTTCATTCATTTTTTATATAAACTACAGGTATGTTAACCAGTTGTGCCCTCTTGTATTATATATGCTCTTGATTCTACCGTACGTACCACACCATGCACGCATTGCGGTCAGTTCAGAGAGAAAAAAAAAATCAGAATTGCTAACCTACTGCCGACATAAATTGCACCCCTAAATCTTGCAGATTTTGAGCCACTGGATGAGCTTCGAGATTCATGCTCCAGGCCTTCTACTCCAACTCCAGTGACCTCCTCTTCTTTTCCAGCGCCGACGACACCTAGACTCCGGCAGAGGACTCTACGGGTTAAGGTCTCGAGGTGAGGTTGGGGTGGGAGGGGCAAGGGGAAGGGGAGGAGTTCTTCGGCTCTAGAGGGTTGGCTAGGAGAGGCGGCAGCCCAGCGGTGGGCGGCGAGACGCCGGCAGCGGCGCCGGAGCGCAGGGCTGGAGGAGGGCGGTGGACCAGCGTTGGTGTCGGGGGCATCTCGCCGCCGACGGCTTGAGGAGGAAGGAGGGGGGAGGAGGAGGAGGCTGGCTGGCCGAGGGATCTCACCGGCGCCGTTGACGCCCTCCGGCCAGCCGGCGAGGCAGCAGGCGGCACAGTGGGGCGGTGGCGGTGGAGGAACACGCGATGGGAGGGGAACGGGAGGAGGAGCGCTAGGGTTAATGCCTCTGTACGAATCTTAAAGCATATTTGATGGTCCAAAATTTGAAGGATAGGAGGTGGGATTTTATGTCAGCAGATATATAGGCCGTCTCAACAAAAAATTTGCGAATGTATACGATCGATCAATGAATTAATCATGCATTCATATATATACAAGAGTGTATGCAACCATGTCCCGCGACTGGCAAAAGAACTAGTCGTTCTCGCTCTCCTCCCTCGTCCTAGTTTTGCGTAACATAGCCGCATCGCCATACTCGGGCGCTGTTGTCTCCCTTCCTCGACGCGGCGAGGCTACACCAACTGGCTCCTTGGACGAGCAGTCGCCAGACCGTGCATGGTTAAGTTCATCCGTCGTCAATGGATGCCGATCGAGTTTAATTGGCGCCTCCTCCGACGCCGTCGACTTAATCTTGGTGAGGGCGGCCTGCCTTAGGAGCCTATGGTTTGCATAGCTCTGTCCATCCCCATTGCCGTTGACCTGATCTCGTCGAGCTGAGGCCTATGACGATCGAGCAGATCAACATAACGAGCATCAACCTCTCCACGCTCCTCCGCCAAGAGCATCAACATCCGTTGCTAACAAGTCTAGTTGGAGGCTGCCCAGTGAAACGTCCCATCCTCCACTGTCAGATTGGAGAAATTGATTGGGGAGGATAAATATCTATAGGAGTGAGAACGAAAAAAACAAAGAGAGGCTGATAAGTAAAACCCATTATCAGATTGGAGCGCAAGCCACATATGGCTCTAAATTGTTTGCCTAGCTAACCAAATAAGGGCACCTTTGAATCAAAGGATTTTATGTAGTAATTTCATACGATTCAAATTCTATAGGAAATTTTTCTATGTGGCCATTTGATTCAAAGAATTGAAGCTTTAATTTCTAAAGAATTGAAGCTTTAATTTCTAAATCCTATGAAATTCCTATGGAATGGCTTATTTCATATAGGTTTTTGAAGGAAACATAGCAAGAGCTCTAACCTCGTGGAAAATTTCCTTTGGATCTATCTCTCTCATCCGATTTCTGCGTTTTTCATGTAATCCAATCAAACGATCATTCATGTGTTTTACCTATATTTTGCAATAATCTATTTTAAACTTACATTCATGTCTTGTGTTTTTTTCTATTCCTCCGTTTTTTTCAATCATGCGATTCAAAGGGACCCTAAATGTTTGGAGAACTAAAAATATCCACTCTATTAGAGATGCTCCGGTGAAGTGTCCAATGCATGGAGATACAAATGATGGCAAGGAAAAATGGCATGGAATTTCTGTTTTTAGCCTACTCACTCATTAAACAATCTGAAAATAGAGTATTTTCATTTGGATCACCTTTTCATTGTTGTAGTAATTAATTATCATCAATCGCACAAATTTGATGGTTTGGATTAAACTATCTATTAAAATCAAGACAAAATTTGTTCTCACCTGTCAAAATTTGTTCATTAGCAATTATTGCTTTTAAATATGAATTAACCACTCGTTATAAAGATAGATTAAAAAAATGGAGGGAGTACTCGTGTAATTTTATTCTTTTTTGTGCTGGCAAGCTTCTTAATTGTAACCATTTAACTGCAAAAATGATGTACTGTAGGGTATCACAACAGAGGCTGAGCGCCTTGTTGACTTGCTGAGTACAAAGGACACTGACGTGTTACCGGAGTTCTGTAGATGTAATAAGATCAGGGAATGTACATCATCAAGTTTTGCTCAAGCTTTAGTAGGAATTTGCTTGCAAAGCTGCTGATGTTGCTGCTGCTTCAAACAACACATCAGAGAGGTACGGTATATATTGTCTGAATAGTAGTATATCTTAATTTCGTTTCACTTGATTCAAGATTGTTGCCCATCGGATTATATTAGCGACATTAATTTGATTATTCTCTTCTTTGTATGATCTGTAGGGTCACTGATTCAATGGAAGGCTCTAGTAATAAGGATATGAATAGCTCAAAGTGGAAGTTGAACAGTAATCAGGCGGCGGAGGGTAATTCTAAGGAGAAGAGGAAAATGAAGAAGAGGATGTTCAGAAAGCAATTTTAGTATGGACGTTCAGAAGAGGTGATGAAGAGTCTATATGAAATTGCCGACTCATCTGCTGCAACCATAAGACAATTGGAAGACAAACAAAAATACAAAATGTCACACTTGGCTGATGATGGACTGGAGAAGATCCATGGCGGCTTTGATTTAACAAAGGATGAGGTTAAGTCACTGCTACAAAGCATTAAGGAGACAGCTTACACCACTGACTGATCTTTTGATTTGTAGACATGTCAAAGGTCAATGTAGCTAGAGGCTGTTATAATTTTCTTTACTTCTGGCCTTTTTTTTTGTTTTACCAGAGACCAAAACAAAGTTGATTATTATACTCTATCAGGCAAACTGAAAGATTCTGAAGTGAATAACTAAAGAATGCAGTAAAATACATGTACAGGAGCAGCGAAGGCCACTATAATACGAAGTACTAGTACTTAGGTGCAACAACTACAGCTGTACAAGTGTTCTAAGGTCGGCTTTGCCATCGAGGATGGGAAGCAAACAATGGTCATCTTCTAATCAGTCCACAGATGACACCAACAGTGAATTCGCAGTCATTCTGTTACTGCCGTCAAATCGGCAAGTACATATATATACGCATATATACCTTCATTTGAAGGAGACCTAAAGAAATTACACATTCTGTGGAGTTGCTAAGAAAGCAGCTACAAGTTAGCCTGTTTTACCAAAAAGAATGAAAACAAAAGAGCAAGATAACCTTTGGTATGATACTCTATCGAGGTGATTTCTTCTGTATCTTAGCTCTAGAACGCCGACTGGCTCCCCTGCTGTTTGCCTGCTCAAAAAACATACTCGATTAAGACAGAATGTTCAGAACAACAACCCAAGTCCATCATACTACCAAGGACTGGACATACAAATACACAATTGAATTACTCCCAGGTTATGCTACTGAGCAATCATACTGCACATTTATCAAGCCACTGAAGAAACATTCTGATACTTTAATTCAACTCCTCAAGACTAACAAAATGTGATAACTCTGTGTTATATGAATGAAAAGGGGAAAAAATCATTCTTACCTGGGCATGCTGTAAGATGTCTTCAAGTTCGATGACAATCTCTGCAAAAACAGGCCGGACATCAGGATCTTCGTCCCAACACCGCTGAATCAGTTTTGACAATCTCGGGTTCACACTTGAGGGAATCTCCAAGCGAAATCCCTAAGCAGGGTGTGTGGGAAAATGAGTCAATGTGGATTTCTGTTTAAAGAAACACAGAGACAAAATAATTTGCTAGTTTGTCATTATTCATGTTCATTTCTGTCATCTTCTAATATCCTTGAAGTGTGGTACTTTGGTTCTGTTTGATCTTGTGATTTACATGGATAAGGAGCATCCCTTACAACTCCAAAAAATTTGGGATTTTCTGGAATCTTTTACAGTGGATGACATGGAGGTAGCACCACAACGAAAGCAATATTTTCTCGAGATGACCAGAATCAGATACATACCTGCCTTACTCCTAGTGCAGCCTGCAAGGGCGTCATGTTATCGTATGGGACCTATAGCAGAATTAAAAATTACAGTGTTACCGTTAATAATCACAATATGGTATGTTCAAACAACTCAGAATTAAGCTCAAGCAGAATGTACACCAGGGCCAAACCTTCAAAGTTACCAGCTCCCACAGAACAATAGCAAAGCTGAACACATCTGCTTTGTTATCATAAGGCTTATGGTTAATGATCTGTTGAGACAAGCAGCACCTATGAGATTCTCATCCAAAAGAATGGAAAAACTGTTGCAATGAAAACTCTGGTCAGAACTTCTCATCTCACGCAAAGATAATTCCAGAGTGGTAAACAATGTATCCAACCTTTTCCTACAACTGGATCTTATTTGTCACTATCAAATCATCAATACAATCAATTTCACATAACAGGTAAAGTTCCAAAGGCATCTTAGATTCCAAGGACACTGATTGACCCAAAATCTTTCAAAGTTGATAATGCAACACTGTTGCAGTGATGCCTGCATGGGGGAACTTAAGAAGTCCAACTTACACCTCTCACATGGATGGCTTAATGATGGGTGGTTCATCGCTCAACAGTAAGTTGGAGAAGTGATGCCCTATTTCAGTTTGTGCAGCATTATCCACTCCACATTATCTAGTAGTATATGATTGGTGTTTCTAGTTTCAAATCTTGACTTTGAATTGGATTTATCTAAAAAGGTATCTCATACAAAGCAGCAGATTTTCAAAACTTAGGTTACTCAGAACTCACAAATTGGTTATACAAAAATCTGAAAGAAAAATTTCAACACCAAGCAATTCTTAAAAGAAAGGCAGAGTTTAGTGAAGAGGAGGCATGACCCATTCCAGAAAAAAATGTGATGCAAGGAGCCTACGCTTCACAACTCACAAGAGCAAACAAAGGACCACGCAAAAGCAAAAGGTTTACCGATAGTTTCACACATCAGATAACAATGGAAACTAGGAAAACTGAGGATGGTATAGTGGACACAGAAGCTTCCTAAAAGTTATTTCTTTCAACAAAAAAGAAGTATGAATCTCAATGGGCACAAATTAAATGGTCAACTGTACCTCGGGTGCCATCCATCTATAGGTTCCAGTTTCAGCAGTCATTTGTCCCTCTTGATTTCCTTGTCGAGCCACACCAAAGTCTGCGATCTTCACAACCTATTACCAGTAGCAGATATAGTCAATACAAATCTGGGAGATTAGTCCATTTCAATTAAAGGAACAGAATTACATCTTCAGGACCATAATGTGGTTTTTCACATGAGGCATGAAATTTCACAGTTCAAAACTGAAAAACAAAATTAATACTGACAAATTACAAGGACTATTTGAAGCCAAAGTTCTTAAGCAACTCGATTTTTTATAAATGAAATCTCCCCTTTGAGCTATAAAATGTTGTAAAAAATCCTCTTTGAAATGCCGTTGCCCATCTGCAAGATGTGGACTGAAAATCTTTACATAATTCGAAGAAAAAAATATCCCATCCCAAAGCAGTGTCATATGATTGAAAAGTGGATAACAAATGATTTGCTGTAATAGTACCGGTCACCTTGATATATTTTTCTAATTTTTGGATATCACTACCACATATCAGAAAGAAGAAGAAAATGGGAACTGAGAAGAATATTCAGTACGCATACTTGATGATAGCCCATGAGCAGGTTTGCAGTCTTCAGATCTCTATGAATGATGTTATTCTGATGCAGATAATTCATCCCCTTTGAAATACTGATAGCAATCCTTAAAATCGTAAGGAGGTCCAAAACATTATTTTGCTTGTGAAGAAAGTCATATAAATTCCCTCCAGGCATGTATTCTGAAAGAAAGAGAACCAACCACAAGACAAAAATGTGAGTTCAGTAACAGTAAGCCAGACAGGACATGAAGCATGATTCATTCGAATACTGACTCCAACTATGCAAGTCTAAGACCTATTTGATGCATAATTAAAAATTCTTTGCTATATATTACACAATTTTCTTGATAGTATGGGAACTTCAAAATTAAATAGTCTACCTGAAGAACAACATCAGATAGATGGCTATAAAATGGATGTATGTTTGTGTCAATACCTAAATACTAGCTTCTGCTTTAAGCCTATGTGCGCACATGCACACGTGGCAACAACAGCATTGTTTATGCAATTCAGCACCAGTGGTTATGGAGGTGATTCCAATCAAATATTAAGGAAAAAAAAGATATAAATGCTACCTGTTACAATGCAATACTTTTGAGGCCTTGTGCATGCCCCATAAAATTGAAGAACATTTTCATGATTAACACTCCTGGAGGAAAATATCTTGAGTAAGTCAGAATAAAATGAAACACGCTAATTTCAGCAGTTTATAAAAGAACTTGCCTTAGAATAAGTATTTCCTGTAAGAACTCAACTTCTGACGGATTGTTGAAATGAGAATCTCTGAGAATCTTTACAGCAACATCAAGACCATTGTAAGTTCCTCGATACCTGTGAAACAGAGTAAAGATGAGACTCGACTGGAAAATACTGTTATATGGTTTTTGTGTATCAGAGCCAAAACTAGGTTAATAATATCCATGGTAATTTGTCAATTGGCATCATGGTAATACATCAACATTTCCTTGTCAGTGGAAGCCAGCAAACTATTATGGTCTGTAGAGGATAGAGCGGCACACCACCGTATCAGCAGTGAAGTGCAAATAATTGAAACTTGTAAATTATTATTCCCATAGTAAATGGTGATCATACTAGACTGTTAGCAAACTGTAAGTGCCAAATAATTCTTACAAGTCAGCAGAAGATCCAGTAGCAATCTTTTCCCCTGTTGTTAGCAAGTTCCAGTCAATTTCAGAATCTCCAACCTGCTGTTGTAGCTCAGCTATTTTCTGCTGATTTGTCGAGGCTGAAGAATTTGTTGAATTAGATGGTGATGCCTACATATTACATGGAATAATTAATCTAAGTCTGTTAGGAAATGTCGGTAATTTCCTTGTGAGTGAAACTAGAGCTTTGCACGTGGTACTGCATTTACATGAAACAAGCGAGACGAAAAACCATGCGGATGACTTATGATGACCGAAACGGAAAGGAATTAAAGTAGGTTGAGTGTAAAGGGCATCATACATTTTTGTGCGACAATGCCTCCTTAATCTTGATGATCAAATCATCTGTCTCCTGCATGTGAAGTTGCAAAATGAGCAAGCAACACTTGCATATACAAGAGCACATAATGAAAGAGTAAACGATATTATCTGTGTGCGTGAAATGTGAGCTGGTAATCACAGAGAGTTTATAGATGGATGTAGAAACAGGCATGGTTATAGAGTGACCTCTGTGTCCCAGCCATCAACAACAAAAACGTCCAAACAGAAGCCATCAGTTGTGGAGTAAACATGGGCTTCACGAATATTCAGTCCAACCTCAGACAAGAGTAGAGTGAGCTGTTGAAAAGATTAAGTAACTATTGGTGGTAAGTAAGTTGGCAATTATAATATGGAAAGGAAAGCAGAAGTAGGAGATGGAAAATGAATTATTACCCTGCTAAGAAGCTTGGGCTTGTCCAGGGAAGAGAAGATAATCTCATGAATAAGCTTAGTTTTGGGGTACCTGTAGGAAGGGAATTCAGTAGGCAGTAAGTACTATATACTAGTTGGGGTGTATAAGGTATGAGTATGATATATATGGTATCCTATCCTATAAATCTATATAAGTGATCCCCACTTAGTGTAGTTATTACACAATTTCCTGCATTGTGGTTGATCCACGTCATCAAAATGAATGCCAGCCGTTGGACCAAAACTCAACGGTTTGATGGTTATTGCTTGCACAATGCACACGAGAAAGCCCAACTGAATTGAGCCCATCCCGACGGCCTCCCTATCTGCTCGCTCTCATCCCCAAACTCGCAACCACCGCCCGCTCTCATCCCTTCACAAGTGCGGCGCATCGGCCAACACTGCCGCCGCTTCCCCTCCTCTCGCACTGCTGCTCCTCACGCCTGTACGTTCCGCTCCTTCACATCAGCCACCCCCGTCGCGCACACCAATCCCCTTCGGTGACCTCGCTGGCGTCGTCTGTTCCTCTTCTCCAGATTGTCTGATGGACTACCAGCCTACCACTAGCTACCCACGGGATGATTCCTCTTTCTGAAACCATCGCCAGCAACAAGCAGTCGGGAGTATCTTCTTAAGCCTTTTTTAAGTCCTCAAAATATACCATCGTCAGCTTCTAAGACTCTTAATCCATCATCCCCGTGCGACCGGCCAACCCAACCATATGCATCATCACCATGATTAAGATAATGGAAAAATGCCAGGTATGCTTTACTTTTGACAGTACAATATTGCTGTTTCTTCACTTCCAGTTACATGACAATTTGTAAAAATCGAATCAGTTCTTAATTATCCATACAATATCGTATGGAATCTATTAAGGCTAGGAGTCGACAAAATATATAAGACAAGATTTCTTAATTCTTATATATGTATATGCAAAATTGCAGCTACACTAAGCCTTATGTATTTGGGTTGCCTCTGTTTCTACTGCAGAATTTTTGCCACACCAATTTCTATGAACGAGATTGATATCGTACTGGTATTTTTGTTTGATTTGCTTCAGATTTATGCAAGACAACATTTGAACAGGATCAGTGCCATCTGTGCACAAGTATCTCACAACCTTTTTTAATGTAAGTATTTCACAACCAATTTATTAGATTGTGCTTATAATCAGGTTAGACTGGGTACTGCATATGTACACTTTGCACCCTTTTGACTGCGATTTGACAAATTGTTTCTTCTGTAACATTCAGGAACCCAAACTCTTTGCCCAGACCTTTTGATGTGTTTTACAGTATTATCAGCAGTTTGCACGGCTTTTCTCTGCACTGCTTGGTTTCATCATTTTGTTTGGACACCATTAACCAGATCTTGCAGTGCTTGCTTTGTGTGAGCTTGACCAAAGAATGTGGTGTACTGATCCTTATCACTATGCACCCCTTTATTCAATAATATTGTGTTCACTTTATGGAAATCATTTTTTTTTACTAACAGTTGTTCTTTAATCCTTTTACCTTTGATTGGCTAATTGATGTATATATCTCATATATACTTTATAATCTGATCTGATGATTTGCTTGCTTGGCTGCAGGTACTCAGCGAGCAATATTTCTTTACCACTAACTAGATTTGTCTTTAATTAAAATGATATTAAAAGGTATTCATAGATTTTAGCTCTGAAAAAATGGATGCATAGCTAGCAGGTATACATTTTTTCTCATTCTCAACACAAATATATCCTTAAACATTGCACGATCCTGTGATGTTTTAGAGAGAAATTTGTATGCTTTATTATCCTCTAATGTACTGATTCAGTGTTTGTTCAGCTAAATATCTACCTTATTTCATATTATTCTTGAGTTGTTTGCAGGTCGCTCAACATATATTTGGCCTATTCTATGATTCTGCAAGCTATCAAATACTATGTTATTTAAAGGTATGTGATTGTGGGTTTTGTTTTGTGCTTATGGCATGCATGATGTTTCCTTAGTTTTCCGCAGCAACGCGAGGGTTCATCTAGTGTATTGAAACAAATAAAGACATAATAATAAAGTGAAAAGGCAAATGGAAAGATGAGGAAATAAAGGAAGTACCAACCTAGAGGAGATGGACATGGAGCCGGTGTTGTCTCCTGTGTCGTTTCTTCTTCTTCTCTCCAAGCTGAGGTCTTCCATGAGCCTCTGGCATGGATCGAAATCGGAATCCGGGAGAGGAATGGACTTTTGGAAGCGGGCGTGGAAGACGGGGCGATTCTGTGGGTGGGCGCAGTGGGTGAGGATCCTCCAGTGGAGGAGGACGTCGTCCACCCTGTCAACGCCGAGGTCGAAGAGATACCTTTTGGGGAGGCGCGACAGGTGGTGGACGAAGGCGGAGGCGTCGTCGGGGAGGGGGACCTCCTCCTTCTCCAGCTCCAGGATTCGCTCCTTCAGCTTCCTCTTCATCTCCTCGGGGTCCTTCTCTTTATTCACCATGTCTGCCTCTGGGTGTGGCCGTGGCGGCGACGAGCTCTCCCCCCAATCCTCCGCCTCCATTTCCATCTCCCCCTCTGCGCCCCTGCGTGCTCGCGCCCGCGGGGGCCTCGTATTTATAGCCGCCGTGCGTGGCGGTGGTGCAGGCTCCGGCCGGCGACCACCGATTGGAGTTTGGAGAAGACGACGACGACCACTGGGCTTGAAATACTAACGGATTTAAATTTCCTTTTTGAATTCAATTTTCTGTGGGTTTTGTTTCTACTAGTAGTATTTCCTTTTCAGAATATTCCGATCTGCCGTGGCCGTGTGAACAATGGGGACACGTAGCGGTCCAGCCAATGGGGACACGACGCGTGGCATCTCTTATCCGGAGCGGAAAGGGATCGGATCTGCGTAGAGGGATGGACGGTGCGGATGGTAACTGCGGACGGCTGGGATTTTCCCCCACACCGCGGGTGGATGCGGATGCGGTGGGGCCCACCGGGTTGGGACCTGGATGACGCAAGCTGCGACTTTGAGGGTTTGGTTGGGGGTGGGGCCCACAGAAAGGCGTGACTCTGACCGCAGTTTCTTCCTCTTCTATATTAAAAATAATTATAAAGACAAAAAAAAAACTCCACAAACAAGGTGACTCACTCGTGACGTACGCTTCTTATCACTATACTTTGTATTAAAAATATATGATAAAAATGTAACCTAAGAGTTTATTTTCTCTCATATATATATATACTGCCTCTCGTAGTTTCTCTCATATATACTGGCTCTCGTAGTTTGTTACCCTCTCCTAGATTGATTTTTTTACGGAGGAAATAGTAATTAATATTTTATGTTTTATTGAAAATAAAAAAATGATGTATTTAAATATTATCAACATAATTACATATTTAGATCTTGGAGCTCTGGATTATAGGGCCTGTTCATTTTGATGTCATTTTCAATCTTGTTAAAGTTGTAAAAAAAAGTGGCTATATTTAGTTTGCTGTCAAATTTTGATAACTATATAAGAAATCCTGTCAAAATTTTGGTAACTATATAAAGTTTTTTTTGACATTAAAGTGAACAGGCCCATAGATGTATGAATTTACGAAGCTAAGTTAGGAGCTTTATCAAACACGTACGATGTAAAGAACGATGGAGTATTAATTATTAGTAACTTGCTTACAGTAGATTCCTAGACCGAAGAGCACGCAGTGGTGAAAACCCCAAGTTCACTTAACAATTTAACAACTCGATAAACTTGAGACAGTTTAGTTAATTAATTAGCGACCTAGCAGCTACTAGTATGGTTGGGACAGAGATTTCAACGTACGGAGAAAACTAGGAACCATTATTAATTTGATGACTGCATTTACAATGCGTTACAGAACTTAATTTAATTAAGGGAATATATGACCTCTTCTAAGATAATAAATCTAGACAAAGAATAGTAAATAAATACATGCCGGTCTATAGCTTTAGAGTTGTTTGTATTGTTGTGGGAGGTTCGGATTTTAGGAGAAAATACAGCCATCAGAAGCTCCCAAACATGTCCAATGTTTATATATATACACACACATGTATACTTAACGTATTTTTTTGTGAAGTATCGCAGTGGTTGGATTTGGGGTCTTAATTATCATTCTCCGTATATATAATGTCATGACATATCTTAATTTTTATTCTGTGACATACAACCTCCAATCCAAAATACATCAACTTTTATGTATAAACCTAAACAAATACTACTATTTACCATAGACTTATAGTTAAAAATTATCTGGTAAAAACTAGTGGAGGTGGAGGAGCACTGGATCAAGCACTCCTGTCGGAAAAACCAATGCAATAAGTTCAATTACCAAGCATAGGTACCCAATTGCAGTTCTACCTCGTGCTATTATATATGGATGCCCACTAAGCAAAGTCAATTTGTCGTGCATATTGTGATATTCAGATTAATTATTAGACCAATTGAGGTGCTGCCGGCCGCTTAATTAATTCATCTCACGCAACACAAAGATACCGTTGAAACTCAAGATTTAAAGCTAAGGCTGCAGGAATTAATAAAAGCCATGTTTATCTTATACTCCTATGTATGAACTCCCATGTCGATCTCCCTAGAACTTTACAATCTGTATGCACACTAAATCCACCATAATTTACAGTTACTATCTCTGTTTTTTTAATATATATGATGCATTGACTTTTATAATTCGTAGGACGTACTATTCGTGTTTTCTGGAAATATGTATATGAATAGATAGGCATATAAGGCTCACTTAAAAAGTACTTTTGATGATAGATCTCGTGATATTCTTTTACTTTACTTATAACTAAGTAATTAAATAAATGCTGATCAAAGTTTGAGGGAAAAAACATCCTGATCAACGGTGCCATGTAAAAAGAAAAGAGGAGTGACAAGTTGGTATATTCATAAGGTCAATTGCTTATTTGACCCTGTTTTGACATGTAACTACCAATTTAACATTACTTTTTGAAGTTTACTTATTTGACCCTCCTTTTCAAAAACGAAGCACCTATTCCGTTTGGGTGAGTTAACGGTGTTAATTTAGGGGTAAATAGTCAATTTTGCCCTTGCTTATTTGACCCTGTTATATCTTACTTGTTTGACCCTATTATATGTCATACCGTGTATATATTCAAATATTTTAACATATTTGTAATAATTTTGGCTCAAGTTTGATAGATTTGTCACAAATTTGACAAATTTGAATCATTTTGTATTTGGGATGCAGGCGACAGATCCAGCGACGGCTCGAGGCGCGGGCAGCGGGTCTGGCGGCGGAGCTCGAGGCGTGGGCAGCGGATCCGAAGGCGGCTCGGGGCACAGGCGGTGGATCCGGCAACGACACGTGGTACAGGCGGTGGATCGGGCTTGGGGCAGCGGCGGAGAGGCAAGAGAGAGGGACCCCACTGCCGCCGCCGCCTTCTACCTCCACGAGCGGACGCCGGCGGGGCTCCGCATCACGCCGCCGCCGCCCCCTCGCTGACGCCTCCCCAACACCCCCTCAGAGCTCCACCGCGCGCACTCGGAGCGCCGCCGCCGCCACACCCTCAGATCACCGCCGCTACACGAGTCGCACGAGAGAGAATGTGTGTTGCACGAGAGAGAGAGAGAGAGTTGCACGGTGGATGGATAGGGTTTCTGAGGGTATTTTGGGCATTACGAATATTAGTTACATTCTCTTCTCTCTTTTTTTGGTATTTTGGGCATTACGAATATTAGTTACATTCTCTCTCTCTCTCTAACCCATGTCTCTGGTGGATTCTCCAGGCGAAAACTTGTTTCGGATGTCCGAAATAGCTACGGCGATATTATATTCTAGATTTTGCAACTTTCTTAAATTGTCACATTGGAGGTTCTCCTTATTGGTGAGGTGCCCATGTGACAATTAATGTCCTCTGGGTTCATGGCATTACTTTACCAATCTCCTTATTGGTAAAGTGGTTCTCTTAAATTGTCACATTCTGGTGAGGTGGAGCTGGGTTTAGGCAGCTCCACAACTCCACTTCAGACCTAACTCCTGAAGCTAAATTTAGAAGTTGGATCTCTATCAAACATGGACTATCTACAGATAGGCCACCATATATTCTGCAAGATTGCAAACTAATTAAATAAGTATTAGTATTACAATTAACAGATAGCAAACTAATTTGTTTTGTCATCAGGCATACTAGCTGACATACTACGGTACCAGCAACCGTGTTATTGCAAGTCTCTCTGGAAGATTATTACATATACAGGCGCAGTGCAAATTAATTGACGAGGATCTCGATCTGTCTGTCGAGCCCTAGCTCCACGAAGATGATACAATGTGCAGCTCGACCAACCTATCAATTCGTAGGTTGATCGTTAATATTAGTAACTTTTCTCAGTCCGTGGCTCTCAGCATCTGATCTGCAAGCCATACTATGACCTTCTCCTTGATTGCCTTAAGCAATCCACCCGCTTCCTGAAATTAAGTTTTATATAATTGCAGTTATTAGACGATGAATTAGCTAATTAATTAATGGCCAAATATTGCGGACAACACGTACTAGCTTAATAATTAGAGTACTAATTAGTAGAGTAGTAGTCTTTCATGGTTGGTTGATCAGTCAAAAGTATAATATATATTTATTTCATACGATCTTAAATAACATACTTTGATCGTTATTTTAAGTACGTGTTATGTTCTCAACCGATATAAAATTAACATCAATAAAAATACTTTAAAATATAAATATAATGATATAACATACATAATACTTAACATATATAATCAGTAAAATTATTAGTTAAAAGTTATCGAATCTAATTTTCCTTAAAAGATAGCGTCCTGTAATTTAGGACATGGGGTACCTCTTTGTTCCAACCATCAACGAGAAATACGCTGAGAGAAAAGGCATCGAGTGTGGAGTACACATGGGCTTCACGGATATTCAGTCCAACCTCAGACACCAACGCAGATAGCTGCATATTATATTGTACTCAATAATAGTTAACTGCATAATGTTTGCACAATATAAATGCAACTAATTAACTAAAACCATGCATGCATGATAATTCTCCGCAAAAGAAAAAAAAAGAGAAAATGATGCATAACATACTAGCTAGCCAGATTAATTAGTAAATGAACCGTACGTGTGTTACCTGACTAAGGAGCTTGGGTTTGTCAAGGCATACGAAAACAATCTCATGGACACGAACCCTGCTGTACAAACTATATATCTAATTAGACCATGCTATATATTTATCGACAAATTTTCTTCTAAAATTTTGACAGATGTAATTACAGCACAATTATAGTACAACTGTAGTGTAATTATACTGTAACTTGCATGTAACTTTCACATAATTTTGAACTGTATATTTGTTTCAAGATTTGTGCAAGTGAAGAAGGAAAAAAGTCACTGCGCGCACAAATATGAGAGGATTTTTTCCCATGATCTCCATTTCACCGAAATAGCATGTTACGGAGAGATTCTTAAAAGTTATATACAAGGTTACATGTAAAGTTATAGTGTAATTATATTATGATTGTACTATAAATACATCTGGTAAATTTTTAGACGATAAATATATAGGTGATCCTAGTACATATCTACATTCATGCTCCTGTTTTAATGGGATCATACATATCATCTCAGTACGTATATCAAGAAAGCTTTATATCACATCAAGCTCCGATCCAACACTAGAATCAATATTACTCCTACTTATTAGGAATTGGTTACAATTTGCAACGGGCAATGCAACTTGCATATTTCACTTTGTGTAAGGTTTAGCGAATACTTTTAGTTTATATAAGCATATATGTTGACATAAGTTTTACTTTGCACTATGTTATGTCTAATAATTAATATCCAAGTGAAATTTTATAAAATATGAGTAAAACTTGTAGAACTTGTTGAATCATGATGTTTTACAGTCTCATTAAGATATTATGATATTTCACGAGATTTTCATAGGTTGATGATATATCGTTCTGATGTTAAGTAACTTATGTCAACAAAACTTTGGCGCGTAAAGCGAAATTATTAATTTGCTACACTACCCTTTGTGCAAATTAAAGCAAAACACGTTACATTTTACACTATGCAAATTAAGTGTAAAATTTACTCAGTAGTTAATACTTGCTTCACTTCAAAATGTATGACGCACTTTTCGTACAACAAAATACCCGTGGTTATTTGATATGGGCTAAAATCATGTGGTAATTTCGTGGAACTCAAACCATAAAACCTGGGGTTTTCTTTTTTTTTAAAAAAAAAAGAGGTAGTAGTGAGGCATATACACAGGCGCACGTACGTACCTGACGATGGAGGAGGAGGAAGAAGAAGGGATAGTGAGGAGAAAGCGGGCATGGACGACGGGGCGATTGGCGGGGTCGGCGCAGTCGGCGAGGAGCTGGAGGTGGATCAGCACCTCCTCCGCCTTGCCGCCGCACATGTCCACCAAATACCTCGCCGGCATCCGCCTAAAGTGGAGACGGAGCTGGCGTTGGAGCTGATGATCATGCTGCTGCAGGAGGCCTCCACTCTCCGCCAGCCGTTCGAATATCCTCTCTGCCGCCGCCGCCGCCTCCTCCTCCGTCACCGGCGCCATTAATTGCTATATATGCTACCTGGTACGTGTGCTTCTCTTCTCTCGCGTGGGCTCTCCTCCCGGCCGGAGGCCATCAATTGTGGCTCATTCTTCATATTTATTTACTCTCTTTCTACTCCTAAGTACTAAGTAATTAAGAGGAGTCTTAATGGTTAAGTATATATTAGCCGCCTCCATTGATCGATCCATCGATATCATCATCAGTGTGAGGACGTCCCGTCCCGTCCGTCGTCCTCCCCGCTAGCAACAATGCAAAAGCTGCAGATCCATCCATCCATCGATACACACCATGCATTAATCAAATCAATTACAATGATTCGTTCAGAAAAAAATATCAATTACAATGTACTAATTAAGGTGATACATATATATCGATCTTTCCAATCTAGGAGTATTTATCTTAATTACATGCATGGCGTCTAGTGCATATGGCTATCTTCTAGGAGATGCTGGCACGCGCATGCATATGCGCCACGAACAGAAATCACGCACACATGACTACGCTTGCCGCTTCACACAAGTCGGACTCTGCTTCAAAAACTTTTAACCGTGCGTTAAAACTTTCATTTCGAAAATCATAAATTTTTAGTTTCAAATATAAAACTTTATCTCAAATCACAAAACTCTTCCATGAAACTTTCATCTCATAATTACAAAAGGAATTATACCAAAATCACAAAAACTTTCAATTCAAACCCAACTCTTTCATACAAAAAGACATAAAACTTTTATCCACAAACACTCAAATCCATCTGCCTGTTCGGTTCTAGCCACCCATCGATACCTTCCAGGCAGGGACGGATCTACAGTACTAGAGCCAACACCGACGACTTTCGGCAAAATCTATAGCAAAACTACTTATCTATATATTATAACACTATGATCTAAGTATTATCAGCATACTATGACACCGATAGACACATTATAACACCAACGAATCGATTTTCTAGATCCGCCACTGCTTCTAGGCCATCACCCAACCACCGCTATAGCCCCAAGGTTAGGGCACCGAGTCCAAGGACCTGAGAGCGTTGGAACATGAAGGAGTTTGAGAAGGAGAGGAATGATATTGTAGGAAGAATAGCCGGTGTCTTAAGCCTCTAAAATAGACCTTATATATTTGTGAGAGTAGTCTTTATGGGATGTATTTCGTTGAGCTAGCTATATGTACATAAAGACTACCCACAAGGGAAAAAACTCTTCTATCTTTTACGGTAGTGCTACTCTCTCTCACTCTCTCAATGTCTGCTCTTAGGTTGGTGGGATCCATCTTAATACCCTTCTCTTATCATATACATTATGTGTATGACGATATATTTTTATAGGCCCTACGATAATATTAAGGTAGGTCATGTACATCGAGCATGCCTTTAGAAAAAAAAAAAGACGACGACGGAGAGACGCAACAAGCAACCGGGCATGGCCAGCCTGAAGGAGGTGAGGCCCATGCAGCCCGTTAAAATTAGGCCTTCCTCTATCTTCCTTTTTCAGGAATTCGGCCCACCAGTTAATCATCACCGGATAGTTAGCTTGAGCTAATCGACTCGCTCTCTTTATCAACAAAAAGTAAACAATACTACTAATTAACTTTGGTTGGTTGGGTGACATTTTATTTATTGGTTGAGGTTAGTTGGATAGACTTGCTCGGTATCTTCCAAATCGTTTCATATTCGTGTTTACTGGAATAATGTTTTCATATATATATATATATATATACACTAGTGCTACTAGTACGTATCTTGCCAAATCTCAATCGACCTCATAAGTCATAATGATAATATAAAGAGTTCATCCATGATCCATCCCCTTGCTGTTTCTCTCTCAACTGCTTCACACTGTTGCTCTCTTCCCTCTCTGCACCTGCAACCACCACCACAACCATATACCAGTACCATCGAGGAGGTTGCCTTCTCTTCCGGTCGGAAGCTTGCTTTCCTTTTCTTCTTCTTCTTTTCAGATCCAAGGTTAATTTCAGCCGACACACACAGGAATTGAACCTGTGCTCTTCCCAGGTTTCTGTCTGTCTGCAAAGTTGGCCGCTTTCTGCAGATTCATTTCCTTTGCCACGTTTTCTGCTGCAAAAGTTGGATCTTTGCAAGGGGGACTGGCTGATTTCATTTGAGGTTTCTGAATAAGTTGGGGAGCTTGATTTGGAGAGGGTAAGATACGGATGTTCCTTTTCCTTCTTCCGCCTGATTAATTGATTCCATCCCTACCATCTCCTCCTCCGTCTTTCAGGAGAAATTCTGTTTTGGTTCCTCTTCTCTTCTTGTGTCCAATTTGGTTTTGCACTTCGCATAGAAAAATACAGAAACATTTATATTTATCCAATTCATTTCTCTAGCTACTCAAACAGCGCTTCGCTTCTCTACCCTACCCCTTGTGCAAAGTTCTTGCAGATCTTAGAATTTCTCCTCACCAACATAGGACATATGCAATCTATTGCACATCACAAAGTTGGGATAACAAGAGCCAACCTTTTATCCTCTCTAGTCTCAGCAGATAAGGGGTCAAAATTTTACAACGCTGGTGTATGATGTAATTAGATTATTTGTAATTAACGCGGCCTTTTGTTGGCCTTTCACCATCACGGAGTTGGTCGCCTACGTTGAGATCTTGTATTAAGTTTGTGACAATAACTTGTACTCACTAACCGCGGTAGCCCACCACTTTAGACTATTCAAATGGGAATGGTATGCTCTAGAGTAGGCTTGACTTAATCTACATGATTGGATTATTTGTCCTGGATTCCTTGTTGAATGCTACTAATCATCTTCCATGGTGGATGCTTTAGTTTTATTCCATGGCACTAACTGCTTTGTGGTCTTCATTGCTCTGACATCACCGAGTAATCACTTTTGTCCTTCTCAGGTTACTTTTTTGGGGGTGATGTTTCGATTTGCAAATCAGAACAAGATTACTTAAGGTATTACCATGGTGTACTACTGTGATTTTGTTCTCCACGTACTTTCTGATTGCAGGAGCTCAGCAGTTGCTGATGTTTTATCTTGTGCATATGCAGTGCTGCTAAGCTCAATTGGAAGTGGAAGATCTTGGTCACGCGGCATCAGGTGAAAGTTTGGTCGCTGTGCATTTTTCACAAGGGATGTCTTTCCGCAGCATAGTCCGTGATGTTAGGGACAGCTTCGGGAGCTTATCAAGACGGAGTTTCGAGGTGAGAATTTCAGGCCTCCCTGGTCTTTCTGGCCATCACAGAGGGAAGTCCCTTGGATCTTTGAGCGAGCTGCGTGACAGACCTGTAGTAGTAGATCAAAGCAGATGGGTTGGTCTTCCTCCTGAATTACTCCGTGATGTGATGAAAAGACTGGAGGAAGGAGAGAGCAATTGGCCGTCCCGCAAAGATGTTGTTGCCTGTGCAGCAGTCTGCCGAACATGGAGAGAGATATGTAAGGATATAGTGCAAAGCCCGGAAATCTGTGGAAAGCTCACTTTTCCTGTGTCTCTAAAACAGGTAAAATCATGTTCAATTATATGTATGGTACCTTTGTGTAAAACTGTAAATGATTACATGAGATCAATCAAGCACCTAGATATATGCTAAGAATGTAAAGTCTTACCAAAGTTCTTGTGAACAACACATGTAGTCTATGGATAGCCAGCCAAAAGGATATTCTGGACTGGGGATGGGTGTGGGGCACATCATCACCCCAACTCCTTTTAAAAGTGTAAAGAATTGTATAGCTTATATTTCTTTTGCCACACTTGTAGTGTAGAACAACCAAAACGAACAAATGGTTGTGTTTCAAATCATAGCAGATGCTATGTTTATCAGGTAACACTGAAATTCTTGTAGGCAATTGAAATTAAAGACTAGATTCTGCAAATAGATGTGTCCTCTTATGAATGTCTGCACCTGTCTTTTATTAGATAATGGAAGCTTTATTGATCTCAGTCAAGTTATGTCTGCACCTGTCTAACTTTGATTTTTCATGTACAGCCTGGGCCTCGAGATGGTTTAATCCAGTGTTTTATCAAAAGGGACAAATCAAAATTAACTTATTATCTCTACCTGTGTCTTAGCCCTGGTAAGTATATGTAACCGCATCTCTTATTAATATTTAAATACCTACCGAACATTTTCTCAGTATACATGAAAGTTGTCACGCATGGTTATTCTTTTTTCCATTAACATTGGTTTAGAAACATAGATGGATGCAATGCTAATAATATGATTTCGATCATGTAGCTGTGCTCAGCGAGAATGGAAAATTCCTTCTTGCAGCTAAGAGGAATCGTCGGGCAACTTCTACGGAATACATAATTTCTGTGGATTCTAAAAACATCTCACGGTCAAGTAATGGTTATGTTGGAAAAATGAGGTGATGCACCATCCTTCACTAAGTGTTCCTGCCTAACTTCATTAACTTGAGTTTGGCATAGAAATATGCATTGAAATCTGACACTGCAAACACAAACAGGTCAAATTTTCTTGGCACCAAATTCGTTGTCTACGATACACAGCCCCCGTACAATGCTGGGAGCCTCATGTCATGTCAGCATGGCAGCCGGCGAATCTCTTCTAGGAGGGTTTCCCCAAAGTTACCCACCGGTAGCTACCCAATTGCTCATGTGAAATATGAGTTGAACGTTCTTGGCACTAGGGGGCCGAGGCGTATGCAATGCACCATGCATTCGATCCCAGCCTCAGCAGTTGATCCTGAAGGTGTGGTGCCTGGTCAGCCAGAGCAGCTTCTCCCAGGTCCATTCGAGGAGTCGTTTCGCAGCACAAACACCTCCTCCAGGTTCTCTTTCATGGACAGATCTCTGGACTTCAGCAGCTCCCGCTTCTCGGAAATCAGTGGATCAGCGAACCAACAGGGCGAGGATGATATACCTGAGGCTAAGGAGAGGCCTTTGGTTCTACGAAACAAAGTGCCAAGATGGCATGAGCAGCTGCAATGTTGGTGCCTCAACTTCCGTGGCCGGGTAACTGTGGCTTCTGTCAAGAATTTCCAGCTGATAGCTGCTGCGTCCTCTGAATCTTCACAGTTGGAGCAGCAGCAGCAGCAGCAGCAGCAAAACCATGCTTCGAGTTCTTCTTCGGCATCCGATCATGGCAAGGTGATCCTGCAGTTTGGTAAGGTTGGCAAGGACATGTTCACCATGGACTACCGGTACCCTCTCTCAGCATTCCAGGCTTTCGCCATCTGTTTGACCAGCTTCGACACCAAGCTGGCTTGTGAATAACATACATCAGTACTATAAGTGTGTTTGTATAGCGTGTCAGTGTGTGTGGATAGTATAAACATCAGTCAGTCTCGTTGTGTGCAGATGCAGGTGCAGTTTGTTGTTGCTGTTGATTTAGTTGTCTGTTCTTCTTGTGTGGCAGATGTGAACAAAGAATGGCAACACATCTCAAGTGCAGTTGTTTGCTGCTACTACATTTATATCATGTAAGTATTTGGAGGTTGGAAGTGGAACAACCCCAGGCTCCTCTAGTTTCTCGAGAGGGTATGCATCTTACTTGCGAATGTGATTTATCTACTCGGTCTATATATCTTGGTATCCTTTAGGATCATAGCTGCTATATGAGAGAAGCTACACTGCTACAGCCTGCATATGTGCTTGAAGGAGCCACTTGGAAAGGAGGCAATATCAGTTGATCGATTCATAGGCATGCAGATTATGTACAATTAACACTTAACAGTAATGAAGCACCATTCCTGCAATCTTGGAAACAAATCCTAGATGAAAAAAAAAAGAAACCTTCATAAACTGCTTAACGGGAGATCGTTACAGGAAGAACCCTATGATATGACTGACTAATCAACAGCCCACTCAAAATCCCAGGAAGAGATGGCAACACTCAACATACGTCAAATGACATCCGGATTCCATTTGTACACCTGATGAATAACAAGTTGTTGGTTGTCAGCAATCCATGAAAACAACTTCACTTTTCACAGCCACATTCATGTATTTGTCAACAAAGTACATCAGGATGTTGTTTCTTCTCAGGAGATGAAGGGAGTGCAGCATTGCCAGTTGGCAAGATCTCCAGATCTCTAACCTCACTAGAACTCTCAATCTTAGTTCTTGTAATTGGGATCTCATTGTCTAAACCAGGTGAGCAGTCAGCTCTGCGATATTTCACGCCATTGCTTTCAACTCCCAACTCTTCGTCACCCAGTTCATCTGACCGACGTTGTGAGGTCTTAAGGATGTCGAGGCCCATCTCAAGATCATCCTCGACTTTGGCTCGTGGACGGTGGGGTGTCTCCTCTTCTGCTACATTGGAACGGCTGATTCGTGGTGGTGCTACCCCATGGTCCTCTTGAACAATTGCTCTCAGGTTGATCCTTGAAGGCGCTCTTTTGGTGCAGAAGAATTCAGAACAGTTGTTCATGCAACCACGGTCAAACACGTTGGGTTGGTTGTTGTATTTGTACTTGAGGTTCTCATATGTTGTCTTCAAAAAAGGAAGTGGAAATTCAATTCAGATCATAGTTTTCAATTTTTCATAAATGCAAGAAAGAATTAGTGTACATGATGCATCATTGCAATACTTAATTCCATTTCTATTCTCAATAAAAATTCATCCAGTGAGATTTGACTTGATCACTAGTGCACTAAATTCAAAATAGCAGGTAGGCATTTCGGACCTGTGGTTATGTACATAACTACATACAAACCTTCTGCATGATATTTAAAGGTGACCTATATACCTTTGTCAGCAGAAAGGCTACACATTTTATACTTTACCATTCACTCTGTATAATTGGAGTACTAACCTTATTTGTTGCAATGAGGTAAGAATGGAACCCTGTGAGACCACCAACGAACCAGAAACAGATGAAACAATATGCCATAATTGCCACTGATGCTGGAGATTCTTTAATTGCCTTTATCACTGAATGATGATCCCTATTCATGAGAAGCTTGATGTGCAAAGCGCACATTGAAAATATGTAGATGCACAGGATGGCTGCTGAAGATACAAAACAGAAGAAGTAGCGATAATTGCGCTGCAAAGGGGAAATAAAAGCATATTAACTGAGATGGTTTCATATGAACAGCTGTCAGGGTGTAGAAACTAAAGCCACCCATAGCTGGATTATTTTATTTTGAAAAGAAATTAAACATAACAGACCTGTCCAATGCACTGCCCAACCCAAGGACAGTGGTGATCAAAGCGCTCGACACAGTTATCACATTTGGAACAGTGAGAGCAGCGCGGAGGTCGATATATCATGCAAGTGTCACAGTATTTTACTTTCACGGGTACACCATTGACCAAAATCTCCTTGACCCGTGGAAACTGAAGAGTGTGTGGAGCTGAAGCATCATGAGAAAACTCTTCCACAGGTGGATGTGAGTTCCGTGGTACAATACCTGGATCTTGAGATGAGGTCAAGAAGAGCAGTAACAGTACCTAACAATCAGGTTTTGCAGAGAAGGATCCTATGATTTTGGCGGTGTCTGTAAAAAGTACTGTGAAATAAAATACGATAAAACAATCTACACACTCTAGAGATAGAATATTTTTTATAAATTTTGGAGACCAGTAAGATAAATGATCATGATAATATATACAACTGAGTATATGTAAGAGGAAAAGAGGACCAATTGCACTGAGAAAAATGAAGACCAAAGTATCAATCAATCCAGTGAACATCTTCTAAAAAGGGCATCGAAGATGATAACTCGGTAAACACACAAAAAAAGTTTGGTTCATCAATTAATGAGATATATCGAAGGTTGAAACAGGGTATGTCATTATAATCACAACTCGGATGATCCATCACTTGATAAACTAAAAGGAACCTATAAGATCCCTTTCCATTAGTGAAACTATGCTCGTAGCGCTTTTGTCAACTGTATTAACAACACAACATTTTAAGGCAATGAAGATGACGAACCCCAGTGAATTACCAATTCACCTCATGAAAAGGACTACAGCTTTACTAACATATTGACCTCTGCATTTCTGATTACCAGATAAGATGCAACAATTTGTTAAAATATTAAATTTCCAAAATACTGCTGGATTCATGATTATATTATTTGTTCCATATGGATAGTTAGCAGCTTTCAACAGATCTTTCATTTCAATCACATCAGGTTTTCTGTTGAAGGGTCTAAAATAAAGTTGCTTTCTCATGATTGTTGGTGACAGGACAAATCCTACACAGGAACCTTAGCATAATTCTGAAGTACAAAGGCACAGAAAGCCTACTTACATAAATTGAGAGGACTATGGTAACAGCAAGAATTGCATACCCTGCATTATATGCAGGAAACATGTGTATGAGATGCCTCGCCACAAAGTAGCAGAAGACGGCAACCGGGATTGCAATTAGAGAGAAAGATAGCAGAGTGGCCTTGGCATCTGGTCCAAAGATAAACCTTCCACCGCACAAGATTATCTGAACAAAGAGAAACACGTTGATGACACATTAAAAATGTTTATATTAACTGCTGGTATAAACTGCAAGCAAAGGTGAAAATTCCGAAATCCTAAAAGGTTTGATATGATATTGTGTAAAATCTGCAGTTGTCCAACTCCATCAGAACTCCTATCAAGGCCATTGTTTTTACACTAGCCTGAACTCTGAATAAGACAAGTTGCTGAAAGCAATAATTCTAAAGAGAAGAGTAAAAAGAAGATTTAAGCAACGTAATGTTTGCAAGTGTAGCACATTATTTTTTATGCAGCCTGAAGCCAGGTTGAATTAGCTGCAGAAAGACAGGACCTTGGGACTCCTGTCCCAATTGGATTATGTTATTGGAAACAAAAGAGGGTTATCATCCAGAATGGCCCCAAAGCTCCAAACTGATTAACGATAGTTTATTCATCTAACTCATCAACAGTGTAGTAAAATATAGTACAAACCAGGCGCACAAACCAATTAACTAATAAACTAGCCTAGCTAACCACACACAAAGATATGGGCCGGAAGCAGTTTCCTTTATCTAATCCCCAAAAGTATTCGTCAGAGCAGGTTAGAACAAATCACATCGCGAAATGTTAGGCGCCAACGGGACAGACAGAAATGGAAGCGGGCAAAATCAACAGTCGATCCGAACCCAAGAAAAGCGCGGATTATGGGGACAAGAAGGGGGACGGGGGCGCAAGAAAGAAAGAAGAGAGGGATCGTGGAGGAGGAGGAGGAGTAATCCAATCTCACTCACGTTGTTGCCTTTCCAGACTTGGTAAACCCGCTGCTGCTTGGCCATGGCCATGGCCGCAGGCCGCACGAAGGAAGAAGAAGAAGAGGAGAAAGCCACTCCACAACACTTTGGCCACTCTTCCTTGTTGTAGAATCCTTTATGATTTGATTTCCTCTTGAAAGGGAGAAGGAAAAGGGTTCAGGACAGGAGACGAGATGCCATCAGCATCACTTGGGTCGTCTTCTTCTCCCTCCTGCGTCTGCGTCTGTGTGTGTGATCTGGGTGTAGGGGGAGCTAAACGAAACCTATGAGGAAGGCAAGGCAGGCTCCTATATCCATCCAATCCTACCTTCTTGTTAGCCCGCCCCGGACTACCAAAGCATCTCTCTCCTCTCATCCTCTACTCTTTCTTTCTTTTTTCTTTCTTTTTATTTATCCCCTATATACTCCTTACTACTAGAGAAACAAGAACTATCAATTGATGATGGTATTATCATTAATGTGGGGTCTTAATGTCTGCAGTTGATCATCCAGTTGTGATATTCAATACAAATAAAAATTAATCACAAACTGTCCAAATAAAATTAATGGCACTCTCTAATATAATATATGATAAAGTATTACTTGAGTGATCGTGCAAATTTGTTTTTTGTTCGATCACACGGGATATAAATACGTGTACACACACATATGAGTGTATCTTCTAATTATATTACATACCATGAGCCCATCGGATTTTTCATGTGAAGTTTATTTAGGAAATGTAATAATTTCACATGTTATTCTTTTTAAGGAATGTCACTGGAAATAAGGGACAATTGATTGCGTTGTGATACTACTATAAAAAAAAGTTGCATGTTCATAAATTGTGGGAGTACAGGTAACCAGGGACCATTTATGCTGGTGACATGTTGTACAGGAAAGACAATGGACCATCACTGTTGCAGTGGAATCTGGCATAGCAAAGCATCAGATCCCTTGATTATAAGAGATCAATGTCTCCCTTAATTGTCACTCACATGTTCAAGGCAGATGAATGAATTTATTAAAACACCCCCATTGGACCATATTTGTCCAAAGATTAGTCAGTAGTTCCCATATGCATTTAGACAATTGTCGTGTGTCCGTGTACAAAGATTATGCTTTAGCTAACTGACTAACCAGTTATTCCTTATCCCTGGAAAGGATCAACGACATTTTTCTAGTTACTACTTGGGTTACACACATACACCATGCCGACAAAGTTGTTCAAACAGATTGTTATCTGATTAGAGAACGTGTAAAGAACAATCTTGGTGGGAATATATGCTTAGTTTGATGCTGTTATCCACCGACTAAGTTGAAAAAATCAGGCATCCAGCTAGTAGCACAACCTGGAATTTCTTGGAACATAAAGTGCATAAGATCAAGAATAATCCTGATGACATATGCAGAATCTGTTCCATTTGCTGTCTATGCATAATAGGCATATTTTGCACCTGTAAAAGGTCTTACCACAACATTTTTTTACAATGCGATTGCAGTTATTTTATGAGCAATAAGATCACTTGATATGCAGAAAAATATTGCCTCAAATAAAAGGAATGATCTACAGCTCGGCACATGAACAATTTCTCCAGCTAATCTGGCATCTACAGCTCTCATTAACAAAAAAGAAAAAGAAGTTACAAACCAATGGAACAGGTGGCTAAAAAAAGAGCAGAAAATTTTGCCTCAGAATGGCAGTACAGTATGTGCTTGTACCAGCAGAGCACAAAGACAGCACAAGCTCAAGTGAATGGGTCTGCTCTTAATAAGAGAGTATGACCAGGATCAGAAGTGCCACTCCGAAGAAGAAGCTCAGCTTTGGTAGTACAACCCGAGCCATTGCGCCGCTGGAACTGGAGCTGCCGCCTGCACTTGTGCCCTTGCCGCCGCTGGGTGCCTTCCGAGGCGACGGCGGCGGTGAAGGTGGAGGTATCACACATGTCCCGAATGTCGAATTCGCCTGCAGCTCAGAGGTCACAACAACATCATCATCATGCAGATACAATACAAGAAATGCAATGGAAGTTCTGATCCAAGTAAACAGCCAGGTGTGGTTGCAACATTAACTACTAGATAGATGGCCCCGTTTTCATCATTAAGACATATCATTCATAATCCCATCACCTATTGTTCTGCCTAACATCTAAGAGTAGACTTGACACAATATCCACTTGCTGATGAGATGCAACCTAACTTGCCTTTTCCATTGCAAAATATCACATAAATATGTAGAATAAATAGCTACACCATTATTCTGATTCAGCTTTCCATGGTATGCAACATTTATTTTTATCAAAATGTAACATGTTGTTTTTTACAAGTAGAACTTGTGGCCAAGAGAAATGTTGTATGTCCTTACCTTGCAGTATGCGATGTTGTCACACCCACATACTAGATGACCATTTGCGATGTCAGTAGCTAAGGGAGCTCCTCCACCATCGCTCCTCTGCATGATTCAGAGTGGAGATTTATAATAACAAAAGATGTCCAAACATATTTCATATGGATTAAAGAGTGAAACAATTCCCAAGTTGATGTACCATGTAGAAATCAACAGCGATGTAATTGGGCCACCGATTGCCCGAGAGATCATGGCAGGTTTTCAGCATGCTAACAAGTGGCGCTGAGTTGTTTGCGCAAACCCCTGTTTGACTTGGGTCTGTTGTGAAGAAGTTCATCAGGACAAGAGACTGGCTTTTGGAATCCATGGCTGGAGACTCTGCACGATTCGGGCATTTACCCTCTACCATCCCTTCATTTCCATCTGCACAGACAAAAGATAACAGGTCAAATAAGAACATAAATGTTTCACGTTCTGACATCACCAATTTTGTTTTGAAATCCTACATTGGTTTTCCACGACGTAACTCCACTCGTAAGCGATCCCCTCGCTTGCTTCTTTTGATTTCTTTGATGTGAAGACTAGCAGGCGCTCGTTCTGGCTGATCATGTCCTTGAGTAGAGGCCAGTCGCCACCGCTCTTGGGCATTTTAGCCACTGGGAACCAATACTTCATGAGTCCAGAAGCATTGAATACTTTTGGCAGAGACCCAGAAGCAGTATAATCTTCCAAGAAAATTGTGATTACTTCTGAAGGGTTACCGTCAAGGAACGTCCGGATTTCTTTCAACACATTGATGGCAGGTTGCTGACCACAAAACCAACTCAATGTTAGAGTTACAAGATCAACATACTCTCGGTGTGAGAGAGAGGAGAGATAGGAGAAAGAGAGAAATGCCCAGTTGATCATCTTACAAAGGCTGTGAAGTTAAAGCATTTCCCTTGAAATGAGTGGCACAGCCAGACATCATTATTGAAGTCGTAAGTGTCAAGCATCAAGCCCCTAACACCATTCTGCATGTTATCAAGTAAGTTTCCAATGGTTAAATTTTTTTAATAACAAATAACAAGTCAAAATTCAGAGTGTGAATGGACAACCACAAGATACAGGTTTGTATCTTTGTGGTAAAAAAATGAATTTATTCAGTAGCTGCAAAATAGGCCACAGTATTTTTAGGTGGGTTTGGTGGATTTTTTTTTTTTTTTGAGAAAAGGCTTGCGACCAGCTTTTTTAAAGAAACCATAAGAGTGCACACAGAGTCTGGAACATGTTTGTGGATTTTCCACCCTCAAAGACATACGAGTAGAAAATCCTCAGCCGTCACTGTTGAGGAGTGGCTTAATTCTGAAGTGTGATGAGAAAAAGGAGCTGCATCAAGTTTACACTTTTAAATACAACAACTGTATTTATAAACTTTGGTATAAGAACTTCCTACTTTAGAACGCCAATTAAAAAGAAAAAAGTAAGATGATATGGTATGATAAACTGAGTGAGTATGGCCCCTTTGTTTTCTTAAGACCAAAGCAATCGATATCTTCACAGCTTAGTACCAGAACCAGATATGATTACAACAAAGTCTACTTGTCAATCGCTACCTTCAAGAATCTCTTTCGCTTTTAAACACATTGAGCATCACCACGGTTTGAAGATTTAGTTATTTTGAAGAGGCAATAAACAATATAAGAATGTGAAAACATGCTTAAGTTGCATCAAGTCATTCCCATGGTGAACACCGCAAAAAAAGAAAACAAAGAAAAAATAGAAAACCGTGTCATAAGTTGCAGCATGTGAGGAAAATTTAAGTCAAACAACCATTAATCTGTTGTATCTTTCAGCAGTATTTATTGAAAGCCAGAATTGTGCCAAAGCTGGTAAATGGGCCAACCACAGGCAACTAAGACACAGAAAATGGATGCATAAGCTGTAGCTAGTTGTTAATTCTTCTTTGTTTACTCCCTTCTTTAATTAACCTCGAATTATTCATAGTCTTTGTATGGAAAATGTCATTGCAAGAAGCTCCATACATGTAAACTTTAAATTTAAAATCTGTATTGTGTGTTTGTCTTGGATATTGACCTTAATATCCAATAAGGTGTGATTTGGTAGCACAAGCCCGGAGGCAAAGGGAAGACATCTAACATGAAGTGAAAAGGGATCCAGATATCTAAAAGGGAAAAAAAGAAGAGTTGAAAAAGGAGCCAGTTTGATTTTGTCTGCAGGCACCAGAGTTGGAAGAAAAGCATGGCGATATAACATGAACATGTGTTAATTGCAAAAGGACAGTCTTTTTTTGTGTATAAGGTAATGGAGAAATGGTGCGTGCAGACTTGCTTTGTGGGTATGGAGTTAATATATTCCTAAGAAAGACAAAAGGAGTGGGCAGGTAGGGTGGTGAAACCCTGTGTGTGTAAGCATGACCTTTGGTTTTAGATCGAAGATGGCGAGACCTACTCAACAACCATCAGAATAATTTGTTAGATGGATAAGGAAGCAGGTAGAGCAATAATGCAAAGAAAGATGGAGGTGCGTTGTCCATTATTATTATTATTATTGGTGGTAAAAGGGGAGGATGTGATCGAAATCTCTATTGTGGAGATTGAAAGGGTCAGGCTTTGGTAAAGTAAAACTTGGATTACAGTGAAAAAAAAAGTTATCTTTGCGTAGAAACTTAATATTGTTGAGTAACTCAATAGCATAGCGATTATCGTCAAGTGTTAATATTGTTGGCTAAAACTGTATGGCATATGGCACACAGCCAAAGGAAAATTACGATTCTTCATGTTTTACGGAGGGAAAGGAAGGAAAATCGTGTTTACCTAGTCGGACTGCAATACTAATACTAATAGTACCAATTTTTATTACTAGCACATCTCATGAAGAAGAGAGAAAGAAGCGAGCGGTGGGGCCCACACGGCAGGAAAAGGAAGTGGCGGACAGGTGGGCCACAGCCATGTGACGGTCACCAACCGCCGCGGGCGCCGGAAGCGGAGAAGAAATGCGGCGGCGATACCTTGAGCTGGGCGGTGATGGTGTCCTCCTGGTTGGTTTGGGTGATGAGGGCGGAGCCGGTGGCGGAGGAGGAGCCGGCGAGGGCGTACGAGTTGTGCGTCGTCAGCCATGAGTAGTTGTTGAAGGGGAGATCCGTGCCCTGCTCCGTTCAACCACTATCCATCATCAGATCCATGAATCCATCCAGGTCCAGGAGCAACAAGAAGAAGAAGAAGAAGAAGACGTACGTGCGTGAGCGGGTCGATGGGCTTGGCGCGCGTGCACGTCTTGTCGCCGCCGCCGCCGCCGCCGCAGTCGCTGCAGTGCAGCCCCGCGCCGCAGTCTCCCTCCGACGAGCACGTGTCCCCCACGCTCGCCGCGCTTGCGCCGGAGGCGAGCAGGACGAGGGCGAGGGCGAGGAGGAGGCGCGGGGCCATGGATGGTTGCGAGGTCGACTCGCGGCGGCGGCTTAATTAGCTACTACACTAGACTTGATTGATTTGAACAACCTTACCAATACAAACATGCAATGCCAACAAAAGGAACAAAGAGTATTAGTATTACTCCTATATTGTAATACTAATACTATTATGTAAAAGAAGAAAAGTAGAAGAGGAAAGAAAGAAGAAGAGGGAGTCCAATTCCAAGTCCCACGACACGAGGAGGTCTATTACTATTTCTATTTTGTGTTAGTACTCCCTCAATCCTAAAATAGGTGCAATTTTGCACTGTTTATGTCTCACATTTAAGTTGACAGTACATACAGACCTGCTTTTATTTTTGACAACACATACAGACCTGATCAACAAATTAATTACTCCTGCAATCTTCTTCTCTCTCCGATACGAATTCATCGTCGTCGTCATCATTTATAGTACCAGTGTTGACAAAGCTAGCTACTATATAGTAGCTAAAGAAATGTAAGCTGGCATGTAGTGATTAATGTACTCGTACGTGCCACGGGTAACAAACACGTCTGGCCGTGGCCGCCCGGCGACTTTTTAATTTGTTCCCAAAACACTATCACCTTGCTTAGCTGCCTTTCCTCAATTCATCCTCTCTCTCTGACAATCTCTCCGTCAGCATTTCTAAATTCTAACCCAGCATTGCTTACTTCAATCTTCTCGCCCTCCATCTCAGACTTGTTCCTTCATCCTTGTTGATTGTCTCCGTCTCTATCTACACCTTGCCGCCTTTCCTCAATTCATCTCATCCTCCTTTTTTTTTTTCTTTCTTTCTTTCACAATCTCTCTCCCTCAGCATTTGTTTGTAATCCGGAATTGCCTACCTCAACACGATCAACATATGCCAAGTCTAATTTTCACCATTCCCCCATATGAACGAACACTCAACCAAAACCATGTGTCCAGATAGATGGACCATTTCTTCCGCTCACACGTACTGTATATCCATTCCAGACGCCAAATTTTGCTTCCCGACACTCATCTTGGACCATCCATATATATATATATATATATATATATATATATATATATATATATATATCGCACCTGGCTCTGCAATGCAAGCCCATTATATCCACCATAAGCTACCTAGCTACCTGCATCTCTCTTTTTGCTAATTCCATGCATGCTGCTTCTCAACAAGCATTCCACCACAGATGATGCATATAAACATGAATTCATGCCTTCAAGCATCTGATATTTACACACCACATCACATTTGCCGCCCGGAGTTCTGCAGTTTCCACACGACTATTTACACAACCACTTTCCTCTACTATAAACACTTGTGAATCTTAAACTGAATACTGATCCACATTGGGGTACAACTAGCAAGGACGCAGTGTACATCTTCACAAGTGCAACCGAATATTTACAGACCCCCCCATATATAGGGTCAGTTTGGAGCTAGCGCTCATATGGGCTTCCACGCAGTTATGACCTCTTGGAACATTTCCAGCATCAGCTCACGATCTGCGTGCTGGAAGAAGCTATTGATCTCCTCCCTCACATCGTATATCTTCCCAAAAACAAACAGGTAGGTCAGGCACCCTTTCTTCAGCTTTTGCAGCTGGTACAGCCACGCGACGTGAAGCCTCTCGAGGACATTGCTAGAGTTTATATCCTCCAGGAGGCTCTCCTCGCAGCAGTCCTTGATATCAGAAATGCTGTACTTGTTCGCTGCGGCGAGCAGCGAGAGGCGGTGCTTCCAGAACTGGTCTAGCTTTATGGTCCCGTAGATGAAGCCAATCAGAGCAGAGCAAGACTCAAGGCACATGTCATTTATGTTGATTGTGGAGGACTCCTTTTCCTTGAGATCATGGAGGAACATGCTTTCAAACACAGGAGAACATGATGCAAGGATGGCCTTATGGGCCTTGAGGACACCATCAGTCGTATTTATGGTGACGTCTGCATGTATCGACTCCGTGAGCATGCGCGAAAGGCATCCGAGACTGCTCTTACTAGCAATGTTCTGCACCGCTATGCTTTCATTTGGCCAAATCGAGGTAGATGATTCTGCAGCCTGTAACCATATCACATTACATTAGCATATTATTATTATCAGTAGGCATCTGTTTGAACAGTAGGACTTGTCATAACCTCCAAGCCACATACATACATACATACATATATATATATATGTATACACACACACACACACACACACACACATATATATATATAAACTACCGTGTAAAGAAAGAGAAGTGTGAGATGTTCTGAAAAAGAAGCGGAATTATTTTGGAACCAATTTTGAGGACAAGAGGTGGATACTTGCATTGTTAGAGGCTATCTTCAGGTCCAAAAACTCAACATCAATAGTGAAACGCCCAGCGTACATCGTATCAAGTTGCCAGAAAAAGTCTTCGCTGCTTCGGAGGAGATGCTCATGCACTGTCAGGAAAAATTGGACAATACTTATGAAGATCAATGAGGCTGCCCGTAACATCAGTAAAACATCACTGCAGTAGCTATAGAAGCAAGATGACTATGGAATGACTTGGAAATAAAAGCCATTGGGCTGTTAATGCTTGAAAGTGAACATTACCCTATTTTCGTTCTATTCATATTATAACAATGACAAAGCCACCCAAATTCCAGTAAACCTAGTGTCCTGTGAAAATTAGAAAACAGACACCTTATGTTTCATGAAGGAGATGGTGGAGCTGTTCTGAGCTTAAAAAGGTTCACCCAAAACTAAAGCAGTAGAATGGAAGGTAGAAACAGTCTTCTGCGTATAGCCCTTCCCTTTGAGTTATTGCTCACATGATAGTTGGAATTAAAATGAAAGTGTTATGCAAGAAAACACCTTTTCCCCCCAATATGCCCTACGAGTATTTCATAGAGAAATATGATGACCATATGCATAGGGAGGGTCTGACTCTTTGGGAGCATCTTCAACTAGCCACCATACCTGAATGGTGAATGGTACTACTAGAGTAGATAGCTGGTAAGGGAAGTGAAGAAGTGCTCTATTAGACAATTTGCAGATAGCATGTTAAGTGGTCAGGTCAGGTCAGGTGTTCAAAGTCTGAAGATGGCATGGAGAGTGAAGACAAGACATGCACTAAAACGGGGATGGTCCATAGCCTAAAGCTAAATATGGTGGTGGTGGCAAGAAGAAAGAAGAAAGTAGAGGAGTATATGTACCAGGGGAGACGCAGGAGCGGCGTGGCGGGCCGGACCAGCAAGCTCGGAGAAGGAAGCGGGCGAGCGGGGGCCGTTCCTTGGCCACCCGCCCGGGCTCCGGGAACAGCCTCACGTATACATATCGAGCCTTCTCCACCGATAGGTACCTGCACGGATTCGGATCGAATTGGCGGATGATTTGATTTGATAGGGCAAATCGGTGATCTCTGAGTAGTGGGGGATTGGGATTGGGAAGGGAACCAGTTCCAGATGCCGATCTTGAAGGAATCGGAGCGGCGGTAGGAGGAGGGGCCGAAGGTGTCGATGCGCCACTGGGCCAGCCGGGAGATGGTCTCCACCCGGTTCTCCCTCTCCATCCCGCCGCCGCCGCCGCCGCCGCGCCGTCTCCTCTCACTCTACTTGTAATAACTCCCGGTAACATAACTCATTAACTTTTCCTTTTTCCTGGTCAACAACATTTTTCTTATCTTAGAAAAAAACAAAGAGATAAACTTTAAGCCTGTTCAGATTGTAGCTAAAATAAACCTTACTAATTTTTAGCAAGATGGCAATATTACTAAAATTTTAGTACGATTTCTTATATATTTATCAAATTTAGTAACAAACTAAACATAAATTTTATTTGGCAGCTTTATAAAAAATAATATGGTTGAAAATGGCATCAAAATGAACATGCCCTTTCCGAGACATCACATTTTTATGGGTGATGCAATGTATCAAAAAAAATACACACAATTTTGAAAAGTAATTTTGAAATAGAAGATTTCTATTGTAGTATAAATACACACAATTTTGGAACCGGACAACACAAGATGCTCAAGGGAAGAATGCCAAGAGAAAAAAAAATTAAAGAAAAAAAAAAGGTCCCACCGGGATTCGAACCCAGGTCGCCAGATTCAAAGTCTGGAGTGCTAACCACTACACCATGGAACCATTATTGTTGCTAATTATCTCTGTAAACTTATTTATACAAATAATATTCGTTAGAGCCCACTTGAGACGGCCCATTAGTTTATAGAATGATAATAGCTAGGCCTCTTTCGTCAGATGGTTCGACCTTCCAAGTCCAACTGTACGCACCGCTTCAAATCTGTTTGCTCCCTCTTCAATTATTCTCCTACATTGTTTACGAGGTTTAGGGCTTGTTCCTTCTAAAGAAATTGTAATGGAAAAGTACTGAAATATGTCATCCTTTAACACTAAACTGCCCATTTGTTTTAAAGAAACTCACGAAAGGCAAATTTCATATCCCTCTACTTTAGGAGGAAAAAAAATCCACCTCAACATAATGTTTTCAATCCTTTGTACTGTTTACCGAACAACCATAGAAAAGTTTACTATGTTTTCAACCCTTAGGTTTGCACATGTATTATCATATATTCCTACTTTTTTTTCTATTTTTATGTTGTGAAAATCCTACAAAGCAAATGAGCCCTTGAGGGAAACAAAACTTTTTTTTTACCAAAAATGTGGTGACACTTTTGTTCATTTCAGCCCTATATATGTAATCTCTCTCTCTCTCTCATTTTAGTATATAACTATCTCTCATATCATATCTTCTAGGCAGTTGATTAATTACTTTTAATTTTGTTTCTCTTAAACACATGTATTATCATATATTCCTACTTTTTTTTCTATTTCTATGTTGTGAAAATCCTACAAAGCAAATGAGCCCTTGAGGGAAACAAAACATTTTTTTACCAAAAATATGGTGACACTTTTGTCTAGTTCATTTCAACCCTCCCTCTCTCTCTCATTTTAGTATATAACTATCTCTCATATCATATCTTCTAGGCAGTTGATTAATTACTTTTAATTTTGTTTCTCTTAAACATTGTGTATTAAAAAAAAATACAATGTAACTGCAGAAATTTATAATATAACTTTAAAAATTTACAATGTAAATGTAGTTAATATATAGCACAAAAATGATTTGACTATTTTCTATTTAAATTGTGGCGCAATAAATATAGCTAGTCAAGAAAATAGAATATCTCTACCATATCTATACTTCTTTAAAAAGACTCTAAAGTTGTGTTCTTTTGGGCGGGTTGGGAACCTCTCACCTCCACATGCAAAACGGAGCGATAGATTAACACATGATAACGTGGCAATGATGCATCTGTCTTTCCCTACCTATTTCCGTTGTAGCTTTTACATATTACCCACTTAAACTTCTTAATATTACATAAGAACTAAATCTAAATAGATAGCCACATGTAAAATTAAATTAAGATAACTATTCCATATAGGAAAAGGTAGATAACATATCTCACAAAAAAGTACTTTTCTTTATTTTGAGAAATATTGTGATATTTTTTGTACTTTTATCACTAGCAAAGTGCGACATTTAGCTAGTTAGAAAAGCTAGCATACGTCATACCATCCCGGTACGTATATAAGACAATATAGTCATGTAGTCCACACGTTACAGCCGAAACATGGCCATACCTTATGCTCAATGTCCCCATGCCCAAGCCTAGCCATGTGACCACACCTTGATTCTCCACATTCCTCCTCTACTAAATTGCTCATGTCGAAGAGCATATGCAGGCCTAGCGCAACAAATACATGCAGCTGCGTGAGCCGATTTGATCATACATAACTTTCTCCCTAGTTTTTTTTGTTCTTAACTTAATTTTTCCCCTTCATTTCATTTGATTTCATTTGTCAGTATTAACTAATGCACCATACCCTTTTATTTGTATATCTTAAATTTCTTACTCCAAGCACTATTGGAGCTATGCATATCGACTGGTGATACCATGATAATCTTATGTATTCAAGGGCAAACATTAATAATATTTAGCGATGCTACATTGATGATACTCTACTAATGCACCAATTACACTTATAGCATGCTAAAGATAATCGTAAACATATTATACGGTCAATACACCAACAATAATGATAAACAATGATGAAACCCTCAATACAATGATGATATTCATGACACATTGATACACCAACGGTATGAAGTGGACAATATATTTGACATGCCAATGGTACTATCACCCAAAGGATATCTCAAATACAACAATACCATGCCTATAATACCTCTCATGCATCAACAATAACACGTTGATGATACCTCCAACACACATATAGTACTCAAATTGGAATATCGATGATATTTGAAATACATTGACCATAAAAAAACTAAGAACTCAACATTATGATATATCCACAATACTATAGTATCATGCTACTTGTTGAGTCATAATACCTTTGTGGTACCATGAAGAATCATTGATGTTTTGTGATACGTCTTGATTTCATCAATTCATGATACCCGTAGGTATCACGGATATTTCATGATACCTATAGGATTAATGGTACCTTGTAGATATCACCGATGTTTCCATCATGACACCTTGTGGTATCATGATACCCGTAGGTATCACCAATATTTCATGACACCCAAATGTATTAGGTACCTTTGTTGTATCATGATACCAGTTGGTATCACCGATATTTCATAATATCCATATGTAGCATGGTACCTTGTGGTGTTATGATACTCGTAGGTATCACTGATATTTCATAATTCCTAGATGTATCAGGTACCTTGTGGTATCATGATACCAATAGAGATACCATCGACAATTCATGATACCTTTAGGTATCACCATGTTTCATGGTGCCCATATGTAGCATTTACATTGTTGTATCATGACGTACCACCAATGTTTCACGAAGGAATCCTCTATATAGGTGTGTGTCAGGGTTTAGGGGTAACTAAATTTCTATAGTAACATTATGAAGCTATATCAAGGTTGTAAGATTATATCATAGAGATATCACCTATATTTATAGTGGCTTTCATATAGTGTTGTCTGATAAGCCAACAAGTAGATAATAAAGGCCTATGTAGGTATTACTAAGGTTTTATATATGGTGCTATCAGTGATATGTATATCACAAAATTTTCATGAACGTGTTGAGCTCATCTTTTCCCTTCGTCGGTCCAGCCCAACTGCTATCTATCCTAATTAGAGAGGGAGGCATGCTATCCTAGACCAAAACACACAAATTATGCTGACAAGAACGGCCACTAAAGCCAGCCCAATCCGGCCAATGCACAAAGCTTAATCTAGCATGGGCTATGTAACGCGTGCGGGCCGATAGGGTTCCATGGCTAGCACTTAAGCAAAATAAGTGCTCAGCTCGCGAAATAGTGGCACGTTGAACATAAGTAGAAGCACTAGCAAGTCAGGTATACCATTAAGATGATATATCGTACGCTAGTTGCTCCCTATGTAAAAACATAGCGGAAAAAATATGGTTCCCTATAGTTTTTTTATCTGTAGAGAACAAAGGGTAGAGGGCCCACCACACTCTTACCATCGTCTACCAGCATGCAGAAAACAACATAGGCAGTGCCATAAAAGTTGTATGGGACAAACTCTCATTTGCTTCCTAAATTTTTTTGCTTTGACCCAATTTTGTTTTTTTTTCGCCATCTCTCATCTCTAATATCCCCTTTTCTTATGCTCCTTCCATCCCAAAATATATATACAACTTCTAGAGTTCAAATTTTGTCCCAAATAAAACAACCTAATACTTGTAAAAGATGATTTTTACAACTAAACTACCTATACTACCCCTTAACTTCATTATCACCTGAAAGTCTAGGTCCACAACTCACCCACCTTGAGGAGACAAACAAGTCTTTTTACCCCCTCTCCTTAATATTCACTGAGAAGAGAGATAGTAGCTAGTGGCTAAAATTGGCTATATTTTAGCATGCGCACGCGTGTTGTGTGTGTGGACTCTTTTCTAACCTCAATCTAGAGCTACCTCTATTCTTCTCTTCTCTGGTGAAATGAGCAACCATGATCTCCCACCTGCCAGCAGTAGGTGTCCTCCTAACTTTCCATCCATGACCCCCCCCTCAAATCACTAAAATTTTCATCCCAATTAAAACCCTGCTCTAAAGGTGCAATCCTCATCGAACCTAAGACTAGCATCAGGTTACTTGTGCTAGGCAGGTAGGTAACTTGTCCTCATGCGTCCCACTATTCCTAGAGGTTCTCAGTTAAGTAGATCGAGGAGGAGGTAGATGTAGTAAAGAGGTGGTGGCCTTGGCGTGTTATCTAAGAGTGATGTATGATCGTGTGTCATTTACATCTTAAAATTGTAGCCTTAAAAATACAAATCTTAAGGGGCTGTGTGTTGTTTAGTTGCCTGAAAACAAGAAAAAATTAGTAAAACTTTGAATAGCCACAATATATCGTTTTAAGATTCGTGCAATTCCCTAACCCTACCATTTCTTATCTTCTTCCTTACATTCTCGACACAATTCCTCTTTATCCCTCCCGATCCCCCAACCCAACACACACCTCCTCTTCCACCATGCCATATGTACAGAAATTGTTCTACTCCTAACCAGATAGAGCATGGCTATTGATTTCACTAGAGAGGCGTAGATGAGCTTTAGTGTGCCCCACCCTTCTTTGTGCCATCGCCCCCACCATGCTCTTTCTTCATTTTCCCAAAGAGATACCCGGCTCGCCCCACCTTGCCTGTCGGATTATCCACCAACTCCTAGTTGATCACCTCACCCCTGCCAACAACTGACCCTCTCCTTGCCTGTGGCTCCAACGCCATCACTGTCACCTTGTACCATATACCTTCACCATCGAGCTGCCACCTCCACAGCCATCCCTCTAAGCACTACAATGGTGCTAGCTTTCCTTGACGAGGCATTTTCATCAAGAAGTAGCGCAATCCACACGCACATATGCTGGAGAGAGACGTTGATGGATCTATTAAAGGGGATGGGTGGATTTGGGGGTTTGCGGGTGAAAGGGCATACATACACACGCTGATTTAGAAAACGAATGCCGGACAAATGCATACGGTCCATGTAAACACTGGAAAAATGCACATGTTTTCTCTTACTTACACGTGGGGCTTTCTTGAAACTATATATTATTGATTAGTTATATGATGAAAATACTTGTACACCTATGCTAGTACAGTTGTTACGACTAATTAGGCCTAGATTATATATGACGAATTTTTCCATACAATCCCATACTTACAAATGGGACCAACTTTGTTGTGGGCTCATGAGGACCCTGCCTACCAAGTTATACAACAAAATTCTTCGTCACCGTGTGATAGCCCAACTATTAATGACAAAATCCACGGCGTTTGTGATGAGCCCGTTTGTCGCCGTGAACATATATTATGACCAAGGCCTCCAGTTATTGCTAGGATTGGTTGAGGGTGAAGTTTACGATGACTGTTTAACGAATTTGTCATAGATCAATGACGTACGGATTCCCTATTCGTCACACGGAATGCGTAGAAAGCCTATATCTATTTTATTGAAGCCCTGGGAAGCCCCCGCCTTCCATTCCCCCCAACCCCTCTCTCACCCCACCCAACCTTGGGACTTATAATTGGTCTGTGCTGCCATCTTTAGGCATTGCCGGAGAGAAGAGATGCTTGCTAGAGGAAATAAAATAGCTGCTCGTGGAGAAGAAGAGGTGCATGAATTTCCATGTTCATCTAACTATTAAACTATACATTGGAATTTTCGAGGAATATTTTAGGTGATAGAAAATTAATCCCCAAATACTAAACCCTTAGAATACATTAATTTTCACATAATACATTACTTTTCTGTAAGATAAGATCGGAAGTGAGATATCATGGGGTACTCAATTTGGGCACATGAATAACAAAAGGATGGAAACAACTGATGATTGCGTTAGGGTGGACCGCCCCAGCCGGTGTGTTATGATTGCAGTGGTAGTGGAAGTTGCTATCCACGTATATAATCCCGCGGCTTCAATTTCAATTATATTCGTTCTGTTGATTAACAGTGAAGGTATCTGCTGAGTTTAAGCAATGTAGCAATCTACTATCTACCTAGCTAGGTGTACTAACAAACTGTGTTTTGTATCTATCAACTAAAAACAACACATGCAGAAACAAGTGATACGTACGCCATGATCAATATAATGTTACATTATATTTAAACAATGATAAAATATATATATATACAAATTAATTGATCAATACTATATATACTGCAGAGAGGTGGTGTACACATTAAGCAGACAACGATATATGTATACATATATATGATGTATATAGTGATAGTGCATATATATGTGTATATATAGCACCTAATTAAATGCTAGCTAACTTAATCATCATCAGTTACAAACCTCTCTCAGCAATGAGGTCAAAAGACGAACAACCGATAGATACACACACTGACACTAGTAGCTAATTAATTAAGAATGAACTAACAACCGTGTACTGACATAAGCTAGATAGTAAGCATGCAGATGGCCTGATGATGGCCAGTGGTCAAATTAATGTATACATCATGGAGACGGAGTAATCAACTAATTAATAGTACACTCGATCGTTTAATTGTGCGTATTTGTAAGAATTCATGCATATATATGATGAATGAATTGTCAATTGATAATAATCGATCTGGATCGATCGATCAGTCTCGGTCATCGATGAAGCCTGACGAAGAAATGTTGTTGCTGTTCTTGGAGCTAGAAGCGGAAGGCAGGTGGTGGAAGAGCTGATGCGCCGGCGGCGGCAGCAAGCTGGTGAGCAGGTTCCAGTCGACGATGCCGGCTTGCTGATCGACGTCGACGCAGCTGCTAGCCTGCGAGACGTAGCCCTCGCCGTCGACGATGGTGGGGCTCTCCAGAGGCGGCATCATGTCGGAGAAGTGAAGCTTGGACTCTGAACTCAGAATGTTGCTGTGGTCGACGACGCTGTTATTGTTGTTGTTGGCGAAGAGAGCTGAGGCAGCGGCGCTCATCAATGGCCGCCCGGCGAAGCTAGGGTTGTCGTGGTGCAGCAGCAAGCTGTAGTTGTCGGGGACGGCGGCGTAGGCTCCGGCGCCGTAGCTGCCGGGGATGCAGCCGTAGGACAGCCTGTGCTGCTGCTGGTTGGGCATCGGCTTCTGAAACGCGCGGCAAACCACCCAACCTTCCTCCTGCATCCATATTCCATATTAATATCCATGAATTAACATATATAGTAGGACAGATAATTAAGTAAAGAAGTAAAAAATTAAGATGGAATGGAATAGGTGGTTGCAATGCATGCCTGAGTAGGGGCGTGTTCGTTTGATTGGAGGCGGTACTCGTGGATGATCCAGTCGGTCTTCCGGCCGTTGGGGGCGCGACCCTTGTAGAACACCAGCGTCTTCCTCATCCCGATCACCCTCGTCGACGGCGACGAGAGCACCGGCTTGTCGCGGCCGGTGGCCTTCCAGAAGCCCGCCGCCGTGGCGCGGTTGGTCCTCGTCCCGCTGGGGTACTTGCGGTCCTTGTAGCTGAAGAAGTACCACTCCGTCTGCTCATCGCCGCCATGCCCACCGTACTTGCAACGCTCTGCCACATATATATAATTCATCAGAATCATCGATCGTTCAGTTCCCAAATTAATTGCTGAATTGATATTAATTATGCATGAATAGAATGCATGGTTTATTTAATGTAATGGATCAGTACGTACCTTGCAGATCCCATGGCTCGATCCTGTAGAGATCGAGCTCCTGGATGATGTCGAGATCGATCTTCTGGGAGGCCACCTTCCTGGCGAGGTAGTAGCCCACCAGCTCCTCCTCCGTCGGGTGAAACCTGAACCCCGGCGGCACACATGGAGACTCTCCTGCCTCCTCCTCATGCCGATCCATTGCTATTTCCTCCGATCGACCGATCAATTCTTCTAGCTAGCTAGCTAGGAGTATCGTGATCTTTGCTGTATATATATCTAGCTGATGGATGGTTGGAATTTGATTGCCTGGTGACTCTCTATGCCTCGATCGATTGGCTGCAGATCAAAACAAGCATATGCAGAAAAAGCTATATCATCATCAGCTATATATATGTCTTCTTCAGATCGATGCTCATCAATTTTCAGCCCAATCTCAGATTCTCATGAGTGTATAGTAGCTATAGCCTATAGCTAGAGCAATGAACTGCATGCAAGTGCAAGTGCAAGCGCATCTGGATGGGTCCAAGGCTGGAAAAGCTCCTAGAAATAGGACAGACACGGCCACTCATGCAATGGAACATGACCTAATCAGCCAGCCAGTAGTTGCACCATACCTATACAACCTAGTCGTACATACATACTAGTAAGTATACCTTTAAACCAATCAATATTCTGAAGCTAGCTAGGTCGACCGGGGAGACTAGCTTCATGCATCAGATGAATATTAGAACTAATTAAGAACACGGACAGTCAGCAGCTAGCAAGCTGTACACACACGCCTGTACCTACTAATTAATTAGTACTAGCAGTTTGATTAGGGACAGGCAGGCATGCATGGACTATAGCATATATATGCAGCTGAAACTAAGGGTACCTTCCTTAAGCTAGCTGCTCAGCTTGTAACACACCAAAGTTGGGCTTCTGCTGCATGCATGCTAGCTAGGAGAGATGAGAACTGGAAAGTAGTAGTACTGGCTTGTGGACAGTATGAGAGGCTTTTTGGAGGGTAGAGAGAGATCTACAATAATAATAATGTGTGCAATATTTGTCTTCCTAGCTTGGAGTGCACTTCAGGGCTCATATCCACCATCCATACAACCCTCTCTCTTACCATACAGCCATATAGTACTAGTACTAGCTCCTCCTTTCCCAATCTTACCTAAAGCCTGCTGCTTGTTGAGCTCCTGGTCACATCTTCAATATTTCTCCACACAAAAATTATATGCGAATCTAACATAATACTGCATGCGCAGGTATGTAACAACGACTCGTGCATATATAGGTACGACATACCAACAAATTTAATTAAGATCATGCATGCAAGAAATATGTACTCGATCCTTAGTTTAATTGGCATATATATATGACGAAGTGCGCGTGCACTCACCTAATTAGATAACCATATGCATGAAGTACAGCGCTACAGCAGCAGCCAGAAGGAGATCTTCTCCCAAGTCGATCCCAACTATAATGAACACTGTATATATTATATATGGTGGCTGTGTAGCTAGCTATAGATGAGATGAGATCAAAAGATGGATCGATGATGGCAAGGAATTTAGTTGGTATCTAAGCTAAGGGAGCTTTGTGAGCTATTTATACATGAGAAAAAGCGAGCTTATGAGTGCCTGGGCTGTGCAAAGATGAGGATATGCATGGTACATCATCGCTCGATCGATTAGCGCTATAGCTCTTGCTTAATTGATTAAGTGCGCGTGGAGTGGAGATCTTCAGCGCGTGTAGAATCTAGACCGAGAAAGAGACACCACTATACTGTGTACTACAGCATGCATTCAGAGAGAGAGAGAGAGAGAGAATTAAGCATGCAGCATTGCAGCAGCTAGCTAGCTATAGCTAACTTGTTTGGTCGGTTAACAAGTCACCAAGCGACCACCACCACTCAGTACATGAAAGCGACTCTCAATTTGTTCCCAGCAGCGCCTGCTCAGACTTGAGTACAAACAAACTCTCATCAGCTAATTAAACTAGCTTAATTAGCTAGCTAGCTAGCTAACTACACATCCATCGATATGATATGATAGCTAGATCGATCCCGATCATATTCTTCCGCGTTTATAATTTGTCCTATTGAATTGAAGGAAAAAACCACTAGAGATATTATTAAGCAGACAATAACATGCGCAAAACCGTTGCTTTCTATATATCTCCCCCGACCCGGCCATTTAATTAATTCCTACATATCTCACTTAGTGTATCCTAATAGACTTATATCTTAGTTCTCTTAGTGTGTATACATATTTTTTCCCAAAGAAAGATTAATATATAGTTAGTTAGTTTAATCAACAACTGTGCTATATATAAAACTAGTGCATGCTCTATCAGATTGCATCAGGAGACCCTAGCTAGTAAGATATATATAGTAAAAAACAAATAAGATTGCCTGATAAGAAAGGAAGGAAGGGATGATACATGCATTGTATGGCCAAAGTTGTCTACCATATCCATTTTTCCGCCGTTATATTGAGCTTCAAGGGTAGCTTTTGCTACTTAGAACAGACGCTAGCTCGATCTAGCTAGGTTGTTCTTCCTGTACAGTATACATATATAATTAATCATTGATTTGTTTTGACAGGGAAGGGCATGATCATATGTGTGCGTGTGGAGCCCACAAATCATACGCTAGCTAGCTAGGTATGGTACGATGTATCGATCGAGCAATAATACTGGCCTGCAGCTACTACATATAATATGAATGATCGATATATATCATCCTATATCTTGGCCGGGATCGAGGGAAGCACACTACATAAAATACATATATACGCATCATTGCTTGTGTTGCATGCTTGCATTGCTATTCTCGTCTCTGGCCGGCCATGACAATAATATTTGTATTTACACTAACACTAGTGCTTTGTTCTAGCTTATTTAAGTTTGGTGGTTGTCACTGTCTGGCTTGGTGAATGCACGTAATGTCTGGCTCCACACTCAAATGATCAGATAAAGACGGCTCTAGATTCACGAGATCTCTACATGATGTATCAAATTCATGGTAATTAATAATCAAGTCATATAACCCATATTTGGAAGCTAGGAGTTCTCTAGACCGACCTGCTGCACCGTAATTAAATGGTAATTAATTAATCAATAACTAAAAGAGATCAAGCTAAGTGTGTTCATATATATATAAATCAAACTTATCGTGTCCTCTATAGATCATAGTAGCCAACCTGCCCCCACTAACAATAACCAACCAATCAACAGTAGCTATATAGCTTCATCAGTATTATATTTTCCTATAGTTTCTTTTTTGCTTCTGTTCCAAGGTTTAGTGTGGATAGAGTTGATGTACAATAGCTAGTACCGATTGACCCTTCTTACCATCAGTTCGATCTGATCACATTATGCTAGAGTACTATATATATATTCCATATCCATTAATTGCTGGAGGTAAGTTAATAATTTCATATATATTCCATACCCCTCGCTCTTGGTAGCATTTGTTTGCAGACAGATTAAACATGTAAAGTACAAGGAATGCATCATCCATGATATATATGCAGAATTGTCACTACTATATACAAACATTTATTTGATAGTGTAATTAAAAGAAGAGAAAGAGTAATATGTACTGGTGATTAAATGTTACTACATATTCACATTTCATGTGCCTTTGGCAGCTAATGATAAACACATACTAGGATGAGATATGAAGTTTCCCAGTATGTCCAGCAGATTCATTTTACAAGGAAATGTTACATCCTGTCCTATGTTGATTTTTTATGGGACGGTAGGAGTTGTATAATATAGTTTGTTTTTCTTGTAAGATTGTTATGTATGATAAGCGTGTGCACATTTTATCAAGATCAATATCGCTCATTCAGTCACAAGTCCAAAAAAGAACACCATAGAAGTAGAGTCAATCTATTATATTATTAAAATAGCCTTGAAAGAAGGCATGACGTTCGCTGTGGAGGTTACAAATTCCCACATTAATCGGAGAAAAAGAAAAAAAGAAGAGTTCAAGTAGAATATAATTTAGAAATATCTGAAATTCGGAATTAAATATAAGAAAAATTGGAAGAAGAGTCCTTATATAACTGAATACGAGATTAATTAAAATTTGGAATTAAAAATAAAATAAATTCTGAAATTAGAAAAGAAAAAAAGATTTCAAGTAGGAATAAAAGTTAGAAATATCTTAAATTCAGAATTAAAAATAATTAATATCTGAAGAAGAGTCTTATAGAACTGAATAAGAGAATAATTAAAATTCAGAATAAAAATAGAAAAATAATTATAAGAGTTCAAGTAGGAATACACTTTATAAATAAAAAAAATCAGAATAAAAAAATATGGAATTTTTAGAAAAAAATAATCAACCTAGAACTCAACGACGACAAATAACAATAGCAAGGGGACAAGTAATAGGCCTGTAAAACAATAAGGTAGTGAATGGTTGATGGGACATCTAAAAATTATAAACAAAACCATAAATAGAACCCCAAGGACGATTAAGAAGTGGAATGATAGACAAGACGTTAAGCAGCATAGTCATGACGGTTGGCGGGACTTCTATAAAGTAAAAAAAATAAATCGAAATAACAATCATGTTTTACTTTTAAAATCTCAATGATAATAAACAGGGGAGACAACGAGCAGGCCATACAGGAGTATAGTGGTGTGGAGCCGGCAACGGTTGGCGGTACTTCTAGAAATTTAAAAATGAATCCTTAAAATTTGAAATAAAAAATAAAATAAATTTTGAAAATAGAAAAATAATTCTAAGATTTCAAGTAGGAATACACTTTACAGATAAGAAAATATCGGAATGAAAAATATGGAATTTTCAGAAAAAAAAATAGTCCATCTCGAACTCAACGATGACAGATAACAATAAAAAGGGGAGAAACATTAGGCCCGTAAAGGAGTAAGTTGGTGGCAGTTGATGCGACGTCTAAAAACTATAAATAAAACCACAAATATAATCCCAATGATGATTAAGAGGAGGGACGATAGACAAGCCGTTAAGTAGCACGATCACGATGGTTGATGGGACTTCTAGAAAGTAAAATCCAATGACAATCATGTTCAATTTTTAAAATCTCAATGATAATAAAAATACATGAGTATAGTATGGCGGAGCTGGCGGCGGTTGGGCGGATTTCTAGAAAGTAAAAAATGAACCCCAACGATAGTTATATTCAATTTTTAAAATCCCAATAACAATAAATATGGGAGACAACAGGCGGATCATAGAGAAATACAATATTGACGGTTGACAACACTCCTAAAAATTATAATAACAGAACATGACGAGACAATGGACTCTAAAAACTAGAAGATGTTTTTTTAAGGTTTAAAGGAAGGTAAATAAAAGCCGTGATAGATCGGGTAAACAAATAAAGGAGTTATAAAAGAGTAAGAGTTAAATACTATAAAAATTTAAGGATGATAAGGTTCGATCTTTTAAGGTTATAAGTCAACATAATGGCCACTCACTCCGTTTCACAATATAAGTCATTCTAGTATTTCCCACATTCATATTGATGTTATTGAATCTGGACATATATACTCCCTCCGTACTCATAAAGGAAAGTCGTTTTGTACAGCGACACGGTCTCCAAAACACAACTTTGACTTATTGTCTCTATAAAAATATTTATTGTAAAGTGATATATGTATACTTTTATGAAAGTACTTTTCAAGACAAATCTATTCATATAATTTTTACATTTTCAAACTCAACAACTCGAGAGTTATTCATGATTTATATTTCTAAGGTTTGACTTAAATATTGTCCTAAACGACTTCCTTTACAAATACGGAGGGAGTATCTATCTAGATTCATTAACATTAATATGAATGTGGGAAATACTAGAATGACCTACATTGTGAAAGGGAGGAAGTATTTAAAAAAAGTAAGTAATTTCAAATATAGAAAAATGGATAATTTTATATGTGTGCTAGCCGCGTTGCACGGGTCACCCAGCTAGTTCTACATATAAAAGAGGGGGGTGGGGAGGGGGATCGTCAATTCCCTAGGAGCTCGGGCTTCAACTATACATACATGTACTGTATTTTTGTGATATTTAGCTTTAAATCTGTAGTTTTGTGATAAATTTATTGTTAAATTTATAGTTTTATGATAATTTGCTCAAAGTACATGTAAGTTTTGTAAAATTTACTCATTAATTAATTATGTGCAGTTTAATAATTAGTAAAGGTTTCTTGTAGGACTGTACTGTGTATGGTAAGCGTGTGCATGCTTTGTCAAGATCAATATCGCAAAGAGAGATCATGTTGAACACGCCACAGATCTATCGATCGATGATCTAGACGAACGTACACATATCGATCCATCGAATATATGAGACGTCTAGCTTGGATCGAGATGGTGATTTAATTTGATCGTTCGATCGCGATGGATTTACGCGTCATCCATGGACTAGTAGCTAGCGATCCAACATCGATTTGTCTCATTTTTACACTGGATCTGATCAATCAATCTCTCCTATACAGTGTCATCAGAAGCTCTAGCTCAGACACAGGGCGCTAGCTAGTAGTAGACCAATTATTGATTAATCGATCAATACCCGCGCTCCATTCCAATTCTCAGATATCATTTATAATAAAAACGTACGGGCCGCAGATTATATTTGTTGAATAATTAAATTTTTGCAGATCTAGTGGAATTTAAAATAGTTATGTTTTATATGCATCTCTTATTTGGTTCTTGTAAAATTTTAATTGTATCCAATGTGTAATTATATCAACCAATCTAATTATTATAAATATTAGTTGAACAATCGCATTACGATGTTTATATTTCTATATTTTCCTACTTTTGTAAAAAAATATTTTTTGAGATAAATATTTCGAGCGTATGTACGTACGTACGTCGTCGCTGTCTCATCACATCACTTGGAGTCTTGGATCGATCATGTGTATCTGGAGAAAAAGAAGATCGAGAGAGAGAGAAGAAATTCCTAGCCTAGCTAGATAGCTACTACAGGCAGATCGAAGCAGACTCTTCTCCCTAATTGGACCTCACAAACGCCGGCTGTCCCCTCCACTCGGAATCAGGCAACTAGCAGTAGTCAAACTAAGGTGGTGTTTGGATCCAATCATCCCTATCATATCTGATGTTTGAATATTAATTTGAAGTATTAAACATAGGCTACTTATAAAACTAATTATATAAATGAGAGCTAATTCGCGTGACAAGTTTTTTATGTCTAATTAATCCATAATTAGCACATGTTTACTGTAGCATCACATAGGCTAATTATGGAATTAATGGGTTTATTAATAGTCTACGTTTAATACTTCTATTAGTATCCAAATATCCAATATGACATGGACTAAAAATTTTTAGTCCCATCCAAACAGCCCCTAATACTACATGCTGCAAAGGAAGGCTACATAAAGCTATCGCTAACAAATACTCTATCCGTCGCAAAATATAAGTATTTTTGGATCTTGACGTACACGGTCTCCGAGATGCTACTTTGACCAACAATATTTATAAAAGAATGATGTTTTAAATAAAAATGGTTGTATATTATGATAGTTTGTTTAATGATAAATATAGTAAAATCAATTTTACATGATTGATATTTTTTTATTTTTTTCTATTAATGGTCAAAGTTAAAATGTTTGACTTGTCACTATGTTAAAATTGTTTATATTTTAGAACGGAGGGAGTACTAGTTTGTTTAAAAGAAAACAAATGGCATTAGTACTTTGATACGGCAGCTATACTTCTATCATATCCATTGCAAGTAAAGTACAATAATAAACGGGCTCTAAAAATTGCCACTCAATAAATATTTATATTTGTATGGTTACTACATTGATTGAAGATGATGTGTAATTCTTTTGTGTGTTCACGAAAAATAGATAACGTGTTAATTCTTGAGAAATGAATTTGAAATATATTCGGAGAAATGGATAATATATAGTGGAGCTAACTATAGCTAAAAATTAAGATAAACACTTTACAAGTAGAAGGGAGTAGTAATTAAATATTGACCTGACCGATTTTTATTTTAAGTTGAGGGTGTTAGTTTTGTCTGCGTTAGATCGACCGACTCCGAGAGGATTTGTATTGTGTCCTTTTGTTGTGCATCAAATTAAGGGAAACTAATACAGTATGTCATTCAAAGAAAGCAAAGAAAGTACTATAGTGCTAGTCCTTAGCAAGAGTAGTCAAGAGTCAAGATGGATTCTTTGCGATCCTCGTTGCACGATGATTAAGCAAAGTTGCTTTTTTTTTTGCTGGAAAAGTTGATGTTGTGATTGTGTAGGTAGACCTTGGCTAATGAACTGGCTATATATGTTATGTTATGTATGTGTCGGATTTTGGCTGGGACGGTCGGTAATTTGCGTGACGGATAGAAGCTTCTGGAGTAATTTGACTGACCGTCACATTCACATCACTACTCACTTAAAATTAATTTGTCTTTCGGTCGGCCCAGTGGTAGTGGAGTTTGATCGTTTCCAGCACCTTTCTGTTTCCAATCCTACAGTATCGATCGTCAATCTGCCTTCCTTTTTCTTTACTGAAAAGGCCACCACCTTAGCTAGCTCGTACGAGAGAGGAGAAATATGAGTTTGATTTGGCTCAACCGGCCGGCACAAGAGCCGATCATAGTGTCCTCTTCTTTTCGGCTTACATATTATGAATTATATATCATAGGCACACGCTTCTAATTAAGCTTCTAATCTGTAGTAAGAGTTAATCCAAAATACTTTCTTCATCAGTATTTCTTACGAGATATCTTCTGATTTTCAAAACATAGTACATACAGACATGAATGCTCATATAAACAAGCGCACAATCACCATATTACTGAGTTGTGATCCAAATTCATTTGCACATAATAAAGGCCAGCTTTTGCCAGAGCGAAGCGGAGGCCCGTCGCCGGAGGCTTAGGTCGGAGCGTTATCCTTTTAAGGTTTCACCTTCATATATACCTCTTGTAAGCCATCGTTCGCCGTTGTAACCTTACCCCGATATAGTGAAGATATTTTGCTGACTGGCGCCCATGGTTTTTCTCTCTTGTTTTGGGAGTTTTCTACATTAAATCTCGTGTCTTATGTGATTGATCTATTGTTCTTTGTCGTTTATTTGCCTATCGTTTCCTAACACTGATGAGCATACATGTCTTATTCTTGATAGGTACGTCGCCTACCACTATAAGAAAATAGCCATAAATACGAGCGCATATATTAAATCTAGAACTTGAATCTGAGTGGACAGATTCTTCTAAAGAAAAATAACCGGTTGAACTATGCTTACTCTATCTTCTTAGAGGACTTTTTATGTCAATATTTCTACTTTTTAGTTTTAATTCATCAGTTTATGTCCTTGAATAATTATCATAAACTTATTTCCATCCTTCATCCACATTACCATATCAAACACATTACCATAACTCTCACGCAAGTAAGGTGAAACAAGGACATTTTTGCAATTTTTTAGTGGCAGTCTTGTAATAACGATTCAGAGTAGTAGTAAATTTGTAATTGCCCAAAAAAAACTACATACCTAAGCTAAGAATGCGAATGCTCTCCATCTTTGTTTGGTATTCACCTCCGGTCGCTCCACCTTAGGAGGGGAAGAAGGAGGGGAGGGTTGGCGCCGGTGGAGAAGGGGGAGGGCCGGTGCCGGAGTGGGGCACAAGTGGTCGTAGCTGGCACCGATATGCATCAAGCGTTGGGAGGAGATCAGAACTCAGGAGAATAGGAAGAGGAATAGTTCAGTGCTAGGTAGGGTGGAATTTTTATGGAGAACCCTCGTAATTTTTATGGAATTTTTACAATGATATCCTTATAAGAGGAATTTCTCTTATTCTCATTGTATTTCGTGAAAATACGAGGGCTTTTTAGGAAAAATAAAACGAGTTGTCAGCTAGTGCGAGGGCTTGTTTGAGATTATGTATACAGATGAGGAGTTTTTGCAAAATAGACTGAACACGTGTCAAATTCTCTGAGAAACCAAAAATGAGAAAATTGGGAAGGAAGAAGTGTTATGACCGGAGGATTCTCTTCCATTTCAAATGTGAACCCTCTTTTGTCCTTAATTCTCTGTTTCTTCTTCTTCTTCTTCTCAAATACTCCTTAGGACTAGGCTGTTGAATTTATTTCTCCTACATGGGAATACAAGTTTATAGCCCAAATTAAACTCCATGAGCAAAAGGGCATAGGAGCAGCAAATTATTGTGTGATTGTTTCAGCATGTTAGGTTTAGAATATGCAGAGTTGCAGACCGTATGATGTGGCAAATCCTCTCTTAGCCAATGTTATTGTTTTTTAGGATCTTGTTATGCTTTACGGTCCACACAAATAACTTTGCATTTATTTTCAGTTTCCACCTTTCATTGAAAAGGGCATAAACACGGCCGTCGTATCAAATCACTTTTACTACCGCCCCAACCACTATCACGGCCTCCTAATGATAATAAAACCAGGAATCGTAACTTATTCCAACCATCTACATATTTGAAAAACGAAAGCCTTTTGGATGCTAATGAGGAAATAAAGTGAGAGGAAATGTGCTGGAAAATTGCTTCAGGAACTCAAAAGTGACCCGTATTCATAATCACACTCAGAGAAGACACAGGTGTTAAATCAAAATGAGTTATTGAATAAGTATTACAATTGCAAAATACCCTGTCATTCATGGAGCCAGATTCTCAATGGAAAAAGGATTTGCCCTATTACACATATTTCAGCAAATACAGTAACTCGACTCCTGCCTTCGCATGAAAAACAAGAATGCGTGGGAATACACAAGCTACAGGCAAAAGAGTCAAGCTCTGGGCCTCTGGCCATGATTTCTTCAAATGTGAAATGATCCCTAAATAAACACTGTTTTTGTGAACGACTGCTACATGTCTACACATGGTAAGTTCACACAAAAAAATTCCTTCGGTTAGATCAACAGTCCAAGGGAAGCAACTTGTCTGCTGGCCACCAAACAGCGTAGTTTCAGCTTTTCAGGTAGCTTAAGATCAATCCTGCTTGTTACGAACCTCACGAGCACGGTGCCTAAGCTCCGCCCTTTTCCATCTTACCATCAGCAGGCAGAGTGTGACAAGAGTGTTCACCTACAGAAACAAGACAAGAAACAGTTGCCCACAATGCACGGGATGGAAGACAGAAATGATCAACTGGATGAGACATGCACTTACCAAAATAAGGATCGTTATCAAAAGGAGGGGCCCAGACCAGACAACTGAAATGAACAGACCTTGGGGATCAAAATAATTCTGGCTTGAGAAGCTCTTCCAGTGTTGCCCTAAGAATGTATTTATTCTCTCAGCGAGAAATACACCAGAAACTGCACCAAACCAACAAGAGCAGGTAAATAAAATAGTAAGCTAGCATACCAGAAATAAATTCATTCTTTAAAATTGATGAAACGTACAAAATAACATGTGTCAGAATATGAAAGAGAATTTTCACTAATGCTCCGCTATCGTCTTGCAAACTAGGGTTGAGATATTCATCCTAACATATAGTTAATTCATGCTGAAGATAGCTGAAACAAGAGCAATGCATGCCCTTCACATCTACTGCATGGAACAAGAATCTGGAAAGGTTTACAGTGCATTAATTGACATAATTCGCCAGTAACTTGTTCAATATTCCTACCAATGTATAACTCAGAAGGTTCTACCACTAAAGAAACTTACATTAAATTTAAGCAAGTAGGTAGAACTCCACACAAATATGTTGTTTTTTTTATGGTTTTAGGGAACCTCTATCCACATTTGAGGGAAAACGTTAAGTTAGAAAGCACATAAAAACAAGACAATTATGGTTGGTAGAGTATAACATTTAATATGATACCAGCAGAATATAGGAAAAAAGGATAATAGTATTTATGTGAATATAAGCATTCAATAAACATTATAAAATTGCAGGAGAACCATGCAGGACAATATCAGCAACCAAGACAAATCAAAACTTACATGTTAAAGCTGACAAGATAAGTTGGAAGTTGACATTTCTCCTTGAGATGATTGTTACCAGCAGCAGAATGGCATGAAAAATTAACATGCTGATCAACCAAGGTTCCTGATGAAGGGAATAATAAAGATTATAGCACAGACATAAAAATTGATACGATGAGATATTGCATTTACTAAATGTTTGCTAGGTTGACGAAACAGACAATTAAACGTGAAGGCAAATTAGATGTAGCAAAATATGGATATCCACTACCCAAAGTATTCGGGTCACCACTGAATTTTGTTTGTCTTTAATACCACGGATAGTGTGCAGTTGGTTATTCATTTTACAATTCCAACTACCTATATTAGCTTTCATTTAGTATTCCTTGTTTTGAGAAAAGGAAGGAACTAGAAATTCAAGGTGTATGGTTGACTGGGTCAAGGAGGCTTTCCCCAGCAACATGGTACACGGATGGCCTGTCGGCATAGATGGAGCAACATAGCATGACAGTGCAAAGCATGCGAAAACTCAGGTATGGTATCACGTCCCGATAGAAGATTAGACATGTTCCTTTATTTTATAATTTCCCTGAGATGTTAGAGCTGTTGCGTTGTGTTTATGATAATGGAAAGGGAGAGGGCTACCTCTTTGCTTGTGAAGAAAACAAAATAGATTAGATATGTCATTCCGTAAGCATGGTATGACTACACAGTACAGTACACTTGTAAAAAACCCAAAGCTCATTAGTTTTCTCCATCTATCGATGGTTTCATGTACATAGGAAAGACAGGCACTCAATATTGTTGATTGGGGCAAAGAATTATCGCCATAGAAATTATATAGTTAGATCCGTCACAAGAAGCATGCATCATCTTTTTTTGTGGGATTTTGGATGAATAGCAAGCATCACAAGGTGGGTGTCGTCATTCATTTGCTAAACTAGCACTACTCCCTTTGATAAGCCCTCAACTATATACTGTATCAGGTAGCCCTATTGCTTTTCACTTGTCTTGTCTAATCTATCATACTGATATTGATGCGCGCGAGGCAGGGGAACGAATTTTCTTACATTATTTAATTACTTGATGATTGAGGAGCAAAAGGTTGAAGTGGGAAGTTAGATCCCAGGTAGATCCAGGGCAGATGGGGGGCAAGAAGGCTATAAGAAAGAAACCGACCTTCCAGTCGACGGCGTGGAAGAAGCCGAGGAAGGAGTCGAGGGCGGGGCGGAATCCGGAGCGGAGGTCGGAGGAGACGCGCCCAAAGAGCTCCGCCACCACGTCGGCGTGCTCGTTCAGCGCCTCCCGCACCTCACCCACCGCGCGCCCCACCATCTCCGCCGCCGACGCCGACGACGCCGCGTCGCCCATCTCTCCGGCGAGTCCAAGGAAGACTCGAGAGAGAGGCGAGTGAGATCGATCCAAGGTTGCGGAGAAGACGAGATGAGAGAAAATAATTAATTAAATAAATAAAAGCCCCCTCTTCTGCTGATCGGGGCCCACACGTCAGCCACCTATATACAGTATATGTTCTCGAAAATTCTCTCTCTACAACTCTCGAGTAGTGATTATATCACAGTTTCTCACCATCTTCCGCGTGTCTTCCACTTCCAGATGTTGCTATGTTAACGTGAGCAAACAATCTATTCTTAGCTTAATAAGAGCGACTAGACTAGCAGGCTACAAATCGGCTATAAGCACACGTAAAAAGAAGAAGAGAGAAGGAAAACGGGCTACAAATTTATAGCCAGTTACAGCACAGACTCTAATATATTATATGTGTATGAGAGGTGGGACCATATATTAATGGTATAGTATATGCTTGTAGCTAACTATTGTATGAATGAATGAGCTATTAGATTGATTATACATGAATTGGAGCTAATAGTTGGCTATACTGCTAAACTTGCTTTAAGAGCAAGTTTAATAGTATAGCCAACTACTAGCTCCAATTCATCTATAGCCAATCTAATAGCTCATTCATACAATAGTCACATACTACACAATTAATATCTGGTCCCATCTGTCATACACACATTACGTCTTAGAGTCCGTGCTACAGCTGGCTACAAATCTAGAGCCCCGCTACCCTTACCTCTCCTCATTTATCTTCTTAAAATATATTTACAGCTGGCTTATAGCGTGCTATTGTACATGCTCTAAGGACTCCTTAATCAATCGTCGTCGTATTGAAGAAAGAGCAATTAATGGCCCCGTAAAACCAAGCCAGCAATTTGATCAGCAATTCTACACAAAGCAATTCAGCAAAGAAGCTACTACTACTACAGATGAGCTTACACCTGTACCAGTAAATTACAGTGCATAATAATGTTGGATTTCAGGCGGTAGCTGTGCTCTGTGGAGTAGAGTACCTCGCAGCATGATCTGGATGATGTTATTAGGGCAGGAGAGAGAGTTGTGCCGACTTTAGTTCATCGGATTTGTTTTCTTTTATATGGCTCAACATCTCCAATGCAGTCGCAGAGTCCAGAGGAAAACGGCGGTATAGAAGAAAACTGGAGTATTCTATTTAGCACACAGATTACTGCTCTCTTCCCTTGAAAGGCCACATGCTGATTTGTTTCTCATACTCCTTCCGTTTTGAAATGTTTGACACAATTAACTTTTTAGCACATGTTTGACCGTTCGTCTTATTCAAAAATTTTTGTGAAATATGTTTGATTGAGAAAATCCCTTATATACCCCTGAAATTTTTCCTAATCCCTTCTATACCCCTGAATTTTGCTTACTTCCTTATATACCCCCAAAATTTGATTTTGATCCCTTGCATACCCCTCCCGTCAGTTGACCGTTAGTTGACCGTGTATTTTCTATAAAAATGACCATTTTACCCTTGGATGAACAAAGAAATTCATGAATTACATTATTAAAAATATAAAAGCTTCTCGCATGAGACTATTATAGTTATGAGTTTGTTGTGCGATGCATTATTTATCCCAAAAAATATTTTTAGATAATGAAATAAAAAAAATACGTATTAATTTTTTAAAAAAAAGGTCATAAAAATGAGGAGCATTCATATAAAGATAGGTATACCAATGTTCACAACATTTTTTTTTATGAATGCTCCTGATAAAAAAATCCATTGTCCTATTAAAATTTCAAATAAAAATTTTATTTTTTTTACATTTATTTTATTTTCAAAATTTATGTCAAAATTTTCTGCACTAATTATTTAGTCTCATTAGTTTTATAAAATGCACACGATGTGCACTCAAACAAAATTTTCAATTATTTTTGAAGCTTATATTTAAACCTAAAGCATCAAGGGCAAAAAAGACATTTGCAACCAAACGTAACAGTAAAATGATGGAAAATGTAACGGTAGGGGCATGGAAGGGATCAAATTGAAATTTCAGGGGTACAGAAGGGATCGGGTAAATTTTAGGGGTATGAAAGGGATTGAGTGAGTTTTCAGGGGTACACAGGGAATTTACTCAAAATTATATGCTTACATAAAAATATATTTAACAATGAATCAAATGATAGAAAAAAATTAATAATTACTTAAATTTTTTAAATAAGACAAATGGTCAAACATATTCTTAAAAAGTCAAAGTCAAATATTTCGAAACGGAGGGAGTACGTAGATACCCATGAAAACATCAGACATGGCTGTTCTGGTCAGAGTAGCACAACAGTGCCAATTGCAATTGCCATCATTCTTTACTGTCAAATACCTAAACTGCAGCTAAAGCCGGCCCCGTTGAATTGTCAGATGAAAAATTGTGCGTACCCTTATTTTCTCTGGTAGAGAACAACCGAGTAAGAAAATACTCCCTCCGTAAAAAAAAAGACACCCTGGTTTCCGTGCCCAATATTTAACCGTTCGTTTTATTTAAAAAAATTATAAAAAAAATTAAAAAGACAAGTCACGTATAAAATATTAATTATGTTTTATCATCTAACAACAATGAAAATACGAATTATAAAAAAATTTCATATAAGACGGACTATTAAAGTTGGATACGGAAACCCAGGGTTTGTCTTTTTTTGAGACGGAGGGAGTATATCACATGATAAATATGCTGCAAATAAAATACTAGTAGTACGTTTTTAAGGGAAAATATACTGCGTATTTCCTGAACACCACATACTGCAACTACTACTACTTTCTTTTATTTATAGCTACTTATATTATTCCAATTCCGAACAGTGATACCCATTAGGAGCATAGCGAAATCACCTGATATTCCAAATTTCCCAGAGTCAGTACTACGTGGCAAATTTTTAAAACACAAATGAATAATTGATTTTTTGTATTTCAGAGAATAACACAGGAGGTTCCAAAAATTGTAGAGGGATTGAGATAGATGATGACAGAGAGGGTCGGACAATAAATCTGATGCAGATGGATGGAATCAACTCAAGACTGAGGGAGGCCAATTTGAGCTTCCATTTCGCATCTCTCTCAGCCTCACCGTCGTCGCCTCCCTTAATCTCTCATGCTTATGCTCATGGCAGCCGACGTCTCCATCCCCACGCCGCCTCTCTGCTCTCTGCTCTCCCTCCACACCTACTGATTCTTCTTCCCCTTCCCTTCTCCGCTTTCCCTGCCTTGCAAATCCGCCAAAGGTTCGCCCTTTTTCCTCTTCCACCGGTTGCGTTTTTTTTTTCTTTTTTTTTTGGGGGTGGAACGTCCCGCGAGTGTTGGGATTGGGCCTTCCTCGTTGCCTCATCTTGATCTGATATGGTGATATTCTCTTATTGGAACGGGTTAGGGCTCATCTTAGTGTTCCTCTTGCGTGATTCCGAGCTAAAGGTGCCGTCTTTCCTCCCAAACCACCACCATTCATTTAGTGTTCCGGTGGTGATCCAGTGCAACAAATTGGGTAGTAATTTTGTTGGTTTTTGGAGATTGCTCAATTTTGGGGCAAAATTTGAGAAGAGGATGGTTAAGTTCTCGTCAGAGCCTCATCAGGGGTAAAAATATCTTGCTCCTCCTGTGAGAGAGGAACTGTTTTAGCCTCTCTGTTTTGCTACTATAGGATTTTTCCTTGGCTGCGATGCTACAAAGATTGTTTTGGACCTGTGCATGATGAAATGTTCCGTATGTTTATTTCGCTGGCTCAATTTTGCAGGACTTTTAGCTGATCGATGAATTGCTGTTCAAGTGAAGCGGTTTTAAGTTCCAAAGTGGCGCTTCTGAATTCACTCTTCTGTACTATAGTATTGCCAAAGGAGAATTGCTCTAATAAGATGAACTGTACAAAAGGAGGGGGATTTCCCCTTTTGTTTTGCGCAGTCATTTGTCTCATGGCCCAACAGGGGGCTTGCAATGTGGTGCTAATAGCGAATAACACTACCTTGTCATTTGATGATGTCGAGGCAACTTTTAGTGAGTGCTACAACTTACCAAGTATCCTTGCATTTCACTACTGATCAACAACCAATGCAGGCACTGCAGAGTAAACGTTAATTGTTTTTATGTTACGTGCTGCCTCTATAGGTTATGAATATTTATTTGGATATTGCACTAGTTTGTTTCCTAAACAAATGCTGCTAATCTTGTGTGACAATTGATGAATGGGATGATTGCTTTTCTTGCATCATGCTAGTTGTACTGTATGGGTCTTCTAGCTGTTGTACCTGTATTAGCTTTTACTAATTCTTCTCTAGCTATTTGCATGTTTCTTTACATTTGTTAGTGGCTTAGTGCGCAGTGCTATACTAGTGCCTGCATCATTCTATTTGTGTTATGGACAACTTATTGGCATATCAATCACTTGCAGCTCCAGAAGTGAAAGATTCAGGTGTAAATGGTGCAATTTACGCTGTGGAACCTCTGGATGCATGTAGTCCATTGAGAAAGAAAGCAGCCAATGGTCCTGTTTCACCATTTGCACTGGTCATACGAGGTGGTTGCCAATTTGACGATAAAGTTAGAAATGCACAGAATGCCGGATTTAAGGCTGTGATAGTATATGATGATGAAGACAGTGGTGTCCTGGTTTCAAGTAATTCTACTCGAATCTACCCTATGTCTCTTATGGTCCTGAAATCAATTTTCTTATGTCTAACGATATGTCACCCGTGATTATTACATATAAAAAAGTGTTTCTGTGCTTTGATCTGATCGTTTATAATGTATCATGATACTTTCTTAGCTACATGTTAGGGATGGCTGAAAAAGAATTTTCATCATGTCTATGTCACAAGATGTAAATTGTAGGAATAATTAGCACCCTTTTAAAAAAACAAAAAGAAGAAGAAGCAATAATCAGCATCCTTGTATAAACTGGATATATTACTTGCTCTGTGCATATATATGCAATAGCCATTTGAGTTTTGACTAGAAATTGTTACAGTGGCTGGGAGCTCGTCCGGGATCTACATATATGCGGTATTCCTCTCTAAGGCTTCAGGAGAGGTTTTGAAGAAATATTCAGGTCAAAGTGATGTAGAGGTGTGGATACTACCAGTATATGAAAACTCAGCTTGGTCTATCATGGCAATTTCTTTCACATCACTGCTTGCTATGGCTGCTGTTCTAGCTACTTGTTTCTTTGTGAGGAGACACCAGATAAGGCGGGACAGGGGAAGGATTCCTGTAACCCGGGAATTTCATGGAATGAGCAGTCAATTGGTTAAAGCAATGCCAAGTCTTATTTTTACAAAAGTGCAAGAAGACAATAGTACATCATCATCTTGTGCCATTTGCTTGGAAGACTACAGTTTTGGAGAAAAGCTAAGAGTGTTGCCTTGTCGTCACAGTATGTTCCTCTCACATTTAAAGATCACAGTTATTTTAGAATAGCTTTGTCAGACTTGATGATTTGGGTTCTCACTGTCTTCATGTTTTGTACAGCCAGATTAATCTGTTTCTAGCAGATATTGCCTTTTACATATTAGGATTTATGGATACAAACGCAACTTAGCATTACTAGGATTAATAGAAGTGCTGTTCTGGCGTGATTGATAAAATCTTCCATCAAGATCAATATTGGTTTATCTATTTGTTTCCTTTGCTGCTTGAGATGCCAACTCAATTAAATATGTGCTCGCTGGATTTCATTTTATTCCTGATTCCATAGCGGAGTAAATCTTGGCAACAGTGCTTTATCTCTGAATTTTTAGTTGCGTTGGTGGATGGTTCCACAGCATTGCTTGTGACAAGATGATCATTTAGTGATTCCACAATGTAATTCATATGAAATGATTACTGCATCCATTTAATGCAACTGCTTTAGATAGTTGAGTATTGCATTTTAGTTGATCCCTCTTCTATGTGGTATTATTTTTGACATGTGTCCTGAGACTTTGGTTGTTTCGCTTTTACAGAGTTCCATGCGACTTGTGTGGACATGTGGTTGACCTCGTGGAAGACATTCTGCCCTGTGTGCAAGCGAGATGCAAGTGCTGGAACCTCAAAACCCCCTGCATCGGAGTCCACCCCTTTGCTTTCTTCTGTTATTCATCTGTCTGCTGAATCAACAGCTTTGTCTTCTTTTCGGTCAACGGTGGCAGTATCTCCCCCTAGGCCAATAAGACGTCATCCTTCATCACAGTCCACATCCCGCGCTTACTCCATTTCCAGTGCCCCCCGCAATTATAACCTTCAAAGATATTACACTAACTCACCTTATATTAGTACGAGTAGAAGCAATGTAGATCTTGCAAATATGTCATCACAATGGTCTCACACTCCGCACCAAGCATCCATGCATTCTCTAAGAAGTGGCCATTTGTCTCTACCGATCAACATCAGGTATACAATACCACATGTTTCTCGTTCTGACTATGGATCTGCCAGCCTGGGTTTATCCCATGATTCCTGTTCTCACCATGGATCTCCGAGTTATTATCATAGCTCTTTGGGCCAGCAACGTTCTTACCTGATGCACCGCACCGAGTCAGGGCCAAGCCTGTCTACTATGGTGCTCCAGTCGCCACAATAGAGTCAGTAGCAGTACAATGGCGAATCAGGAGAAGTCTATCAGCTGCGGTTTAACTCGATCATTACGTCAGGCCTATGTACAGCATTGTCTTGATTCTGATGGAAGCTTGTCTGCTGTGACATCGGATCAGTCGCTACCAAGATGCTGATTGATCTTACGAAGTTCACTGTTTCATGAGCATTTGTGCAAGCCCCTGCTAGATTTGTTCCTGGGAGATGCAAATAAAACAGAAAAATCCTATGCGACACAAAACTGGCAGGTTCATGCAAAGTTAATTCATGGAACTATTTCGTGCCAGCCACCATTGTGATTCAACAAGGTTACTTACATTGTCTGTACGGAGGGGAAATTGGTGATCTTAAATCGAAGAAAGACTTGCTGAGTTTTGCTGAAGAAGCAAATATCCATCAGTCTACAAGGAATGGTTTGACTTTGCGTATTGTTTGAGGCTTGTATTATAGGTGATGACTTTAGAGTTGGTGTAATGGTGTGTTTCTTTTACATTAGTTATTTTGTCATGCGTATAAATGTTACAGCTTAGCAATAATCTGTTAGTCGGTGAATGTTTTGTAGCTCTCTAATATTTATTCTTTTTTGCGAAACTTTCTAATACTTATTCTGATCTTGGATATTTGTGCAAGTGTGTTTTTGTTGCTTCGTTCTTCCTTTCAAGATCAACTGTACCTGAAAATTCTAGAGCATGTTTACGCTATGTTAGCTGATGGGAGAATTCTAAACTTAACCCTATGTTCACTGAAATACAAGTTTAGACGTGGGACAGATGTCTAAAACTGTTTCGTTTCTGACATCAGAAATGGGAGAGGTCACCTCTTATAATGCCAGTTTGGTGGAGGTTTTCCATAAGATTTCTGGAGGTCCTGATGCTTGAAACGCTTCATGCAAACTTTTGATTCGTTGCTTGTTGTGCCTTTTTACTTATTTAACTGAGAATTTTCTTCTGGACTTATTACCAGGTATTTGATTATACTGTTTAATTAATGCCTTTGAATCTTTTTTACAAGAGCGCAACGTGTACTTTTACGGCTACAATTATGACAGTACCAATTACCGTCCGGGAGTTCCTGCATTTGAAATAATGCAGGCCTTTTAGAGCATAGAGATAGAGGGAGAGCGGCGCTTAGATAGGGGCATGTTTGGTTTATGGGATTTATCCGTAAGTTTCTTCATTTCAGTCGCTAAGAATCTAAACAGAGATGATTAAAAGGACTAAAATGTATATTAAAACTAAAATCTATTAGTCCTTTATATGAGAAAATTAGTATTATATATACAATCGCACTAAATCTAAACAGGGATGATTAAAAGGACTAAAATGAGAAAATTAGGGTTATACAATCGCATTAAATCTAAACAGGGATGATTAAAAAGACTAAAATATATATTAAAACTAAAATCCATTAGTCCTTTTTATGAGAAAATTAGGATTATACAATCGCAAAAGAGTGGTTTTGCTGAAATACCACCGCTTCAAAATGAGTTATTGAAATGCCATTCTAAACTGAGAGGTGTTTACCAAAATACTATTTTTATTTTTTTTATAGAAATATTTTCGCTCAATATTATTTTAATACCCCTGAGACGGCCCAACTATCGTACTCTTTCACTCTCCCAGTAGATCTGACACTTCTCTTTCCCCTCTTCCTCTCTCTCGGACGCCGTCGAGAGTAGTGGCCGAGAGGCGGACGGTGGCCGGTGGAACTTCTTGCTACCTTTTAGCTAAGTTTCTACTCTCTCCATTCCAAATTAACCAATAAAACCAATGCTAATTTAAACAGCATCAGAGAACAAGAATAATTTAAATCGCATTAAGACACGATACACATATTTCTCCCACGATACATATATCTTAAAACACATTATCAATTACACATTAGTTGTATCTTAAAACACCTTACCAATTACACATACTTACCAATTACACATTAGCATATAAGACCTTACCAATTAAACATTAGCATACAAGCATGCACACATTTTTCATGTTTTATTAGTTATACTTCTTTATTAATTATACTCTGATGAAATTCGTTATATAATGAACAATAACAATTTTAGTTTCCAATTTCAGTTATATGTTGATCAATTTAAGAAATTTTATATAATTATACGATGATTAATTTAGAAAGAGGAAGAGAAGAGAAGGAGAGAGTAATTATATATCGACCGAGGCGATGATCATGGATTATATAGTTCTATTTGAAAAAAAAAGGCTAGCTACTAGCTAGCAGCTTGTCGCATAGTAGTACTATGCATTATTCGTACTAGTATTACATACACACATACGTATACGGCCTGGCTTAATTAGCAGGAGAGGAGAGGAGAGGAGACGGTTCTAGCACGCATGTGCATATGCTTGAAGGCGGGGCAGGGCGCGATTACGCTTGGCGGCCCACCACCTTGTGCTGCTGCTGATGCGCGACGCGGCCGGCGTCGGAGAAGAGGTCCACGGGCTCCGACTCTGCGATCTTCCTGCAGCCGGCCTCATCTTCTTCCTCCTCCGGACAGACGCGGCGAGCCTGGTCGAAGAGATCGACGGGCTGGGAGTCAGCGACCTTGCCGGCCTCGAGCGGGGTGCCGTTGATGAAGCCAGTCCGTAGCATCTCGTCGTCACCGTTCACCTTCGCCTGGGCCGTGCCGTGCCTCACCTCCTTCTTGCTCGTCGCCATGTTAATTACTCTCTCTCTCTCTCTCTCTTCGATCGATGTATATGATCGATCTCTCCTGATGCGGCTGGCTGGATATATATATAATTAGTTAAGCGATCGATGATCGCCTTTAATTTGCTATGAAGGAACAGAATACACACACATATATATATAGGGAATTGAAGTGATGAAAGCTGATGCGAGGACACGCAGCAGCGACGTGGACGCTACCTGTTGATTTACGCGCCTACGTACACTCTCTAGAACTCTCTGCAATAAACTCATCTCCATGATCCATGACGACCAGCCTCCGCGTGTACTCCTGCACCGACCTCAATCGCCAAATACAGTCAGTCGGTGGACAGAAAATGCAAATAAGGACAGAGCTAGCAAGCCAATTTTGTCTTTGAGTATGGTTAATTACCTCTTCATTTCATTTGATAGCGAGTAAGGTTACCTCTATAATATAATATATATATATATATATATAGTATAAAATATACATATTGCATAAGTCTAAAATATGCTAAATTTTAGTAGAAAATCCCAATATCAAATTTAATAAACTTTATAAGACCAATTCATCCAAAAGAGGTTCAAGCACAATATGATTTGAGACTATACTAGCCAGTTGAAAAAAAAAATACTGAAACAAATTAAGACTGTGTTAAACAGTAAAACTCCGCCATATACCTACAGGCAACTAAAGAAAGTAAGGAAGAAGAAAACGGGCCTTGCCCTCGTCGCTGCTCATCCACCATCGCTCCCTGCAGTTCGCCACCATCATCGGAGCTTGTCCATCCAGATCCGTTGGACAGGAGCTCAAGGCTATTTGGTCTGACACTTATGATCTCGCGTGTCAGATCTAACTGTTTTGGTGGCTCAAGAAGGGGGGCAATAGCTTGTCAGGATGATGGCATCATCAGCAGCGACGGCAAGGTCCGAAATTTCCAACCGAAATTTCCGTCATTTCGGTCCCCTCCGATACGATATTAATTCGGCCGAAATTTTTGAATTTTTCAATTTTTTCATGAATTTGGGTAATATTTGTTCAAATTCAACTAAATTTTGTTCAAAATTTCTGAAATTTCTGAAATTTCGGTGACTCCCGATCAAAAACCTTCAACCGATAGAGTGAACCCTGGCGACGGCAAGGAGAGGAGGATCCCAACACCAACGACAGCGGTGGAGATGATGGCGCCCCTTGAGCTTCTGGATTTGACATCCTCTTCGAGTCCTTCCTTCTTCCTGGGTAGCAAGACCTTACCACCCACTAGAGATCTGACAACAACAAGCATGCCGACGCTAGAGCTGGTGGCCATGAAGTCGTGGCTACCTGCTACAGTCACTAAAGAAGAGAGGATGGCCTCCATCATCAACGAGGGAATCCATTGAGTGGCAATGACGAAATAGGAAACCCTAAGCTTTCAAATGGGAAGAGGGAGGTGACAGGATGTGTAAGGTCTCAACCTGGACGTGGAGTGAAGATCGATTCGGGCCTAGTTAGGTGATTTTGCATCAGCAGAACCATGCCTTGGCAACCAAGCAGCCGCTGTGTGCATCCATGGGTGCGAACCACCATCCATATCGTGTGCTGCTGGGAAGGGTGACAATGCGGAGGAGAATGGAGAAGTGGTCATGTGTCACGCCCCGAACTAGCTCCGAACGGAACCAGCCCGTGACGCTCCAAATTAACCTGTTAACCGATACCAGTCCCAGGAAATAGTGCTGGTATCACAGGAAGACAGAATATCGCAACAACAGAGGTCTCTTTATTACAGAGTAGGAGTACAGTCATGTTGGGCTACGGACAGATCCCGAGCTCACAACTGCATTACAAAAGAGGAAAGCGGAAGCCAAGACTTGGACCAATCATCACAGGCGCGACTTGGAAACTAGGCCGAAACCCTAAAACTCATCGTAGCCGACTTGCTCCTGGAAGAACTCCTCGTCAGCGGGATCCACTTCATCTTCTTCGGCAACTGGGGGGAGGATTATTTATATAGAGCAAGGGTGAGTACATGAGTACTCAGCAAACCATGGGAATTAAGTGTTTAATGCTGGCTTCAAGGGAAAGGCTGTTGTTTTTGCAATTGATTTTATTTAAACTCCTTTTCGAAACAGCTAAGTGAGTGCTTCTCAAACGACATGGATGAGACAGTGCATCTCGTCCGGTCGGAGTATGTGCATTGTATCAGTCTTTGATTGATTCAAGATTGGCACCCGGCCACAACTTTCAAGCGGCCACCCGGGCCTAGCTGATCCCATCAGCCACAGGGTTTCCAAACATCGAATCCAAATCCACAACAGCAATTTCACAAAGCAGTAGTCAAACAAAACTACGCTAAGGAATCACCTTACATCCACCCATGACCGTGGGCACGGCTGTTCGAACAGTTTAATAACCTCTGCAGAGGGGGTACACTTTACCCACACGGCATTACTAACCCGGATCACCCAGCCCGTGGGGATCAGCCACGTCGGGAGACCTCCAAGCTTTCATGACAAGGCATTTCCAAAGCCGACACAGATTTACCATATGCCGACGAGAGGGGTCCCAGACCAACAACAGGTTAGGTCCCAGACCATACTGTGCCAGGAAGCCCAGGGTCCTCCCCGACACCACCCCGGCGAATCCACTTGTCTCTCGGCATCAAGGCTCCCCTGATTAGCTAATTACTCAGCCAGGGGTGTCCCATTCCACCCATGTGGTCGTACTTGTTATATGTTCGGATGAAATTCCAAAGGAATCGGTCCTTAAGTGCAAGAACAGGAAACCGTGCTCCCGGCACGTCCCCTGGTCTGCGATTTTGGAAATTCATTTAGTTCGCAAGCACCGACCCAGGCGTCGGGTTTTTCCAAGTCTTTTGTAAAACCCAAGTTTTACCCATACTTGGATATTTTAAATTTGAGGAGAGGCGTTCCGATGCGCTTGCCCGAAGGCCCGTGCATCGAAGCACAACAGTCGACAAAGGGAGTTTAAGTGTTCAATAATTCAAGGAGGGTAATTGCAGCAATTAGGATTGGGACCGGCAGGCTATCTCGCAAGCCGCGGCCGAATTGCTTGTGTAAATCCTATTCATGCAATATTTGCGGAAAAGAAATACTTAGATTTAAATTATAGGTGCAAGATGATCAAAGGTGACTTGCCTTGCTCGAGATCTTGAGCTTGATTCTCGAAATCCTCGCATTGCGGGTCTTCGGGCTCCGAAACTACACGCGAAACGGGACAACTCAACAAACGGCGAAAAATAAAGCCCTATTATTGACCTCTAAGCGTGCCATTAGATAGATCTCGAGATTTGAGGAATTTTGGAAGTTGAACGGAGTCAAACGGTCATACGGTTGAGAAGATATTGAATTTCTAAGATTATTGGATTTTTGATCTAAAGGAAAAGGATTTAGTTAAACCCTTTTGAAAAAGAAAAAGAAAGAGGGAGGAGAAATAGACTTCCCTCAGGCGGCTAGGGCGCGGCCCGAGAGAAAAGGCCGCGGCTCGGCCGAGCTTAATGGGCCTGCCGGCCCGAGAAGGCGGCCCAAGGCACGCGCGAGAGGGGAGGAGAGAGAGGGAGACGGTGGGCCAGGTCCTTCTCGCGTGGTCCCGAGTGGGACCCGCTTGTCGGTGGCTTGGCTCACCGTGCGGAGGGAGCACGCGGCGTGCGCTAGGGTATGGGGAGAGAGACGCGGTGCACGCGCGCGGTTCGCGGAGGACGCGGATGCGACGGGCCCACGCGCAGCCTCACGGCTCGCGGTGGACCGCGCGCGCGAGCGGGGCTGGAGGGAGCGGCTAACCAGGGTCGGCTCGACCCGGTCTTGGCCGAGCTGGCGCCGATGTGGCACCTACGTGGCTGCCACGCGGGCCGGCGGGAGGTAGACAACGACGTCGGCCGGAACGGACGGCGGACGGCGGCTGCGAACGGCGGGGCGAACCACGGCGATACAGGCGAAAGCGAGCACACCGGGTGGTTGCATGAGACGAGGGGAGACGAGCCAACGGCTCGGATTCGCCGGAGGGAGTTCGACGGCGGCGGATTGCGGCGGCGGCATCCGGCGGCGAGAGAAGAGGGAAACGGCGACGGCGCGACGGGAGATCAATTCGGGCGAGCTAGAGCATCAACGCGACTCCGGGAATCCATTCCTTGCGCCGGATTAGGAGGGAACGCACCGAGGGAGGCCGGCGACGAGAGGCGCTACCGAGCTCGGGCGGTGACGGCGGCGAGCACACAGTGGGCAGCGGCAAGGCTTGGGGCGGCGCCAGCTAGCTACGGGGAGGCTACACAAGCTTCTATCGAAAGCTAAGGGGAAGAGGGGGAACGAAGAGGGAGAACGGGGAGATGCACTACCATGCGGGACGAGGCGCAGTGACGATGGGCCGATGGCACGGGAGTGATCTCTCCGGCCTCAGGCTGGGGAAGCGGAGGAAGACGATGCGCCCGAAGTCCCCTTCACGCGTCCTTCGCACGCACCGGCTCTCCCGGTGCTTGGCGATGAACGGCGGAGGCGAGACAGAGGGGCGGCAATGGCGCGGTGGTGGCGAGCGAAACGGGAGGAGGAATCGATGGGAGGGTGCCTTGGTTAAATAGGAGGCGATGTCGGTTTGGGAACCGACCTAGGGCGGTCAAGGGAGAGAGCTAGAGCTCGGCGGTCGCGGCCAAAACGGCGTCGGGGAGGGGGGTGACGCCGGCGGAAGAGAAGAGGGAAAAAGGAGGAGAGAAAGGGGGGCTTGCCCTTTGCCACTTTGGGAAAAGGCGGAGGGAGAAAGGGCGACGCGGCAGAGGGAGGAGGAGCTCTGCCTCCATCCCTTGGAAGCTAGCGCGCGGAGTGGCGGGGCCGGGTCGTGACAACGGCGATGACGGCGGGGGCGGTTTGGAACGGAGCGGTGACACGGGCGGCAGGCCCGGGCTCAGGCGCGGCAGAGGGCTGACTGCGGCGGCGACTGGCCGGTTGGCCACCACGGCGCGCGCGCGCGGGAAGCAACGGGCGGCGCGGCGATTTGGGCGGCGTCGGCGGGAACGGCAGCGAGAGCGGAGAGGGAGGGAGAGGCGCTCGGCGCGGCTCTCGCGCACGTGCACGCGCGTGCGCGTGCGGCGCACGGGCAGAGTGAGGGAGGGGAGAGAGAGAGAGAGAGAGAAAGATGGGCCGAGAGGGAATCGGCCCACCGGACCTAAGGGAGGCAAAATAGACTTTTCGAGAAGGATTGATATTAGGGATTTGAATTTGACGATGGATTGGGGATTTGAGATTTGGAATTGGCACGGAGACTGACAACAAGCAAAGAAACAATTTTCGCAATTAGGGTTTTTAGAATTTAAATTTTCCCGCTAGGCGCCACGATGGAACGGGCGCTACATCATGGCTTCGATCGGCCGCTATCGATAGCTAGTTGAGCTTAGCTTGTATAATCATCAGCGGATAACAGTGATCAGCCCTCAAGACACAGTGATTTACGTGGAAAAATCCCCTCGGTGTGAGGAGTAAAAAACCACGGGACCAACGGTCCACTCCAAGCTTCCACTATAATCCAGTACAAATGGAGTCTTCTCTAGAACATCTAGAGGCACATCACAACAACAGCTACAACATCAAGTTACGCAATTGGCATCATCCATCAACCATCAAAACTAACAAGAGGCATATCAGCAAACAAGCAAAGAAATGATAGATCCTGTCATCTTCGTTTCTCAGCTGAGATCTCCCAAGCCACATATGCAAATTGCACGAAACATGGCTGAAATGATGATCTATGAGTCCTTTCCAACCTTTCCAAAAAACACCTAATCGGATACCGTTTGACCTCTCAAACTGACACTTTACTAACTACTGCATAATCTGTAACTGCAGTAACTCGAGTTGACAAACCACCACTCAAATCCGGCGCTCTACTCAACCAATCCTCATACAAACTAACCAGACTAAAGTGCTTAAAGTGAGAAACAAACTCATCAAGTTTAGTGCCAATCCAACCACGTTTGAGCCTCCAATGAATGACTTGATGAAGATCGGGTAAGAATGCAGGCTAGGGTTTTTCTTCCCATCATAAAGAGATAAGGCAATATCCACCATTGATCAACATATGAATTAATGGCTCATATTTGTTGGACTTTTTCGGCTGCAATAAGCTGATAGTAAAGGCTTCATATGGAGAGAAATTTGGCCCAACCGTCAGCGGAAATGCTAATGGGCGATCGATCTCCTGGAGATGGGGGCAGCGATCGATCCCCTCCCCCTCCCTCCCTTCACCTGTTTTCCCTTTTTGGCACCGCATTACTTTCCTATTTTAGTAAATTTATGCACCTAAAATTTATACACATCAAGTTTACACATCTAAAGTTTAGAGACCCAATATCTAAAGTTTAGAGACCCAAAGTTTATAAGTCAAAAGTTTATATATCCGATTCAAGTTTGAATTTGAATTCAAATATTTTTTATATATAGTATTTCTATACACCTAAAGTTTATAGACCCAAAGTTTATAAGTCAAAAGTTTACATAGCCGTTTCAAATTTGAATTTGAATTATATCTAATTCAAATTTGAATTTGAATTCAAATATTTTCTATATATAGTATTTTTATGCATCTAAAGTTTATACACCTAAAGTTTATAGACCCAAAGTTTATAAGTTAAAAGTTTACATTCCCGTTTCAAATTTGAATTTGAATTATATCTGATTTAAATTTGAATTTGAATTCAAATATTTTCCATATATAGTATTTATATACATCTAAAGTTTATATATCTAAAGTTTATAGACTCAAAGTTTATAAGTCAAAAGTTTACATACCCGATTCAAATTTGAATTTAAATTCAAACTTTTTATATATATAGTATTTCTATACATAAATTTTTCTAACTTTTGTTTTTTTTAAAAAAATTTTTGTGGTGTAGTGTAGTAGGAAAAGAAGAAGGGGGAGAAAAAAGGGGGAGAAGTGAGAGGAAGTATTACCTATAGGGGGAGGGGGGGCCGGATCTAATCGCTTGGGTGATCGATCGCCCATTAGGACCCTTCGAACCGTCAGCTCTTCGGTTAGGTACACGAGACAACGCAGCAGAAAGAAATTAAGGGATGGATATAGAAACGTCCACGTGGCCGCAGGAGATTGGGCGTCTTATCCAAGCTCTGGGCTACCAGGATCACACAATAATACGTACATCTCTGAGTCTTCTCTTTTTTCATTATACAAAGTACCTACAAAGTATGATCCGTATTAATTTCATACCAAGTAACTTTAATATCTGGCGCTTCTGCTCCCTTAGCTTCTTTGTGTGGATAGATATATGACCGTTTTAGCGATTTTAATGGGATTAATTTTGACCTCGATCGGCATATATACATCCATTCATACACGAACAGTTAATTCAGTACGAAACACATGGAGTAGACACAAGAGTAGAACTAGGATATATAGCTTATTAATTAACTGTTCTTTCAAATACATGGAGTACGTATTTGACAGTAGTATATATGACACAGTAATGCATGCATATATGACACCAAAATGTGATATGGATATGATTAAGCAGGTGCAGCAAAACGTACATTAATTAAACAACAACAATTAACCCTCGGGCACGCCTGTGTTTTGTTATCTCGCTCAACATATACGTACGTAATACTTTGCTTGCATAGCATAGGGACGACGACATTATATTCTTAATTGATAAACTCAAGAACGCATGGAGATGGATCGAGAGATTTATAAATATGGAGCTTGCTTGATTGATTAGATGAGGTCGTCCTCCTTGTGGGTCTCGATGACGACGTCGGACTTGGGGTAGGCGTGGCAGGTGAGGACCCAGCCGGCGGCAACCTGGTCGTCGTCGAGGAAGCTCTGGTCGGACTGGTCGATCTCGCCGGAGACCACCTTGCCGGCGCAGGAGGAGCAGGAGCCCGCGCGGCAGGAGTAAGGCAGGTCGATCCCTTCCTCCTCCGCCTGGTCCAGGATGTACACGTCGTCCGGCACCTGCAGCTCCACCTCGCCGTCCGGTGTGATCAGCTTCACGTTGTACGTCGCCTGCATCCGCAGCCTGTCTCCCAGCTTGTTGCTCGCCGGCAGCACCGACACGCGCGCCGGCGCCGGCGCCGTCGCCACCCGCAGGGACATCGGCAACCGGACCTGGCTGCTCAGTGCCGTCGCCGCCATGGCTGCTATAGCTAATTAAGCTAGCTAGCTGCTGCTGCTAGGTAAGGTAGACGAGGAGGAGAGGAGTGAGCTAGCAAGAATGTGAGCGTGAGGTTGAAGGAGGCTGAGGCAATAAGAAGGGAGGTGGAGGGTGCCACGTGGCGAGCGGCGACTGGTTGGCTTATCTGCGGGGGAGTGGATGGGGCAACGACCACCACACGATGCACATCGCCGATGCTGTCCGGCCGTCTTGCGTGTGGTCGCCTCGCTTTTCTTTTTTGTTTTCTTCTTCACACCTTAACTTCTTTTGAGCTTTTTTTTTTAAAAAAAATAATTTGTGAGCCAATCACATGTACCTCCAGGATTCAGATCTGGTATCTCTTTTTCCCATGGCCGTCCATTGATTTTGTTTTTCACGAGAAAAATAATTGAACAAGATGTATGTGTGGTCACACACATTTTCTTTAATTTCTTTTGCTATGTATATATGTTGTCCACACATACGTTGAATCACAATTGTTAGATTGGGATTTGATGGTCACGAGTCTTGCACAAGATAGAGTGCGATGTGCAGCCTCTAATAATTTTGAACTGCTGCATGTGCCTTCTTCCTTCCTGTTCCTGGCTAGGAACTTTCTCCAAACTAACCTAACCTCTCTGTTTTTCTTCTCTCTTTTTTGAGGGCCAGGCCAAAACTTTTGCTTTGTACGATCACATGCACGCTTATATGATATTCCATGTAAATGGGCCGGCCCAATCCGCATAGCCGTACCCGATTCCAAGATACGGCCCATAGAACACTGGATGCGATGACCAGCCCATCTTGTCTCTTATTGGGCTTGTTTGTTGACAGGAACATCCATCTCATCTACTTCTAGGACACGATGGAACCTGCAGCAGGCAGCAGGTACATACAGGAGTGATTGAGTATAAAAATATGAGTGGATGTATAACAAGAGAGTAGTTCATGTGCTGATCGAATTCGATCGATCCAACTCTATATGCATGCAGGAATATATACGCATGATCGATGATTGTACATGATATTTTCAACTCTTTAAGTTCTACTCTATATATATATATTGCTACTGGCCGGCCGGCCACGTGTTGGTTACGTGGTCCTTTTGATCCTCACACGACACTATCAGTGAACAAACACGTTGTACACACACATATATACGTGTATGTGTAAGCGGAACAATAATTGATTGATCAATTAGTAGATCGAGATAACTGGAGTAGTATCAACTGCTGCACATATATGCATGTCAAGCATCCATCACATGTTCACATATATATACCCCGATATGAATATTGATCATCCGCATGCAATCGAATCGCCCTTCATGTGGTAGGACTAAAAGACAATTTTACCTCATTCAATTTTATATTACATTCTATTTAAGTCAAACAACAAACCAATTTAAATATTTTGAATCATTTATACTGATAGTATATGTGTGTGTAACTAGTACATTGTATCGTAACAAAAGAAAAACTCTCCACAGCTAGCTGACTCACATGCATGCCTTGGCCCTAGCTTGTTGGGACGTAATACATATCCGTGCATTATTAGCAAATTAATAGCAATTGATTAAGAAAATGACTAGCTACACAGATTCCCTAGGGAGGAAAAAAACACACATATCTAACAATTAATAGACAGATTGATATATGGAGTGAGAGAAAAAAAAAGATTTACAACCGAAAAGAAAGAAAACATCGGGAAAGCACCACTGGTATTGACGTATAGTAATGTGATGATAAAGTCGTGGATGCATATCTTTAGCAAATATGTCCATGAATACTTAGCAAATATGCAAGTGAAGCTTGTACCATGATTTGAGTGAGATCAGATCGAGATGTGCTATTGGTTTCTGTCTTTTTAGTACATGTTAGGGGATGCATTCTCGGGTGTACGAGTGTGGTGTTGCATGTATGGTGGTGTATGTACGTTTATTGCACAATTGAAAAAAAAAAGAAAAATCAAACATGGATTATATTTCATTAGTGAAATTAAATTGTAGCTGGGTGTGTTTAGTTCACGCTAAAATTATAAGTTTAATTGAAATTGTAATGATGTGACTGAAAAGTTGAAAGTTTATGTATGTAGAAAAGTTTTGATGTGATAAAAAAGTTAAAATTTTGAAGAAAAAATTAGGAACTAAACCAGGCCTAGGTACGGTCGCGTGAAGATTGCTCGGATCCGATCGACATCCAAACGTACCGACACGGTCAAACCAGGGATGCGCGAATGTTTCCTATCTATAGTTTGACCAGCATGCATGTTCTAATGTTTTCTATTCTTCCGGTAGCCACTACTGTTCTATTTTCCTATTTCATTAATCAATATACTAATAATGACTAAGCATATGCTTCCCACCCGGCCCTATCCAAATTCCAATCTCAACCAATAATTAAGCAATTAACCAATGAGCTATATATGAGATTTTTTTATTGTACTAGCCAAACTGATTAATTTTAATTGTTGCTTTTAATCATTTCACTTTGCTTGTAAGCAATTCATCGATCAGTTCGTGCTTTGCCTGCGGCCTACCCTTTTTGTTGCCCGGCACTACTCCCAGGATATATACGGAGTATATGCCAACACGTACCATGCACGTTTCTTCGTTTTGTATTCTCTCTCTTCGCGTGTGTGATCCAGTTGCCTTCTTTTATCCGACAAGATTAATCTTCATCACTTTTAAAGAAGAAACCACGTTTAAAATTGCTGATTTTTTTTGTTGAAAATTCTCTCTGTGTCTCTAGTATTTCAAGTGCTGATCTCGTGGTTTTTTTACTCCCCTTTGTCACAAAACATGCATGTACTCTGAATGCCGCATCTATATTGTTTGAAAATATAACATTGACTACTACTACCTCCGAGGACAAAGGGAGTAATTTGTACCTAATTAAAAGCAAAACATTTTAAAACCAACAATATTATAATACTATCAAAGTATTTTTCATGACATATTTACCACATGCAACTTTCTAATATTGGAAAAATAAACATGTTTAGAGTTTTTAGAGTTTAACTTGAGACATCAATTATGATAAATTTATATTACACGGGGTATATATAAGACTACCCACCTACAACATATGCGAAATATGTAACTTTTTTTTAATAATGGATATATAAAGTTGGTCATTGTTTCAACTGAAGCTACAACCACCTATTACAAAGTTTTAGTTCGAAGGCCAAGCACGGTACAATAAAACCATGATAGATGAAAAGACTGGTACAACAACACCAACCAAAGAAAATAAGCAACTTATTTAAAGTTTAAGTTTATTCCTTAATCTCCATTTAAAGGTAATGAAGATATGTATGATGATTGATCCTAAATTTCGACCGCAGCAATGCGAAATAGCTAGCTTGTTTTGACAGGGATTTGTATATATGCTATGCATCTTCTGGATTCCTAGTTGCCATCGTTTGTCATGACAATGATATATTGCGCTAGCTTGAAGAAATGGTAGTTGGACAAATAATTATCTCATTTTATATGGTATAAGGGTGAAACTAGGTATTCGATCATTGGCATATACTAGCTAATTGCTCATGTGTTACAACAAGATTTCACAAAGAGTCCTCATGATAATTTCGATCTTAGACCATTTCCTATTATCTATATCTATATCTATACCTAATTAAAAAATACGTAAGGCTTCGCCCTCCCCTTCGTCCATCCGCCCCACCCCTTCCTCCCGCGCCGCCTCCTCTTTCCCTCCCTCCCGGCGCCCCCATCTCTCCCCCTCCCCTGCAGCCCCTCTTCTCTCTAGCGCCCCTTCTCTCCCACCTCCCTCCTTGACTCCTTCCCTCCCGGCACCCCCCTTCCCCCCATCTCTCCCTCGCTGCACACTCCCCCTTCCCCCTCGATATCTCTTCTCCTTGGCGCCCCTCCTCTCTCCTGTGCCTGTGTTCCCTCCCTCTTGTGCATTCAAGAAAAACAGAACCTCCTTGTTCGGGAACACGTTTTGACGTACTCACTCGGCCGTGTTCAGCACAAGAGCTCACCATTGTCGTTTCTCTCTGTCGGGACCATGTTGTTGTCGGCCGCGTTTCCATTATTCTTGTTTTCTTCGTAGCCAACCGCCACCATCAATGGATGAGTCATAATGTGGAACACGTCCGGCCACCTTACTTACCGCCGTTGGTCGCTGGAGCACTGTCGCCCATCTTCTCTCATCTTTTGTTTCTTGTGTTGGCTAGGGAAGACGACGAATAGTATTAGTCGTTTTTTCCTATGTGTTTAAGGAAAAAAGAATCCTCTCGTCCGGGAACGTGTTTTGACACGCCTGCATCCAGTCGTGTTCACCACTAAAGCTCGTCGTTGTCGTTTCTCTTTCTATCGGGACCACATACACGTCCTACCACTTTCCTCACCATCGTTTGGTCACTGGAGCACTGGCGCCCATCTTCCCTCCTCTTTTATTTCTCGCCTTGAGTTAGGGAAGACAATGAACAATGTCTGTTGGGCATTATTCCTTCTTAGTCTAGCCCAACCATGCTACTGAACCACTCACATAATATTAAGACCATATGAGAATGAATAGAACATGAAAAATTCTAATTTATATCAATTAAACAAGCGAAAGGAACACCATAGAAGATCCAATATTGAAGACAATATCGATGCACGTTATTTGTTAATAAGGTTCAGCCGAAGCCTACATCCCCAGAGCAGTGGTCCTCCCCAATCAAGCATATTACAACGTATCCGAATTACAATTAATGATTCTCGGCCAGACGCCGCCGACAGCCGATACCTCTCACCTATGCTAAGTCATCATTGTCGTCATCATGTTTGGATCTCATATGACGTTTCTTTCGCGTTTGGTTTCCGATGTATTATCGGGGTCGGTTTTATAACAAAATCATTTCTCATTATTTATTAAAAAACATCACACTTGCATCAGTTATATTTTTCAGTGGTTAGCTTGACATATATACAGTCCATCAATCCTATTGTTTGGGGTCCACGTGGCAGTGGTAGTGGGTGTCTGGTGGAACCGTGACTAGCAGAACCACCACATCACTACCATACTAGTGTTTGGGAAAGAGGGACTTCAGTCCCTCTCATAAAAGTACAAGTCCCTACTAGTATGTATGGTGTTGTTTGGGAATGAGGGACACCACCAAAGTAATATAGATATTAGTGCGATTTCTGATAAATATTTCATGTTTTCAAATATGCTAGCTCAACGTAAATTATGACATTATATTACAGAATATGGAATCATGCATGTAGCTATAATACCAACGAGCTTAATTATCTAGACAGGATAAGGTTGACGAAAAGGATATTGTTATTATTTATTTTGTTCTCTATATATGAACTGGATATTAAGTCCAGCATGTGTGGTTCAGTTAAGTCATCGATCATGTTAGGACTTAGGAGTTAGGAACAACAATACACACTCCGTAAAGTCTTGTCGATTGGTTGCTTGAAATAAGCGTTCTTCAGACATACGTTAATTATAACGATTAATGGATCGATGGCAACTACAGATAGAAGTCTTTTTTATCTTTATCTTTATAAGTTGGTATTTTGAGTAGTTTTATTGTTTTTTAATTAAACCTTGTTTTTAGTTCATAGTTGTTTCTATAGTACCATTTTGTAGCAAAGACCGAAATATTTTTTATCATCTTAAAAAGAAATAATCGATGACGAATAAATGCTGTGCGTAGGAATGAGATCATCTGACACGAACCATACTAAAGTGTGATCCATATGTCACTTTTTTTTCGCGAACGCGTAAAAAGATTGCACGTCAATATGATCCATATGTCAGTGACTGAACTACGTGTCTTTACCTATTATAAAAGTTTAAGGTGTTTTTGCCAGAATTTTGGTACGTCATCTGTCTTTGAAACGGTTTTAGTTTTATGTTTCGGTTTTAATCTATATGTCTACTACAATAAATTCTTCTTAAAAAAAAGTAAAAGAAGTCCGACTAAAAAAAGGTAAATAAAGGAAGAAAAAAAGTCCGACTTAACGAGTGATTAAAAAAAAAGTTCCGTCGTCACTTAAAGAGCGATTAAAAAAAAAGCTTCCGTCGTCGTCAGTAAAAAAAAAAAAATCTCTTGTCCGACTATGTAGAAAAAGGAAAAAAATCTTCCAGTAAAAAAAAGTCCGTTTGGTTTTTTTTGGCACCGATATTTTTTTCCCTTTTTTCTTTGCACGCAAAAGAGTTTTTTATGCGCACACGCTAAAGCTTTTGGTTTTTTCTTTTTTTTAATCCGATCTATTCACCGCGCACCTCTCGGGTGCTTTTAGTTTTTTCGTCAATGTTTTTTGTCACCTGTTTTTTTCTCCCGTATGCTTTTTGTTTTTCTCTTCCGGTTTTATAATCCCATCTGTTTACCGCACGCCTCCCGAGGTGAACCCTAGCGCCGCGCCGCTGCCATACCGATTTGTGTATTTTCTCCTCCAATTTAATTGCAAAAATGGATTCCCCACTCCTCTTATCATTTTCTCCATGATTTTCCCTTCGATTCGGCTTTAATTGCCAGTTTTAATCTCTGTTCTATAGTTGCCGATGATGACGGCGATCTTCCTCGGTTATTTTTATCCCGAGTTTTATGCTCTGATTTTGGGGAAAACGGAAAGAGTAGATCGAGTGGATTAAAAACCCTCGACCAATTTTGGTTTACCAAGAAAGATTCGGCCGGATTTGATGGGGAGATTTGCTCTAGCAAACGTATGGGCACGGGATTATCTTCGGGAGGTTGAAGATGTAGTCATATTCGGGAAGTTGAAGATGGTAGGGTCGAAGAGAAGCAGACCAAATGGAGGGAGGTAGCGGACTAGCCTAGGGCTGAAAAGGAAGGAAGGCTTTCGGTCAAAACCCAGAAAATATTTTCATTAACTTTTTTTAATTATAATCTATAGCGATTCCAATATTAAGATTTTTATTAACTTTTTCAATTATAATGTATAGTGATCCCAATATTTTAATTTATTACTTAGCTCTCAATATATTACTGAAAAATGTTTACCCGTTGTAACGTACGGACATCTTTTCTAGTATATAATTAGGTGAGAGGATCTACTTCCGCACGCATACAACGAAGGGAGATTAATTTTTCATATTCGGCAATACGTACATGCTCTTTTAAAATTAATTATGTGCTTATTAATTAATTTTTTTTGCCGCGGGGTTTCTTTCATATACATGATGTGAGCCTATACATCATGCTTATTAATTACTAATAACATTGTTTAAGTAGTTAATTGTTCTTTAGAAGAAGTTGAAGGTGCGTGGCTCGTGACATAATCACAAGCTTAACGCAAAGCATCATATATATCTTCAACGTTCTTTAAACGTTTCTTGTGGTGGGGGTGGTGAGGCAAATAGACCCCACATAACTACTCCGTAGTACATACAACATACATATATGTATGTAGGAATAGGATGGTATGAGCATATATAGGATTTGATTAACAAAAGACCGAGAGCTAGCACATATAGCAGGGATGGTAACTAAAGATTTGTTGTACTAATTTTTTTTTGGCAGTAAGTTTTTTTTTTTAAAAAAGAAAGTAGTAGCATAAAAACGATTCGAACTACCCTGCGTAGGCATGCACATACATACGTGCATACGTCACGATTTTGTATATAGACATACATAACAGATGCAATGTCAACGTTAATTAATTAGATTTATTTACAAAGATTTGGAAGCAGTAAAATTTATTTTGATACTCCTACATGGGTTTTACGCTTGATATTGGTTAATCAATCAATCAATTAATTAATTGATGAGGTCCGACGCGGTCAGAGACGGTTGGTAGAGTCGTCGTCTCCCTCCTTGTCCTTGGACTGCGTCGCGTGTTTCCAAGGCAATTTTTTCTCCTCTCCTCTCCTCAGATAATTAATTAATTAAAGAAAGAAATTGAATAAAAATAGTACTTGTGTGTGAAAAAGAAAAAGAGAAGAGAAGATAGTTTGTGCGTGGGCTCCACGAGGAGCGTAGACCGGAGACGATTTGCCGAGTTGGAGTGGAGGGAGACTCATCATCATCAGAGGATAATACTCTACTTACTAGTAGTAGGAGAGAAAGAACACCAACATTCAACTACTAGTACAAATTCAACAACAATGGAATACACTAGAGTCGGGAAACAGCTTTACTAGTCGTAAATTTTTCTTTCTTTCTTTCTTGCTTTCTCCACCACGCCAAGTCCACAGCCACCTCCATTTTCTCCTCCTCCATTCTTCTCTTCTCCACCTCTCCTATCTTCTTCTTCTTCTTCTTCCCAATTGCTTGCCAGATTCAATTGTAGTGGTCGGTATTGTGCAACAAACGCGGGCGGCGGCGGAGATCTGAGCGAATACAGACTGACCCCTTCCCTGCCTTGCCACTTTGGCTGAGGTATAGATCCAACATCTCTCGCAAGCTGTTTCCTTTTCTTGCTTCACTTGGGAAATTTGAGATTTTTGATCCCCCGATGAAACTGACTGGGGGTTGCAATTGGATTTTCCGGGGATCCAAAGTCGATGATTTGGAATGAAAAATTATCGGTTTTTGATGTGAAATGTTCGTCCTGTGTCATTTTTTGCGATGGTGCGTGGTTCGTAGCCGTCAATTTGATTCCCCAATGCGTGCCAGCCGCTGACTTGGACCATCCCGACGCGCCCCTTGTGTTGTTGTGTCTCTTCTTTTTTAAAATTTCCTTCTTTCCGTGTTTATTTAAATTATTATTATTATTATATAGTTGTTGTATTGGATGTAGTCGGGATGGCCAGCCTGGACTCTCGGTTGTTTTTCCCCCCAATTGCTGCAAGTTTCCTCTTTGTCTTCTTCTTCTTCTTCCTCCTCCGGATTCAAGTTCAATCTCCTCCCCTCTTTTCACATTGCCACTTATCATCTGTGTCAAATTTGTTTTGCAAATTCTCTTTTGTAGCTCTCTACTTGTGAGCACCGATCGATCGTCTCTTTCTTTCCCTCGATTTGTTGGATGTGGTAATGGAGGTTTGACTGACTGACTGCCTGCTTCTGCTTGGTCGTGGTCAGGTCGTCGATTCGGAGCGGTGGCCGCCGGCGGAGGTGCTCGGAGTCGGAGGGGTAGCGTATATGTGACGCCTGCTTTGCCCTTGCCTTGCAGATTGCAGGCCATGTCATGTGCCCAGCAAGACATGGATCCACCAACAAGGTATTCCCCCACCTCTGTTTGTGGATCTCCCTTTCTTTTTACGCATAGATATACTACTACTAATTGCTTAACCTTCAATCTATCCATGTTTCATCACTCATTACATTTTGACAGTCATAGCAATATATCTTAGAAGCCATATATAGACCACTTCTTTGATTTTCGGTCTTGCACACATGTAGCCTGGGTCAATCAATTTCTTCCACCATCAACATCTGTAGCTTTGAGTCACCATTCACCATACAGACAGAATTTTTATTACTTAGGAGTATTTCTGTAGGTTTAATTCCCGACAACCTAGCTAGCTAGTTCGCCTCCAGGTAAGATGGATTACCCTTGAGGAAAGGGAACTCCGTTGCAACACATGTCATGCCCTGCAAGTTGCTATTAATTTGCTATTGTTTCACTTTGCCAAAACCCTGTATTTATTGTCTTCCTATGACCTATGTGTCTATTTGCATTGTGACCCGGTATTTTCTCATACGGACAGGGACGCTTTGTCTGAGGCTTTAGATGGTAATCGCAGCGATCACAGCGTGTATGATGCAGAGCATTCTGGACAGAACGGAATTGGGGATACCAAAAAGCGTACAAGCAGCAGCGATCTATCCACAGATGACAATTTCTCCTCTAGTGCTTTGCAGAGCAAACATGAACATATGAACCGTGATGCTCTTTCTATAGATGACCGCTCGGTTAAGTCTGGTGATGAATCCGATGGGGCTGAGAGTACCAGTGGCAAAAGTGGCAGTATTGACTCAACATGCACTGAAAATGATAGCATCTGGATACCACCTGAAGCTGCAGACAAGGAATATGAGGCTGACAGTGTTTCTGGAAAGATTGCTTACGCTGACGACGACGATGATTACAGTGATGGGATCAAGTGGGGCCGGTCAAGTTTCCCAGCCACTAATGAGGAGCAGGAGGTCAGCCACAATACTAGGGATGAGCGAGAAAGCGCGATGCTAGATGCCATGAATGGGCAGTTAAAGATACTTGTAAGTCGGTTCCTGGCCTCTGCTGGTATCTCCTTTTCCAAAGGAGAGAGCGGTGAGAGTTGGCTTGATATCCTTACCTCCCTATCGTGGGAAGCTGCACTACTGATCAAACCAGATGCTAGCAAGGGAAAGGAAATGGACCCTGGATCTTACATCAAGGTCAAGTGCATAGCATCTGGTACTCGTCGGCAAAGGTGAAACATAATTTGTTCCTTACTGAAGAAAATTCTTTGAAAACATTGAATTTTTTTTTATGTTTCAAATTATACCCCCCCCCCCCCCTTCATTTTGCAATGTTGATTGCAGTGAGGTGATCAAGGGGTTAGTCTTCAAGAAAAATGCTGCTCACAAGCACATGCCGACCAGTTGCCACAATCCTAGACTGCTGCTTCTCAAAGGAGTCCTTGGGCATTCTGATGTTGGTTTGTCATCATTCAATTCAATGGATCAGGTTTGCCACTACATATACATGCATGCAGATATTAAATTAAATCCCATTTTTGTTGGCTTGAAGGTTAATAGTTTCCTTTTTGCGTCTCTATGGTAGGAAAAAGACCATCTGGAGAGGGCTATTAGTAAAATGATGGAAATATGTAGTCCTAATGTTATTTTGGTTGAGAAAACTGTTTCACGGGATATACAAGAACTTCTTCTGAAAGAAGGTGTTACTCTAATTTTCGATATGAAGCTCAATCGGTTGGAAAGAATTGCTCGCTGTACGGGTTCTCCCATAATCTCATTCTCAGAAGTCTTGGATAAACCAAAGCTGAAACGTTGTGACTCGTTCCACATAGAAAAATTTATTGAGGAGCATAACAGTGCCAGTGATGGTGGAAAAAGGCTATCGAAAACATTAATGTTCTTGGAAGGCTTCCCCAAACCGTTGGGTTGTACGGTATGTCTAGTTCATAATTGTAGTATCTATAACACATTCATGCATTTTGATCTTATTCATTTCGTCCATAAAATTTGTTCTTCCTGAAATCTCCCCATCCTTTTATTAGGAGTGACAATGAAACCTCTAATCAAAACACCCCTGTCACTGTTGTATGCCAATCTATTCTAGCTTGCTGTCTTTTACTTCAAACAATTATTGATTCCTGATGGTACTTGTCTGATCCTGCCCCATATCCAAGTGAAGTGAAGTAAAAGATTTTTATGTTTTGACTTACAAAAGGGATAGTAGGGAGGTGTAGATATCTGAAATGCTCTCAAAACATGACAAAGGAGCTGCTCCTTGTCTTTTGGCAAGGCATGCCAAATTTTAGCAAATAAAGCTTGGCAGGAGCTATGCACTCTATGGTTCTTTACAATAGCAAACCTGGTTTTGATTATGATGTGCTATACAGTAGCAAGTTTCATGCATCTTTTTTTTATTATGATGCCAAATGAATATGACCCCTTCCATGCATACTTATTCTCTCGACTGAATAGGCACATGTGGAGTCACTTCTTTCCACTGAGTAGACACATGTGGGGTAGTCCATATTTTTTATAAATTATCTGCACAATTATAATTCTTTCTTTATCATCCAGATATTGCTAAGGGGTGCAAATAGTGAAGAACTGAAAAAAGTCAAGCAAGTCATGCACTACACAGTATTTGCAGCGTACCACTTGATTCTTGAAACATCATTCTTTGAAGATCAGAGGATATTTTTGAATGATCAAAATGCTTCAAGAGAGAATTCTGTTACTGCCATGGCAGGGCCATCAGCAAATGGTTACGATCCATCTGTTCTTTGTGCCTCTGACTTTCCTTCACGAGATGACTCTCCAGCACTTAGACTGTACCATGCCACTTCTAATGGCTACACTGATGTGAAGAAATCCCTCAGTTCATCAACAAAAGTAGATGCTCCAAGTTCAATAACAAACAGCTCCTCGAGTGTTGGAGAAGATGCAAGTATCCGATACGACTCAAAGCCACCACTTCATTCTCAAAGGTTACCATCACCAGTCCCAGGAACGCTAAGGAAATACGTTGGCATGTTATCTCATCAGAATATTTATTTACCTGTCACATCCTTGCAAGAAACATCTGCTACCCAGATAGAAGGCGAGGTTGAATCTGGTAAAGAAATTGTCAGTAATGGTTTTCATGTTGGGTCAAAGGTGGAAGAGCCTGCAGTTTCTACTGCAAATGTGGATTGCTCACAAGATCACCAGAGACAAGAAAGAATTCAAGATATAATGCCAACAAATTCTACGCACGACAAACGTGAAGAATCACCTGTTATGGTAGAAGATGGGGAACAACATAGCACCATTGATATCATTAGCAAAGAGAAAACTACTAACGAAGATCAAGCGGATGATGCCCTTGATACTCACAGCATATTAATTTTGATGTCCAGTCAATGCATAACAAAGCAGGTTATTTGTGAGCAGAGCCATCTTTCTCGTATAAAATATTATGGGAATTTCGATGTGTCCTTAGGGCGATATTTGCAAGACATTTTGCAGAATCCGGTTTTGCAGAATCAGGTACACTGTTTATTAAACTTTTACTTTGTCCTCGAGTAGTTTTTCTTATTTTCACGAAATACCCACATTTTGTTTTAGCATTGCAACTTGATTCTGTTTGGATGCTTACTCAGCTCATTGATGTAAATTCATAGCAGAAACTGAGCTGCTCTTCATGTGGAGAGTTTCCAGAGTCTCATCTGTACTCTTACACTCATCGGAATGGGAATTTGACCGTTCGAGTCAAGCATTTGGCGCCTCAACATCATTTGCCTGGTGAATCTGAAGGGAAAATATGGATGTGGACCAGATGCTTGAGATGTGAGAATGAACATGGGATGTCCAAATCGACTCCAAGAGTGCTCATATCATCTGAAGCACGAAGTCTCTCTTTTGGAAAATTCCTAGAACTCAGTTTTTCAAGCCATTCTGCGGCAAGAAGGCTTTCAATATGCGGACATTTGGTGAACAGGGACTGCTTGCGCTTTTTTGGGTAAGCTAGCCAGCTAGGCATATTTTCATTTGCATCAAACAAAAATAATTTTAAGCTGAAACACCAGTATTTGGTTACCAAGCATAGCTATGCCGTGGAAAGACATACTACTATACCTTTCGTCTTTCTTGACATTCATTATTGTCTGTTCACTACTGCTTTCAGGTTGGGCTCGAAAGTTGCAATGTTCCGGTACTCATCAGTTGAAATTTATACAACCTGCAAACCACAAACCACTCTCCAGTTTGATAATCCCTGCAGGCAGGATTGGTTTAAAGAAGAGAGGAGATATGTATGTTTTATTAACTTCAGTATAATCATGCTATGTTTTCGATATGTTTTAATGTTTTATGTTTCATCTTTCAAGGTTCTTGCTAGAGGTATAAAGCTTTTTTCTGAGGTTGCAAGCATGCTACAACCCTTAAAGGATCAGCTTCTTGATGTGACAACAACCAATTGCACCGGCTCTCTCCCTGTTAAAGACTTCTCTGAACTTGAAGAGTTGTTGATCAAAGAAAAGGCCTTTTTTGAGGTAAGCATCCCTTCATTTCCATTGGTGTAGGTGTCGCCAATGGTATTCCTGCACATCACAGTAGGACTTTTGTTTCTAGATGAATTTGTTGTGTTTAATTTTTTTTTTTTGTGCTATCATCTGTGTTGCCATCCAGGATTCTCTAGAAAAGACAATTAATCAGAATGAGAATCTATCTGCATCTGTGCATGAACTTGTTGATATCAATTGGTCCTACCAGGATCTTCTACTTGAACTTTATTTGTGGGACCGTCGACTGGATCAACTTACTAAGTGTGTTTCAGCTGGACAAGAGCGTGTTGTTAGTTGCAAAGATCCTTTTGATACTGTTGTCAAGAATATTAGGGTAAATCAGGAGATTGAAAATAAAGCTGACGAATTGACATGTGATAGAACTACATCAGTTTTGAGCGCAGTTGGTTTGACTGAGTGTCCAAGTAATAGAAATTACATTGACCACCAATCAGTTGACATTGAAGCACCCGTGCTTACTGAAAATCAGGGGGCTGGGTGTGCTCAATTTTCTTCCACTGGAGGTAGAAATGATGAAGACTCTTACACTGCTCCTTGTCAACTAGAGGTAGATAGCATGGCACAAACCAAAGAAGTTCCTTCATTTGAAATTTCAGAGGTTCAGGGTGATGGGATAGTTGTTCATCCAATTTCTTTGGACCAGGAGCCTTCAAACGCTCCCAATCATTTCAGAAAAATTCCAGACTGGGATACAGGGGAAGGGTGGATTTGGAATTCTTTCCATGAATGTCAATTGGCTTACAGAAAGGACATACAAAATGAAATTTTGGATAAATTTGAAATTGTCAACCGTTATTCTCCGTCTCATATGTCTCCCTTGTTTGAGCAACATGAAGAAGTGAGCTCTCCACAGTTCACTGTTGGTCCAGGTGGTAATATTTTATCTGTACTGGAGGATGAGATATCTAGTATAATAGCCCGTGCTCTTGCTGTATCTGGGGAACACCGCCATTTAGTGGAGAATGAAACAGAGGGTGCCAGGTTGGAGCATGCTAAAACAATGGAAAAATCATATAGCTTTATGTCTGGAAGTTCTCTTGACTCATCACCATGGTCATCTATCGGATCTTTAGATTCCGAAGCAAGTTTTTTGTCTCTTGGTTCATCAGTTTCATCAGATGACCTATCTGGTTATGATAGCTTGCCTTTGTTCTCTTCAATACATCCAGAAGTCGCTGTAAATGGAAAAGTAGCTCTCAGAGGCAAATATTCTGTTACTAGCATATATGCTAAACAATTCCAAGATCTTCGAAAGAAGTGCTGCCCATCTGAGCTTGCATATATTACTTCCCTAAGTCGCTGCAAGAAGTGGGATGCTCAGGGTGGAAAAAGTAAAGCTTTCTTTGCAAAGACAGTGGATGACAGGTTCATCATAAAGCAAATAAAGAAGACAGAGTTTGAGTCCTTCATAAAATTTGCCCCTGATTACTTCAAGCATGTTTACCATTCTCTAGACACTGGAAGCCAAACTTGCCTTGCCAAAATATTGGGAATTTATCAGGTACTTTTACATTGATAATTGGAGTTTATTTCAATATATTCCTGACTTTATAGTGCTTTTCTTACAAGTTGCTTCTTCTCAGGTTAAGCAAACAAGGCATGGAAAAGAGATAAAGATCGATCTGTTGGTGATGGAAAACCTTCTCTTCGGGCACAATATTTCACGGATTTATGATCTTAAAGGTGCTATCTTTTCACGACACGTTGCACACTCCAATGACCGTAATACTGTTTACTTGGATCAAAACTACGTCGAGGACATGCGTGTTTCTCCGATTTATATTGGTGGAAGAACAAAGCATCTTTTGCAACGTGCAATCTGGAACGACACATCATTCCTCACTGTATGTATAAAGCAAATCCTGAATCCAATTACAGGTAATTGTGGCTTTCAATTAAAAATGTGTCTTTAACCGATTTATTGGCTTGCAGTCGGTCAACGTTATGGACTATTCTCTGCTTGTGGGAGTGGACAAAGAAAAGCATGAGCTTGTATTTGGCATCATTGATTATCTGAGGCAGTACACTTGGGACAAGCAGCTGGAAACATGGGTGAAAAGTTCCCTAGTAGTGCCAAAGAATGTTTCACCAACTGTAGTTTCACCCAAGGAGTACAAGAAAAGGTTCCGGAAGTTCATGGCGAAGCACTTCCTCACAGTTCCAGATACATGGAGTTCAGAGAATTCTTCCGGACCAAGCAAATCGTTTGGGCATAGCAATAACATGTTGGTAGAAGTCCATAGTGATGACAATCTGCTTCAGCATCCAATTGAGGCTGAGACAGTTGTATAAATGACTTCTCTGACAGTTGTTGAATCCTATCCTGTTGCTACTTGGCTTTTTTTTTTTCATTTTGTAAAATGGTGTACATAGGAGGGCCTCACTCACTAATTGATTTTGGCAACCCCAGAGAAGTTTGCAGATTTTAGGCAAGTCGATGGGGGGCAAGTGAGGCCTACAGTACATGTATGTATACAAATGTTCATTGTTAATTTCACAGTTATTACAGTGAAATTGCAAAATTGATGATTATTCTGAACCTCAGTTTCCACCAGCTAGTTAGTTGGTAACTTGTGACATTATTGATAGACCAATATTGCTCCGATTCATTTCCGCTGGAGACGATCTTCTTGCTGTGAGCACTGAGCCATACTCATTCGCAGAAGCAAAATAGGAGTGCTGCCATGAAGCACAAAACCTGGGTTGTCGCAAATTAAAGGGGTATGTTCACAACCACAAGCATGGCATCGACTTCTCGCCCAAATCCTTGTAATGAAGATTATGACGAGCAGAGGAATTTTTTTCTTTTTTAAGACAAGTATAACTATGGCATTGCGATTGTTTTTTTGATCTTGTCTTGGTGCTTGGTTGCAGAACTGCTTTAGCCAAGGGATTGTTGTCGCGCTGTTCATTTGTTGGAGTGCAGTCAAGGTCAGCTAATTTAATTCCCCATTGCATACATGCAGATTCTCAACCCACAAAGAATGGAATATGGGCTAGCTATACTCCAATTATCATCATTCTTCGTTTCTCCACCTCATGCATGACTCTGCAAAGAAAGATGCTTGAATCCAATCGATTTGGCATTTCTTCATCTGATTGAGTCCTACAAGTCAAGGTGATCATTGCCATGTCCCAATTCAAGAGGACCCACCTTCTCATCATCTTGCAGCCAAAATGGTGAGCAATATCATGGAGAATCATGTCCAAGAGCTCTGCGTAGCTGCATCGAGGGTGTGTGCTGTTCTCAGTTTTCTTTCCCTGTTCATCTTCTTTGCTTGAGTGATTATTAAAATAACCAATTAATATGTTTGTGCTGCCATATATATTCTCGCATAGTGGAGTGATGAATGATAAGGAAGGTGATAAGCCTACCGCCAAGAACAAAAGGGAGAAGAAGAAGAAGAAGCTAGAGCAAAGAGATGGAGGTTAAAAGATGTCATTTTTAAACCCTTCCCGATTACCAGTACTTGTTTCTTTTTGTCCCCTCCTCTCTAGTCTGTCCAAGTTGTTACTTTTCCAGTTTTTTTATTATTTTTTTTAATGGAACTTTTCCAGTTTTAGAAAAGGGCAAAGAGTTGGTTTCCCTTTCGGACATCTGATTCGTCGCACTTTTAGATTCTTCCTTTCACAGGTAGTAAATATTACACCATCATCAGTCATAAAACACCATTAAAATATGGAGTACAAAAGAAGAATTAGGACTTACTAGTGGACATATATATATGTTGATTCTGACAATTAAGCATGAACTGGTCGCTAGTAGCCGCAATGGTAATTTGGAGACACAAAGATGGCATGCATGGGCATATATATTGATCGATCTATAGCTAGATACAGTGACTAGATGAGTGATATAGCTAAGCTAGAGAAGTGCCTGAATTACAAGAAAACAAAAACACCTACGACCTTCCTAGCTGGAGTACTACATTAAGTAATTCTCATTTGTTAATTACTAGTAGCAAACTCATCCATGCATCTTGTGCTAATGCGACTATCTACCATGCATTAATTATATTAGTAATATGCATGCATGATGTTAATAATCTGTTTGTGGCAATAATTAATAATCATACAGTGGATGTCTGGATTAGACTTTGGATCAGCGATGGCTGCAGAGGTCGGAGAGCATCTTCCTGCCCTCGACAATGTCATCGAACAAGTCGTCGAGCTCGGCGATGACGGCCTCGGCGCCGGAGCTGAGCATGGCGAGGCAGCCTTTGACGAGGTGGGCCCTCTCGGCCATGTCCTCCCGGTGGGCGTAGCCGGTGCCGGTGGCGACGACCCTGTCGAGGTCGGCCTTGAGGCTGTCGATGGCGGCCCTGGCCTGGCGGAACTCGTACATCAGGATGCCGTCGGCGGCGGGGGCGGCGAGGGCGCGCATCTCCTGGGCGACGCGGTGGCGGAGGCGAGCCATGGAGGAGGCGTAGCCGGGTGCGGTGGGCAGGGGAAGGGGAGTGCAGGTGGAGATGAGGTGGTCGGGGAGGCAGGAGGAGACGGTGGCAGAGAGGAGGATGGCGAGGAGGAAGGAGGTGGCGTTGCGGAGGGCGTAGAGGAGGGCGCGGAAGCCGTTGAAGGCGTTGAGGTTGAGGTCCCTCGGGGAGCGGTGGTCGAGGAGGAGGAGGGAGGCCGGGTCGAGGATGTTGTCGTGGAGGAGGGCGCGGTTGTCCTGGAGGAGGCCGGCGGCGTGGCGGCGAGGGGCGTTGATGGCGCGGGCGGCGTGGATGTAGTCGTCGTCATGGTCGTAGAGGTGGTGGATGGCGTGGGCGGCGGCGGCGGAGTAGGCGTGGAGGGCGGAGGCGCCGGCGCGGACGAGGAGGCAGGCGTCCCACAGGCGGGAGGTCTCGTCCATGTACTCGTCCAGCCACCTCTCCCCCGCCGGCAGGTGCAGCCTCCCCACCACCTCCAGCAGCTGCGCGTGCACCGACCGCACCAGCGCCGCAGCCTGCTGCACGAACGCCGCCGACATGAACCCCACTTCGCCGACCGCCAGACTCCGGTGCAGCGCCTCCACCCCCTGCCCGATCGACGAGTAGAACCTCTTCATCATCCTTAGCTTAATTAATTAATTCCTAGCTATCTACTCCTTCCTTGTAGTGTTCATGGTCATGGCTGCTGCCTCTCTGCCTGTATATACTCCTGCGGTGCCTACATATAGGAGAGATGTCATGGCAGTGGCAGCAGCTACTCCTAGTCCTCGATGCTAATCTAGTGTGTACAGCAGCAACAGCCAGACTGCAAGAGCAATGGAACGAATGATATGATGGTGTGTCTGGGCGCCAGGGGGAAGGATGATTGTCACTGCCTACTGCTTCTTCGATCATCTCTCTCACTCATCTATACGAATGATATGCACTATTACTTGCTACTGTTCATCACTATCTATCCATCTATCGATTCGATTCGATTATGTGTGTATCATCACGTACCTGCCTTTGCATTGCCATTTTGATTTCCTACGTGCTCTCTTCCTCTCAAAAATAACTTAGGCCCTGTTTAGTTCCAAGGGTGAAAAGTTTCTGCATTTCACATTGGACATACCAACACACATATAAAGTATTAAATGTAGCCTAATAACAAAACAAATTACAGATTCCACATGTAAACCGCAAGACGAATTTATTAAGCCTAATTAATCCGTTATTAGCAAATATTTATTGTACCACCACATTATCAAATCATGGAGCAATGTTTCGCAATTTACACACAATCTGTGTAATTAGTTTTTTTTTTGTCTATATTTAATACTCTATGCATGTGTCCAAACATTCGATGTGATAGAGTCAAAAGTTTTTGCGTGGGAACTAAACAGACCCATAACCTAGATGGAAATGTGAACCCTCCTAGTAAAACAAATCAAGACAATCTTCTATTCAAATTCATTATACTAAGAGGGGTCACATCACCTCTTAGGTTGAGTTTTTTTTTCAACAAAGGGAGTGCTCATATACATATGCATCGGAAAACGCAATACACCTAGTTACTTACCCCCTCTGTCACATAAAAAATCCAACCTGGTATTGGATAAGACATTTTTTAGTTTAACGAAGAGAAAATGTGTATCATTCAATATTAAATTAGTTTTTTCTTTTTTGGACGGATGGAGTAGAGGGTACAGTACAGTACTAGATTAGCTTTGTGTCTCCATGGCTGGCTAGCAAGTAGCAACAGAAACAGGGGACAGGGGTAGTAGAAATACTAGAATGGTGCGTGGTTGTTTTGATATGAATGTCCAATTGCAAATTGATTGGGACCATATACAGAAAAAAGGAAGCTACCAAGACAAGAAGCAAGAGGAGGGGCCTCTCCATTAAAATTCATGTCTCGCTTCACATATACAGGCAGTTATACTAGTACACAAATAGCCTGCACTGTCATGAGCTGCTGCCGTCCTATGTACGTACTTGTATATTTTCTTCCTATACCATACGACTTATTAATTAGAGTTTCATCCGTATGTAACAAATATTCATTCTACTCGATGGATCGATCGGCAGCATAATGTAAAATTGAATTAAACGTGCCCAAGATCGATGATGACGGACAACAGGAAGAAGAGGAGAAACAGAATTAAGCAGAGCAGAGTGCTCTGTTAAGTTGCCTTTATCCTGTCTGTCCTCAATCTGCGTTTCAACAAACTCTATCGCCTACCTTGTACTCCAATTGATGGCAACAAATTTAAGCTGATGATTCATATATGAACCTAAATCAATTAGTTATTAACAACATTAATTAGAATAAGATCTGAAGAAGAAGAAGAAGAAGAGGAGGAGGAGGGAGGACAAAAATTCAAAGGTGGGCAGGAGAACGAGAGATTTGTCTGTCTGTCCATCGATGCAAGTTCCCATGGCTGTGGGCATGAATTTGCAAGCAAGCAAGGAATGATGGGTTTCCTTGTACCCGTACAAATCTCTCTGGCAATGGCTATGGCTATGGCTTCTTCCATCTTTTGAGGAGGCGGCTTCCTCCGCTTGCTCATCCCTCTCAACCGGGCCTCCGAACCACCCAACAATCATTCCTCATATATGCCCGTGCCCACCCCTCTTCTTTCAAGGACCTCAACTACTCTCAAATCATCCAATTTCTGATTCCTCCATTACAAACTTCACCTTGTACCATCCTACTTCATATTTGTTTTTTCCGACAAGTATTATCCAGTACTAATACTTTTAAACTTGGATGAGTTGATATGTTTTCTTAATTATTTGCATTGGTTCGATATATGTAAATCATACAGGAGCATGTACAATTTGTCCTAAAGAAATGCTACATGTTCTTTTATTTTGAATAGCCGAATGGTTGAATAGCTGAGTGAATTTGTGATGATTATTCAAATGTACAAATGAATCTATTAAGTAGTACAAAATTGAAAAAATGATTTAAAACCATTTTTTTAGGAAATCCATATTAAAAAGTTTTTACAGAAATCGCAACGTTTAGAAACTCCAGAAGTATACAAGTTTATCCACATTCTATTCCTCGGAAAAGAAGTATACAAATTTATCCGCATTCTATTCCTCGGAAAAGAATGCTCTTATTGAAGTTTTATTTGGAAAGCCGTATCAATGTCTAAAATGGAGGGAGGGAGGACGGATGATTCTTATGAAAGCACAATGCCGTTAAATCCTGAAAAATTTGCTCCCATGGGAAGTCAAACCCAGGATCTAAGGTGCTATTGAGACTCCTGTAACTACTAGGTTACAGGCCCTTTCGCAAACTCGACTATCCTTAGTTGAATACTCTCCACAAAATTCGATCTAAAATTTAAAATTATGACAATCAATTTTATATTAAAATAAGTTGATAGGTCTGGTAAGTTTATAACATTATGATAGTTAAATTTTTAGGCAAATTATTTATTTTGTCTTTAAACGCTTGTCAAAATTTTAAAAAGCTTAACCAAATCTTATTCTGAACATGATGGTGTATTTCTTTTACTAGCCTGAAGGAAGTAGTTTTTTTTTAGGATTCTTGTTGAATTGGCTCCACAAACGAGACAAAGTATGTTAATATGATTACAATTAGGGGGGAGTACGTGTAGTAGGGATTAGTAAATGGTGTTAGTGTAGGCGCTCGTGGGGTTTGGGAGACCGAGAGAGATCGAGGAGGGATCGGGGAAATCAAAGGGTATGTATGTTGTTTGCCTTTTATCTATCTAATCGAGCCATATACTAAGATCAAGGTTAGCAGCGATCGAGTACTAATTAATTACCTTTTGTTTTCTCCACTAATCAATGATGTATACATAGGACATGATGCATGAGTTGGCATGTTTCATTGTGTATATTTTATTACTACTAACAATTGCATCGGTGGCCATGCATGCAATGTCCGTAGTTGACCGGTAGGCTCCACAGCACTCAATGGTTGATATAATCATTCCTAGCTAACTTGTCTTGTCCGGCCACCCGTTTAATTAATTTTGCTAATCTTTAATTTCTACACTTCGTACTTCTCCCCTGTAATATACAGTTCGTACTTCACCAAAATGAACTTTTTACTAGTACTTCTCCCCTGTAATTTTTTTTTTAACTTTTTACTAGTACGCGGTGTGATTTGCCTTGCTTTTTGGCAGGCAACCTTTTGTCTTTGTTGTTTCTCTAAATTAAGTACTGTCTTCAGTGATCGATGCTAGATGTTTAGTCCAAATTAGTACGGTTGGTGTGGCAATTCAACATGAAAGCACACTGATCAGTAATTTAACTCATTACTGCTAGGAGTATATGGTGTGTGCAGTAGGACGTGTAGGATCTAGCTAGCAGTGATATGACCAAATTAAATTAATTGGTGATAAAAAGACCATCACAAATAACATAAATCTACTCGATTACTGTAGGTCTTGTGTAGCTACTGCTACTTGGTTACAGCACCACTTTGATGAATGCAGGAGTCAGGAGGAATATGCATGAGATAGATGAACACAGAGAGAGAGAGAGAGGTTTGAGTAGGTAGGTAGCTGGAAATGCTTGCTGGTCTCTTTGGGCATGCATGCATTGATGCATAAGGCTGCGCCTTGTATCATTATTCGTGGACTAATTAATAACTAGAGTCATGCATCGATCGATCACACAGCTTGTTTATATGTACAATCAGTAACAGTAGATGCAATGATCGGCAGCCTTTTTCTCCTAGCATCGCGGAACATTTCATCAGAGCAAGTTTAATAGTATAGCCCAGTACTAGCTTCAAATCATCTATAACCAATGTAATAGCTAATACATACAATAGTTGCTTACGTATAATTAACACCTAGTCCAACCTGTCATACACACGTTACGTTTTAGAGTCCGTGCTGTAGCTGGCTACAGATCTGTAGCCTGCTGCTCTTCTCTCTCTTCCTTTATCTCTTTAAAATATGTTATAGCTGGCTTATAGCCTGCTATTGTACCTGCTCTCATCACCATGGTCGATCTTCGTCGTATACTACTCCATGTATGTGCATGCATATAATATATATATATATATATATATATATATATATATATATAACACTTTTTATTTTAGGTTATAAGAATTTCTAACATTATCAGTACCGATGTTAGATCGATCGATTGCCAGCGACGGCGCATTTCAGGGAGAAGCTCATGCCTAGTATACTCCGTAGCTAATTAATTGACCATACTGCATGCATCGATCTGCTTTTATATAATCCTATATGTACGCCAAATACTAAGCAAATTAAAGTGGTGTTCTTTTCTCTTGAAGATGAAGATAAAGATTAATGCTTTTATGCAAAACGAGATAGTATTAACGTATCATTGATTGAGTTTTAATTATTACAAATTTAAAAAATAGATTAATATGGTATTTTTAAAGTAACTTTTATATAGAAAGTTTTTGCACGAAACGTACCGTTTAGTAATTTAAAAAACGTGCTACGAAAATTTTAATCTTCATCAACTCTTGTTGGAGAAAAGAACGCCAAAGCCCGGCAGAGTCTTCAAGCTGCTGAGACTTGTACTACCAGCTGCTTGCGGAGTGAGTATGAGTATTATATGCAACACACTTCAGCAATCTGTTCCCAAGGCCAGCAGTACATTTTTCCTTCATCCCAATTTGCTTTTGACATGATAGGATCTTTAATTGGCTGCATACATAATTAAGGAAAAAAAATCAAAAAGGCAAGCATATGCAAGCTAGTCAAAAGATGATTGCTACTAGCGTCTTGTTCCAATGAGCAGCAGGCACAGCCGTAACAACGCCTTTATGATGATCGAAATGAGAGAGATGGTATATATGAGAATGATGCACATGGAGGAACAACATATAAGCACTCGATCGAATCTCTGAGGTAAGGCTGAAAAGTGTCTTATGTTGATGGCGCCCATGGATTGATTGTATTTCCCCTTCTTTTTGGAACACAACAAGCAGCTGCTACCAAGCACATTTATATCGATAGAGTAGCATAGTATCCTTCTCTACATATGTGGATGGGTAGCGTCACGTCTTATATAGTACTTCATCCGTCGTATAATATAAGAGATTTTGGAGAGACATGACACTTTCAAATACTACGAATCTGGATAGCTCCCCTATCCAGATTCGTAGTCCTAAAAGTATGTAGCAAAAAGTACAAGTTTCCTCTACTATTTTTTGACCAGCTAATTAAATAATTAATTTCAGCGTATCAGCATATATCCTTGACTCCACCTTTCCTCCACAGTGCACCCGTTGACACGTGAGGGTGGAGGTGAGAGGGGAGGAGCATATGCCATGTTGGAGGCCAGACCGGTGCGACGCTTCCTCATAGCGGCTGGTCGACGGATCCATGGCAGAGTGAAAATGGAAGTCTGGGAGGAGACTACAATAGGTGAGCTTGCGCATGTCCGCCTTGATAGGGAAGATAAGGTGGTGGCGTGAGACCAACACGGAGCTCCAAGAGGAGAAGAGCGGTACAGTCGCCATTCTCTGGCAACTTTCTGGGCATCCACATGATCATCTCCATCGACATGCTCAGAGAGATAGAGAGGAGAGAAATGGAGGCGCATGGGACTTGTGGGGCTAGCTAACTTTTTATAAAATATGTGTTGACTGGATTACCACGTAGAACCAAAACCACCCATATTAGGCTAAGAGTATATTAGTTAGTTTGATTAAATAGTTTAGGAGGATAATTTATCAATTTCTATAGTTAAGAGGGTAAATCTTACCTTTTCTTTACTATAGTTGATGAGGTAAATTAGACTTAACCCTTGTATGTATGCTCCCGTAGGTAGGTATGAAGGAACACATATGTAGGTACGTACGGTGAGGATCCTGCAGATGCACTTCTTTCCACGGTCGTCGGAGTGAGTTGTAAAGATGATGTGCATGGAGGTACTACGACTGCAAAGTTGGCTCACTTTCACAACTCATCTTTTGCAGCAGGATCTTATATTTGCTTCTCCATCATGCATGTTTGCTGCTGCCTAGCTATATATACGTACGTACCCTACCTCTAATTATATTGCATGGGCTGCTTTCTGGAGACAGAAAATGGATGAGCAACTTCTTTGGGGGCATATGCTGTCTGCAAACTCATATATTCCAGCTCCCAATCTTTGGATGCATTTTGATTTCTGCCTGCTGCAGGGCTGCTTGATTTCAGGGGCACCTTTCTTTCTTCAGACATTCCAGCTTGGCTTCCAAAAGATGTTTGCCTATGAATCGATATAATGCTTCTTCTCTGCTGGTGCAGAAACTAACAAAGCATATGCATATACTCGATCAGTGACTGGTAATATGTGTCGTTGTGCGTTCTGAGAAGAGGTGATCAATTGCACGGGTAGCAATTTCATTTTTGTCCCACTATAAACAGACAGACAACATTTTCTTCAATTGTAAAAAAAGTAGCTTCCAAGGTTACAACCTTATAGAGTTATAATCTTGTAATTTTTCTTCTGCTCTATCAATAGAACTTCGCACCGCCTTATGCGAGTCGTTAAAAAAAAAGTAGCTACCATGGCTAGCAGTAAGGGTATTATGTCTTTCTCATGTAGGTCACTAGTCAGATTGCTACCATTTGTAGCAATCCTAAGTATGAGTAAAATGATTTTAAAAATATAGGACAATTACCAGTGGTAGTGGTCCGAAACAGGGACCGAAATGAAAAATACCTGGTCAAGACAGGATTAAAATATTAAAAAAGATGTCGAGCCATTATCAATGTTATGGTCCAAACAGAGACCGATCAATATGAAAAGTAACCAGGAGCTGAATTGCAAATGTTCCCGTACTGGGCTCCTTGGGCCGGAACGGCCGTAAGTGGTCTGGGCACAGGCTTTGATGCATCTCTTTTGTCCTTGTTGTTCTTACTTCCATTCCATTGTATAGATTTTAATTGTTCTTAAAAACAATAGCAAATGTACAGACTATAATACTTAAGTTTTTTTTATGCAGTTCCTTTCTGTATTGAACATGTTGCGCAATTCCTTACTCCTTTACAGTAGGACACTTTGTTATTGAGAAACACAAACAAAAGAACAAAACAGAGGCGCCAGAATGATAAAAACAATAGTATAGTTTGGATGGAGCAATAACATAATAATAATATCTATAGTCAACTGAACAATGCTGTGTGATCAAATGTGTAGCAATAGTAGCATAGTTACGAGCAAACAAAAATCTTTTAATCCTGTGAGAAAAAGGAAGAAAAGAATAGAAAGAGAGAGAGAGAGAGAGATACAGCTGAGGAGCACCCCAGCATGTTCAGATGACAAGAAGGAAGTTCTATTAGCTCTATACGAACAACTCAACTGAAAACTCTGAATAATTTTCTATGACAAAAGTGCCTCAGGATTAATCCTGAAAGCTGTTAGATGATGCTCCTTTATTCCTATTGATCATGCACCAACAATTCCCTCCTCTTTTGAGTATCAACTTGTTTTAATTTGGTGGCCAATTAAATCTTCTCTTGCTTGTCTCCTACGAGGGGAAGCATCTCCATCCGGCTCCTCGGCGTGCGTGGGCTCGAATTAACGCTCTGCTGCGAGATGAGATGCCTCACATAGCCATAGAAGGTGCAGCCGACGAGCGTGATTGCGCACCCGACAGCGTTCATCGCGGAGATCGGGTTCCGGAAGATCATCCACGACACCAACACAGCCACAGCAACCTGTATAAATCACAGTATCCATCAACCCAATTTGTGAATGCAGAGCACAAATGAACAGCAGTAGAGTTGCAGTCGAGTCTCACTTTCAGGTTGCCGGCTACGTTAAAGGTGACAGCCGTTGTGGAATGGATGACGTAGAAGATGGAGAAGTTGAGGCAAAATGCGAGTACTCCGGAGGTGGTGATGATGATCAGTGCAGGGACGATGGAATCATACGTGTAGAGCCAATTGATGACGCCACTCCCTTCCAGCACAATCGCTGGTACTGACAGTATCATGGTTGCAAATGGCGCCATGTAGTACACAGTGTTAATGCTGCACAGAAGAAGAACAAAATGACAGATGCAGAATCAATAAACACACCAAAAGAGGAAAACATGCAAGGCTAAGTATGGTAAAGTAAAATTCAGACTGAATCAATTTTTACTGGCCCAAGGTAAAAAGAATCCATTTTTACCTATCAAATTTGTATCCATGGAGTAGAGACTCTGCAAGGATGGTCTTGGTAGATGTTGCCAGGCAACCAACCATAGCAGCACAAAAACCAAACATGTTGAAACTAAGCTCAGTTATTGATGTTAACATGATTCCTCCCACTATTGGTACCAGAGAAGCCCATATGCGCCACTCGAAATACTTCCTCCAGACCAACCACTGCAGAATAACTGTGTTACAATGGAAGAATCCATCAGAATATGCTTACATTAATTGCAGAAAAGCGGAATAACTGAGAACGACTGAATTGACAATAAAGAGCTCAAAAAAAAAAAGAGCTTAGAAAGGCCAGGAATCAGAGAACCTGTCGTTGCAGGGGTGAAAGATTTTATGGTCTGCATGAAGGAGACTGGAATATATCTCAGGCTGACATTTCCCAGTACAATGTTTATGCAGAACACAAATGACATTGGGAATATTCTTCTCCACCGATCCTCTGGGGCAACTTCAATCAGTGGTTTCATCTTGAGAATTTTGATTGCGATGTAAGCTCCAATCGAAGAGCATATAAAGTGGACACACGAGACAGTAAGAGGGAACTTGAACTCCAATTTCTGCATCCAAGGAAAAAAAAATGAAAACCATCAAATTGATGACTTGTGTGAATGATTATGCAGTAATATTCTGAAAAAGAACACAATTTTGGACTCCCAAGTCAATTCGAAGAAAAAAGAGGAACTGTACACTTCATCATCAAGGATCGATTTGTGCAGCGAGAAAACATCACACGCTACAGGGTTTCTTCAGTAATACATCACCCAGGCCACTTTAAGTGACAAAGGTTACAAAGACCACGAAGTTGCTTCAGAATAGCAGCAGTTTTGTTTTTGCACTGAGTCTAATATCCTGTGGTATGCAGGCTGTTAGTATCTTTAAAACCAAGTTTTCTTAATGCAATGATACGCAAGCTCTTTGTGTGTTCCGATAAAAAGAATTGTACCACAACCTTCAAAAATATAGATGGTTGCAAGGAGGTGATTTTTTTTTCCTTTTTGAACCCAAAAACAGGTGGAGAGATCCCTTCCAAGGGTTCAATATTCATGAAAGCTACTCCACCAAAGTTCCTTCCAGAATCAGCACTGTTCTAGTTAACTTTACATTGGACATCCATCAAGGGCATCAAGATGCAAACTTTAAGCTTTTTTTTTTCTTTTTGGATGCGACGTTGTACTTCAAATTTAAGGTAGAACCATAGAGTTGACTTACACTTGGGTGTGGCTGCGTGGGTGATCCACCAAAAGAGAATTGTCAAACTTTATAATCTTTTGAGGAAACATTTTCAGTTAGAATGATTGCCAGCTAGAAAAGGTAGTGTTTTGAGTCATATCCTCGATCTCTCCGTTGTATTTCTCGTTATCTTTTCTGAACATTTAACTCATTCTTAAGAGGACATGACAAATTGACAATTCCTTTCAGTGTCTGAAAGGAACAGAGTCCTTGGAGTTTTGTAAATCTCAATTCTCAAAAGATGATTCCCTTTTCCCAGTCATAGCCACCCATAAACTACCAGATGAAGCAAACTATACGCACAAAAAGATTGTTCCTTTGATGGAGTATCTTGTTTCATGTTCCTATATTATGCTGCATCCCTAGGAAATCAACTACACCCATGTGAAGCAGATAATTTGCAGGAAAGGCGTGCGTGACCCTTTGCTGTTAATAATCATACGAGGGGATCATCTCAAGGACAGAAAAGAAAAAGGAAGTAACGGAAGAAGAATAGGGGGGGGGGGGGGGGAAGAAAAGGAGAGGAAGATTATGGAAGAATTGGAACCTGGAAGATCCATTTGTTCATGATGATGACGGTGACGTTGAAGCCCCACCATTGGAGGATCGCCAGAACGGCTCGGATGGTGGCAACGTCTCCCATCTTGGCTTCCTCCATCGATCGAGATCGAGATCAAGATCGATCTCGACTCGACTCGATGGATGGATGATAGATCAATCCGGCCGGTGTCAAGAAACGCACGCCCGAGGAGTGAAAAAACCGGCTTTGTATCAATCAAGCCATCGATAGGAAAGGAAAACGATCCATTAGAGGCATCTTTGTAGAACTAGAAGGCCTGCCTGCCTGCATCGATCGAACTAATTCAGTTGTCTTCTCTTTTGTTTGGGGGCTTTATAAATATATACTACTACAAGAGACGAGAAGAGAAGAGGAAGATGAAGTGAATCGAAGAGGGAGGTGTTTAGGTTGCGAGTTCGGTTGGTGTGAGCAGATGATTCCCTCCCTCTCTTTGCCTTTGGGTGTTGTCTAGTCTAGCATAGTACGTGTCTCTCTCTCTCTCTCTCGCGTGTGATTTGATTTCCCGGCTTCTTTCTTTCCCTTTCTTTGAAAAACGTGGCACCATCCATCAAGTCTGCAACTCTCTTACCTTTGCCGTGAGTCTACTCGTCGTACGACTGGTTCCATGTGCTCACACCTCTCAAATTTTATGCAAATAACTAGTTTGAGAATTTTTCTGCCATGACTTACTTCTTAATTAATATAAATCGACGCACCAGCCAACTGTTTTAGGAATCCATGCTTCCATTTCAGTAAAATATGGAGTCATAAATCAAACGGTCAAACGAGTCCAATTGATTTTCAGCAAAATAAAAGCATACTACTCTATTGTTCAGCTTTATCTAAATAAAAAAAATACACTATTGTTCTGAGTGAAAAACGCAACACGTACGGTTCCAGAAGCCAACCACATGCCTACTCCTGACAGTAGCGGCTAGTACCTCACTCCCAAAATAAGTGCAGCCATAAGTTTCAGCACCCAACTTTGATCGTCCGTCTTATTTAAATTTTTTTTATAATTAGTAATTTTGTTGTTATAAGATAATAAAACATGAATACTACTTTACTCGTGAATTATGTTTTTAATTTTTTTCAAAAAATTTTCAAATAAGACGAGTGATCAAAGTTGGACGCGAAAAACCATGGCTGCACTTATTTTGGGACGGAGTAAGCAGTACATAATGCAAATCCTCTACAGTTAGGCAGGCAGGCCTCCGTATCCTGCCGTGCAAATCCTCTCATGTTCATGCATTTGTTAATATAGAGGTCAACACTCACCACAAATATCATTAATTCATATCAAGGACACATATAAATTCATCATCTGGAGATATAGCTACACTACTTATTAATCCAACCACAGAATCTCTAATATGATATAGGAGTACTATTTACTATAGGAATGAATATTCAGGGTTAGTCATACACTCAAACTATATACTAGTACTACTTACATGCTCCATGACTGTCACAATTGTCTGACAAAATGAAGATCCACTTTCTTCCTTGACTCTCATGCTTGTCCTCGACTGAAATAAGACCTCCAAAAAGCTTCAGGATCAACCAAACCATTACATACACAACATACAGACTATAAACCTTCACAATCATCGATCACAGGCTATAAACAATGACGAATCAAGCAATAAAAAGGAGATTAAAAAAACAAAATCATATTTCCCCCAAAAAAACGTTTAAGAATACCATCACAGGGCAAGTACAGGACAACATTCACAATGGTCACTGAAAGGGGGTAAAGAAGGAAGGTGAACAAGTAAACAACACATCATTCCGCCCAGCTAAAAGACTACATACACCATCTTCACCAGGTAAGAGTTCTTCCTGTAGATGTCAACGGCAGTTAATTAAATAAACTACACAACTGATTCAGTATCAAAGTCGGTGTATAGCCCTCCTAAGGGGCCAAAGAATCTCTTTTCCTGAGCTTGTCCAAGCGAGCTCAGAAGCTAATCCACAAAGCTATTGTGATGATCACTTTTCAGTACCATCACCTTCAGAATCCTTCGACTGATTCACATTACAAGCATGCTTACTATTCCCATGTATTTTCAGCACAGAATCCTCATACTTATGCATTCCTTCCGCTGCCCTGCGGATCTTGCAAAATGTACAGTACCACTTACCTTTGGGGATAGTGTTGCGTGCTGGTCTCATGCAATATATGTGATAACCTTCATCACAGCCATCACACATGACTATCTGGTCATCATCCTTGTCTTGGAAGCACCCTCTGCAGAGGCAAGAGGGGCAGTACCAGCAACCAAGCTTCTTTTGTTGCTCAATTGCAAGCTGGCTTGTTTTCAGGCATCGGATATGATAGAACTTGTAAACGCAGTAAGGATGTCCGCATACCATGAATCTCTTGTCATCGTCTTCGCATGTGCCACAGTGTTTGCACAAGTTTGACAGGGCAGTTGTTGACAGGTCTGGTTCATTGTCTTCCCCCATGCTTGAGACGGAGCTCCCCTCTCTTTCTTCAGCTAATTCAATTTTTATGGGAAGCTTGGGATCTTCTTCTTCTGTCTTCACCAGCTCGAGCTGGTCACACAAAACACAGTTACCACCATGCAAGCAGTCATGGGCAACATTATTCGTGGTATCTGCAGCCAATTCTTTTTTCTTGAAGCTGCAGGTTGAACAATGCCAGATTGCTGGGACTTGCTTAATATCAGGATTGAGTAGCTTGACACATGCAAAGTGGTACATGGTGTCACATTCATCACAGATTAGGCCTTCTTCAACATCTACCTTGGTGCCACAACCATCGCAAGGGCACAGATCACGTCCAGGTGGCACAGTTCGTTTCGGTATTGTAGAATGACTAGAATCACATGGGGCCAACTGCACGGTGGTAGTCGACTCCTTTGTGACAACGTGGACAGCACCCGGCAAACTTATTTCCTAATGAAGAATGCAATTAGTAAAACCATTATTAATTAAGTGTGCATGTGGAACAATGATTAGCAAACATCCTCAAACAGACAACTTACCTCTATTCTGTGCTCAGCCACCTCAGCTTCAGAAAATCCAGAAGCCTATAAAATAATTTATCCATTAGTAATGCCCAGCATAAAAGGAAAGATTTCAATATACTAAAGCATCCTGCAAATTGCAGCATGGTTGCCAAGTGTGCAGTAATAGATTTATCTTAACTCAAATTGTCAAAATATAACCATCTCGACGCTAGAGACATTAATTGAAAGATAAAGCAACAGATTACCTGCTTTTGGTATGAAACTCGTGAAATGGTTGAAAGGTTGCTCGCTAGACCTGTCATCTCTTGGCCAACTTGCTCAAACTTCTCCCACATCTACAAAATAAACAAATAGAGAGTTGTATTAAGAGGAAGGCTCAGCAGGCAACAGTATCGTATAATTTTTCCTAGATGTTACTACACAACTTCTATGTTTAGAGCATGAACAATATAATGTAAACAAAAAAACTCACAGATGAAAAAAGTATATCAATGATAACTGATAAGGAAATCAATATAGAAGAGTAATTGTTCGGTCTTTGAGATGTGCTAGCACTAAATATTATAAAAGTTTTCTTTTTTGTGTTGTGCCCATTTAAGAAAACAAGTGATAAAACCCTAGTTGACTTAGACAGAAACCTCAGCATTGAGTGGTTACACATGCAGCATGCATGAGATGTTCCAGAATTTTGTGTGTGTCATACCCCAGCTCAACCACATTATCCATGGTCCACTTCATCAACCATGAAGCGCAAGGGAGTTGGCATGTTGCGGACAGCAGATGAAGCAGACAGATAGAAATAGAGCATATAAAGTTGCGAAGACATGATAGTGTAGAAACAGGGCTAGTATACCATTTAAGTTGACTAGCGTTCCAACCCTAACAACCAGAGTTCTAGAAGGTCAGTTGTGATAAACTCCCTAGGAGTCTGTTGCTTGGATGGTTCAAACAATTTGGGAAGATCTTAACTAGCAAACGCAAAAGAAGCTCAGATAAGCAGTTGAGCATCAGCATCATTCTATCAACTGGCCGTACGTAGAACATTTTGCTCTTATGATTTACGGAGTTGTGAACAATAATAGATGGAGAACACATTAAGCTTTAGCATACAGAGGGCGCTTATAAGTACAGGTAATATGCATCATCTTTATTAGATAAAAGATAAGAATAAACACTAGCTAGTATTATTTCCCTCCAACAACAGTAGCTAAATTACTTTCATGGGAGCAATAGAGAAACAATTACCTGCTGGATATCATCGTCAAATAGTGCAGGGTTGTGGGCATAGTCTCCATTTCTCATCTTGGCGTCGATTTTTTCCAAGTCGATGACATCACCAGGTTTATTGACATGGAAGGTCCCAAGTAGCAAATGGCACAACAAGGCAAATTTCTGGGAGACCAAAATGTCGAAGAGGGCATTATTACACATTGCCTTGTTAGCTTCGGAAGAAGCTGCGGCAGCCGCATCTTGTATAGCAGCATCTGCAGAAACCACCTTGCCTCCAGCAGCACCATTAGGGTGCTGCACTTTTGCTTCCTCTCCTTGGGAATGAGCTGGGTTACCCTGGTAATGAGAAAGAAGTCATGTGTTAGGAAAATTATCATTGCATAAATATATATAGGGTAGATGCAAACAAAGGTGGTGTGTGTTACTTTGAATTCAGTGTGAACAACAACACCATTGGTGAGCAAGCAAGGATTGTGTTGGAGAGCATGACGGATGCAGGTCTGAATTCCTCCACCCTGGCTAATAGCAGGGGATTGGAGGAAGCCGTGGAGAGTGTCCCTCCAGCTAATCCAATGTTGGGCCTTGGCGTCTTTCTTAGAATTGGCGCCGTTGGCCATGAGTGGCAAAGGCTGCAAGAAAAGAAAGCACAACAAGTAGATGTAATGAGAGATTGTAAGAGGAGGCAAGAAGCGAGAGTACGAATCTTGTAGAAATCGAAAGGAAATCTGGAGAAAGAAGAAGAAGAAGAGGCAGGGAGTTGGTTGGTTGGTTACCTGTGTTTCTTTGGAGCGGCGGCGCTTGTAGGTGACGAGGTGGTCCTCCGGCGGCGGCGGCTGCCTCTTGCGCGGTGGTGGGGGGCGGTTCTGGGAGCCCATCAGCCACCTGCGGGGGGCGGCTACAGCATGGACAGCAAGCCGAGCCGCCGGGAGGAGACGACGGACGGAGCGGAGCGGAGCTGCGGAGGGGAAGCAAAACCCCGGAAAAACTAGGGTTTGTGCGGGCGGGGTGGGCGCGGGTGGCGGTGGATTCGGATCTCTCGCCTCGCCGCGGCAGAGAGGAGCAGCAGCGGAGGAGCGGGATTTGGAGGCGGCGAGCGGAGCCGGAGACAAACCCAAAATCTCTCTCTCTCTCCTCTTATTATAACGGAACGGGAATGGAAACTGAAACGGGGTTGGGCTGGACACAAGACAACCCATCCTCATCCTGTGGGCCCTTGTGTTTGCTCGCTCCACCAAACCTCCAATACTCCAATGTTTCCACCATACACATCTACGAGTAAAATTATGGGTCTATTTGAGGAGCTTAAGATTCTTACAAGCAGCTAGTTGATAGCCAACTTCTGAGAATCTGGAAAAGCTAGCTTTTGGCTTCTAGTTCATTTTCTGGATTCTATAACTACAGCTTATCAGAATCTGGACCAAAAGCTGGGCTATTTGGGGGAGCTTCTGATTCTGGGAGAAGTTGTAGCAGCTAGAAGCTCCCCAAATAGAGCCTACATAGCCCTTGAGATTCTTCTTTTTCATGTTACATGTAAATCTTAGAGTTAGGCTGGTATATAGCTTAAGTGAGTAAAAGGAGATAATAGAGGTGGTGACAGAGATAACTTATAGAGTCAAAGAGATTATAGCTAGTCGTACATCTAGATTGTTCTTAATCGGTGATGTATTGAGTAAACAAGTATTAACATATTATTGCCATGCAGGATGGCGAAAAAAAGATAACGGAACATAGGTTAATATACAAGACAATTCGAGTTGGTTATGTGTTCCATTACGTGTGCGGGTGGATTCATGCAGTATGCGCGGGAAAAACCTATGACGTATTGAGAAATATAACTATAATTAAAATATAAATAATATAGTGACGGAAGGTTTTCGCTATAATGCAATACCACGTGTCGATTTCTATGCTCTATTTTTATATTTCACTAAACTCATGTTTTAATGGGTTTTGCAGCCCAGCAAGACACCCCAAATGTTTCAGTGGGAAAAGCATCGAAGAACACTACCACTTTCCATGACAATTGTCAATGATGAACAATGTCAACTTTATAGTTTCTTACCCGGGCTGGACCAAAATCAACGCTCCATACGCCCCCAAAGGCCCAAATACAACTAGTAGCGTTTCTTTTACTCCTCCATTTATATTCTACCATAACAGCTGTAGACGTAGCAATAGCACGCAGGTAATCAATACTGCAACGATTCACCCAGCGACATCATGCCAAAATAATTACTGTGCCAGCTTACAATTTGCGCTGGTCACCTAGCTGTATCTGTATGCCTCCAAAATTTTACAATTTGACATTAATGTAACTTTCAACTCATGTCAGTTTAACACCTCATGATGTTATCATCAGGAGGCTGGATCTGCGACTGTAGCTCATTTGCTAAATTTTGACATTTTAGTTTACTGCAGGCATGAAGATGCCAGTTCAGTAACAAGGGAAATACAGATGGAGTTGGCTGCATTTCCTTCAGGGTACCAATATATACCATATTAACACTGCTGCCATGCTGCTTCCATTAACAGCAGCAGCAGCGGTACATCAACTCAGATCAACGTACGGTGATGGCCAACCTTCAGGTTCAGGGTGAAAAATGTGGGATTCAGATCTTCAGTACAAGACGTATGGCAAGGAAGCACAGTAGAACATGATCCCGCAAAGATCTGTCGCTGTTGCCTCTGTATCAGGTGATACCATCATAACGGTTCCCAAGCCATCTTTTACCTAACAGAAGGGGTTTCATCTTGTCAAATGAGTTGATCAATGGAAGTATAATCACTAAATAGATAGGATGCTAGACTATACAAGACAAAGCATTTGGAAGCAAAAATAAAGAAATTTTGATCAAATATTCACAAAACTGTTTGTTACAACTTAGAAGGAAGCTGCCATGTTTTTACAGGGGTACAGGTCAAATATCTGAGAATCTGTAAATCACACACATAAGTCGTAGAAAAATGGAAGAGCTCTACATGGTCGTCCAGATTACACTCCAGGCTGGTCACAAAGAGGTAACTGTATAATATGATAATAGAACTTCATGCAGACAGTCTTATTTTGCATGGGGTAAGCAGAATCCTCAGAGATTCATGGATCATCCTATGGACCTTACTCAGTTTATACGTGATTAACAGCAGTACAGCACAGGCTAGCTAGTATATAATTATAAATCTACAATAAAGCAGTAGTGTAACAAGAACCACATAAAAACTAGTACATTAAGTTTTTATTACCAGTGATCACTTGTTTTATAGTCATTTAGTACTGCTGACTACTGTTTCAGAACAAATGCAAATTACCAGTTACTCGTGTATTTTTTCCATGTACAGAGAAAAGGCACTGATGTATTTTGCCGTGTACTGAGGGCACAGCCTTCAGCTGTACAGCAGTATAGAATGATGGGGCATGTATTTCTATCCATCACCATGAATACTGACACCTTAAAATTTACATTCAAAGAAGAACTAAATCGTGCATGGAACAGAACTAAGATCACTACATTTAGGCTTGACACTTTAATCCTGTCGATAAGAAGTGGCTGCAGTCAAAGAAAACTGGCTGAATCCTCCAATGACCTATCAACCAGCAAGAGCTCAGTCTAAAGTTTAGCATTGGCAACAAGAGCTCACTATCTAAAGTTTAGCATAAAGCGTCTGATTTTGCTCACAACTGAATTACCAAAATAGATAAACCTATACAACATGATAATACACCAGGGACTGGAATTCATAACAGGTATCATGTGCAGGTGCAGTAACACTAGTGATACGCATACCTTGGAGAAGCTGGGAAGCTCGTGCTGCCAGGTGCCACAGCAAAGACATTGGAGTAAGACTTTGTGAGGTAGGCGAAGTTGGGTATCGGCGGCAATGAAGGCACACGCTCCCCTCTCCTTATCATATCCTCCAGGTCCAGCCTTTGCAAGGTGAGAACAGCTTTGTTCTCTCTCCAAACAAATGCAAGCCGGCCATCCAGGAGGACAAAGAGCGATCCGGGCTTTGAGCCAGGATACCTGAACCCATACCCGGTGGCAATGCCCTCACCAGCAAAGCTTCTATTGATCTCCACAGCACGCGACTCCTCATCGGTTTGCCACGGAAAAGTCTCAGTGGATGGCTCACCGACCCGCACGATAAACATAGAGGACCCATTCGGATGCACGACATAGTGTGTACCCTCCAACACCTTGGTTGCAATCAGCTGAAGCTTCCCTTCGCTGTCCTCCTCATAGGAGAGGAGTAGGAAGAAGAGAGCCTTGCCAGGTTTGCGCTCATCCTCCGGCCGCCCTGGCGGCCACCCGAATGTGCCTCCCCACAAACCGGCATACTCCCGGCCAGGCATGGGCGCCTGCGTCGTCAGCTTGTAGAGCACAAACCGGTTGTCATGCATGCTTGGCCAATTCCGGTAGATAGACAGCCTCATCCGCGCGCCACGGAGGCTCAGGCCGACGCTCTCTCCGGCTCGCAGGAACTCGTCCAATGGCAGATGCTTGGGGTGGGCGTACTCAGCCCTGGAATTGGCGGACGCCGACCGTGTCACCATCTGCCGCAGGCTGTTCCTGACAAAACCGGCGACCACCGAGAAGGTCCTCCGCAGCCGCATCTTGTCGCCGGCGGTGTCGGCCGGCAGCGCCGCCGTCTTCCTGGCCCCGATCAGCAGCGCCTCGATCTCGGCCCTGCGCACCATGCCCCCGCCAGACTGGCTGTGCAGGCGCAGCATGGCCTCCCGGCGCGCGGCGAGCAGCGGGAGGTCGGCGTCGGAGCGCGCGAAGAGCGGGGCAGTGGCGACATCGGGGGGGAGGGTGAGGCGGGAGGCGGCGACGAGGGCGTTGAGGAGGCGGCGGCGGTCGGCGAAGGCGAGGCGGGAGAAGTGGGAGGTGGAGGTGGAGGTGTGGGCCTCGAGGAAGAGGGTGTTGGCGAGGGGGTGGAGGGAGGAGGAGAGGAGGCCGGGGAAGAGGGAGTCGTGGGCGGCGCCGTGGAGGAAGAGGAAGGCGGGGTGGCCGCGGTGGTCGGCGAGGAGCTCGAAGACGGGGGCCCAGAGGAGGCGCGGGGAGAGCTCCTGGGGGATGGAGCGGACGGCGACGAGGGAGAGGAAGCCAGGGAGGGCGAGGACGAGGTTGCCGAGCTCGGGGTTCTGGTGGGCCCAGAGGCCGAGGAGCGGGGCGGCGGAGTGGAGGAAGCGGCAGACGGCGAGGGAGGAGTGGGCGAGGGCGGTGCGCCAGGCGAGGAGGTGGGAGGCGGTGGGGAGGAGGCGGCGGCACTGGGCGAGCCACGCCTTGTCGGCGGTGGAGACGGCGTTGCGGAGGCTGCGGGAGGCGGCGGAGAGGGCGAGGAGGTCGCGCGGGCGGAGGTGGGCGGAGATGAGCCCGAGCACGTCCTCCGGCAGCGACAGGATCAGCTCCGCGCCGTCGACCTCACCCTCACCGGCGAGCTCGTCGGAAGTCATGAGGATGGATGAGGATTTCCTGGATCCGGAGGGAGGTTTCCTTCCTCTACTCTCTCTCCCTCCAAACTCAAAACAAAGTGAGGATTTTTCACTTCTTTCTTCTAGAAATATCACTGAAAATAGATATTTTTTATCTAAAAATATGATATTTTCTTTAAAGAGGAGAATAGAGGTTTCTGATAATATATAGTGCCAGGTACCAAGGTCTGATACCTAGATACCAGCTGGTATCCGAGGTACCAGATACCAGCCAGAACATCCATATGTACCAGGTGTGAAGAGGGAGCGCATGCCATCGTCGTCGTGCCCGGCCAATGAACCTCTTGCTGCCATATGTCCTCTCATTCCTTTCCCTCCTCAACGTGCTTCCTCCCTTTCCTTCCGTTGATATGGCTAGCAAGACAAGGAGAAAAGACGTGGAAGCTCAGCTATAAAAAAAAGGGGATGAGTCACTCTAAGTATCTCATTCTAACGGTATCCCGTCCTCTAGTCTCTCTCTATAAAATACGATCGTTTTTGGAGAGAGAGAGGGGGGATTGACTGAAGAAGCAAGACTTGCTCGCTTGGCACATATTAGGGGCTTGTTCAAATTGTAGCCAAAATAAACCTTACCAATTTTGGCATTGCAAAATTTTGGTATGTTGGCAATATTGTAAAAATCTTGGCAGGATTTCTTATATATTTATTAAAGTTTGGCAGCAAACTAAATGTAACCACTTTTTTTTGGCAACTTTGCCAAAATTTGGTAAGATTGAAAATGTTATCTAAGTGAACATGCTCTATAAGACAACCGATCTGGATCTGGTTTTTACTACTTCACTAATCAATTAACTAAACAATCAGGGCCTCTTTGAATCGCAACAATGCAAAATTGGAGGAATAGAAAAAATGCAGGATTCTAATAGGAATGTATGTGTAAAATAGAGGATTGCAAAATACAGGAAAATGGTCGTTTGATTTGACCGCGGGAAAAACGTAGAAATCGGATGAGAGAGATAGTCTCAAAGGGAAATTTCAAAAAGGTTAAAGCTCTTGCTAAATTTCCTCTAAAAACTATATAAGATTATCCATTCCATAGGAATTTCAAAGAAAAGCATAGGATTCAATCCTTTGCTTCAAAGGACTTCATAAGAGATTTTCTACAGTTTTGAAATTCTCTAAAATTTCTATGTTTTTTCTTCAAATTAAAGGGGCCTTAGGAGTGACACTTTGGGTCCTAAAACTAAGTGAACAAATGCTTCTCTCGAGAAAAAGAAAATATAAACCTTTTGTATAATACCTGAAAAAGAAAATAATCACTGAAAATAGAGGGTTTTTTAATCCAAAAATATGATTTTTTTTTTCTAAAGAGGAGAATAGAGGTTTTTATATAAAATACGATTGTTTTTTTTAGAGATTGACTGATTGACTGAAGAAGCAAGACTTTTGCTCGCATCGCACAGATCAGCAGACGACCGATCTAGATCTGGTTTTACTATACTCTACTCTACTAGTACTCAGGGCCTGTTTGGCGGGACTCTAGCTCCCATATTCATCTTACCTATAGCTGTAGTCCATCCAAACAGTCCAGATTCGTTCGAAACAGGAGCGGAGCGCACCGAATCGCTCCGGGAAAATGAACTACCGGACTAGAGCGGCATTTTTGTCGCTCCTCAACTCCAACTCCAATCACATTACAAGATTGCCCACACATTTTCGATGAAATTACCAGCAAATGCCACCGCCCTAACCCCCATCCCTCCCTCCCCCGTACCGCTTCACCCCATCTCCCCCGACCTCCATCTCGAGAGAGCGAGGAGGCGAAGCAGCAGACGACGTGGGGAGGAGGGGGGAGCAGCCGGCGGCAACGATGGACCAGCGGGAAAAATGCGGCAGCGCACGGACTTCTCCTTCCAGTGTATCCCCTCTTCTCTCCTTCCCATCCCGGCACACGGCGGGCGGCGGCGCATGGCGGCTAAGGGGAGCACGGGGGCGGTGGAGGCACCGGCGGCTAGGGGCAGCGCATGGCAGCGAAGAAGGTTGAGGATGAGCAAGGCGTCGGGTGCAAGACGGCTAACCACGGCCGACACTGAGGTAATTTGTTCCCCAAACCCTAAAGTTTCTCCCAGATTTTAACTTCAAATCTAGTTCGTTCATGTGGGGATGGCTGTCTACTTTGTTTGATTGGTTGCTATTATGCAATGAAAAAGGGGGAAAATTTCAGATCTGGCCGTGAGAATTTAGGGATGTGAAATTTCATATTTCAGAACTAGTGACCATGAGCATTTTGTTTGACTGAACATGTTCAATGTCCACCTCCCTGACATCTAGTTGTCTAAACTCTAAAGTTCTATATTCCCAAGCAAGTTGCAATGGATGCAGCCATTCTTATGATAATATATGGATGCATACAGTTGTCTGAACAAGTGCAGTTTGTGAGGTCAAAATCTCTATTTGAGATGTCATTGAGCAATTTGCAGGTGCAGTTGAACTAAATCATATATTAACCCTATATAACAAGTGCAGCTAAATGTAATAGCGAAAGAATACCATAAACTTTGCATTGATATAGTGATAGTTCATCTACTGGATGTACCAACCAGAGTTCATGTATTGATAGGATAGCTCAATAGGACTACAAGATGCCATGGACTTTGCGCTGATAGTGCATCTACTGAATGTACCATATTGTTGTAGAATGAAATAGCAGGAAATTGACTTAGTTATGCTTACAATTTCTTGATCCTTTTAGGAAGAAAAATGCTGAGCTCATTTTGCCATTCTATTGTTTTGCAGGTGGTGAGGGCTGAATTTATGCAGCGTAGAACAGGAAAGGAAGTTTTATGCTTCCTAATAGTTGTGTAAACATTTGATGATTATGAAGTAGGAATCTGAAGAACCTGACCAGATCCAGCAATGGATGCATAACTATGAACTGTAGAAGTGGTACTTTTAATGTCTCTTTGCTAGATGAGTGACTATGTAAATATGTTTGGATGACTATGATGCTATATGTATGTCATGGATATAGGAATGGAAAAGTATCCGGTGCAATACTACTATTCGGTGGGAGAATGCAATCATCAATGTGGACCGTCGGATGAAAAGTGTACAACACAGATCGAAGCACTCCCCACATTGTTGGTTGTTTATGCAAAAATGTCCCTATGTTATATGCCAAAATGCTTTCAGTCCCTCTATTATAGCAGAAGCCAAGCCTGAACATTTTAGCTTTCCCCATTGAGGGTTAGGGTTTCCGTACACGGTAGATTCGGCTCATCGCACTGAGCGGCGGGGGCGGTCTCAGGTCCGGCGTGCACCTCGTCGCCGTCGTCTTTCCAGCCGGTATGCGGCGGGGTGAGGGGCCGCAAGCCTGTTGCCGGCTAGGTCTGGGACAGATATAGGCAAGGTAGGTGGATCGATCCGGTGGGGGGAGAGCTTGGGGATGGAGATTCGTCCATCCGCGACGATCTGCCAGAAGCCAATGGTGGGCCGGCTAAATACAGTACAAAGTTGAAAATGATCCGCCAAAACAGTGCACTTTCACATCGATGTGTAAGGACTTTATTCAATTTGGTTCACAAGTTGGACAAGTTTGGACGTTACACACCAAACCATAGGTTAAAGGTGATCGGATCTGAGCCGCAATTTGATTCCAAGTTGAAACAACACGTGCTTAAACTATTACCGCCATTATTACAGCTATAAGTAACAAAAAAAAGGAAGAAGAGAGAGATTAGGAGCCACTGACTTTGACTGGCTGTCGTCGTCGGAGTCAACGGGGATATTCTTCCTTTTTACCGGTCAGGGCGGCCGGGCCCACTGCAAAGTGACGTATCGACAGCTCTGCTTATGCCAGCCACTCTACTGTTCTGTGCACAAAAAAAGTGAGACCACGTCAAATATACTAGCATCCATTCTCTTCAAATTACTAGTACTAGAGAATCTGCTGATGATGCTGGATGCTCCTCTTTCTTCCGACAAATTACATTACTCATCATATTGTACTTTGACTATTACTAAATTGCTAACACAGCTCACATATATCCAGACTAAATGAAAAGGTAAGTTAATTAAAAATGATTTGAAAAAAGGACAACTATCAACAGTCTAGCTGCTCCATACCAAATGGAGAATTACAGATCTCCAAATGTGAAGATTAAAACAAGGAGGTTTGAGTATAAATTGCTTAATGCATACTCCTTCCGTAAAAAAAAAGACAACCTAGGATGATTGTCCAGATTCGCTATACTATACTGTATCACATTCCATTCTATGTTGTATTTTTTTTTAAAAAAGGAGGGAGTAGTGTCGATGAAGATTCTTTCACATACGTCGTAGGACATGTGCTTTTAATATCTAGGCCCACTAGGGTGGACCTCACGTGTTTGTGACCCACATTATGTTGAATTTACGTTAGAGGATCTATTTCCATACAATGTAATGTGATAGATTTTCTTTGAGCTTATATAGGTTTAAAATCAACACTCTAATTAAAACAAATGAGAGTAAAATATAATACTTAGAAAAGTTCTACCATGTATAATATTTTTGGGCAATCTCAGCTTGCCATCAGGGCGCTGCTTAATTAGCTTCCCCTCCATTTTTTGAAATAATTAAGTTTTCTTTTACTAATCTATTTTTGGCATAAGTTTTCTAAAAGGGTCAATAATTAGTCAAGTTTTCGGAGGGGCGGATGGTTTTTGGAAAATATTTATTTTTGTACGTTTTTCTTATCTTGTGCTGCACACAGCCAATGAGAGTAGGGGCAGCGGGGATGGACGACCACACCTTTAGAGAGTAGTACTAATGTCATGCCCTGTGTAAAATACGGATTGTTGATTTCATAGATTTTAGTTTTTTTCTATCTTTTTTTTCTGGTGATCAATTTTATATGGGTACAATGCGTTTTAATTTGGTGGTCTTTTAGGCAGTGTGGTTTCTTAAGCAAGGATAATAGTGGGTTATACTATAAACTTACGTGGAAAAGAGAGACAAAGAAAAGTGAGGGTGTTGGCTCCTATACAAGAGCTAGTTTTACACATGCTCCAAGATATTTACAATAAATTTATAGCGAGAGAAAGAGAAAGGAGAGAAAAAATAGGGCTAACCTTATAATTAACCTCTTGTACAAGTTAACTCTAACTTGAGCTTATAGCTAATAGTTAGATCTACTATTAAACTTGTTTTTATGTGGGGAGGAGGATAAATCCGTTTTTACATGGGGATACTATAAAAATTTGCACCGGTAAATAAATGATTGTTTCCGGCTATAATATACTGTGTGGTTCGCTCTTCATAAGCATTAGTGCTAGGCAACGACATACATGATTTTATATAAATCAGTACACTCTAGATATGTATATGAGGAGGACTATACTGAACGAATATATCAATATAGGGTCTAGATATATATTTTTTTGAAGGGATATAGGGTCTACATATATATGAAATTAAAACCTAAAACTCTCCTCTTTCGTATAAAGGAAAACGAAAATTAAAAAGCAGGACGCCAACCGTTAAGCAAGCCGGATCGATGGGACTTAAATCCAGCCCATGTTTGTCAACAGTGTTTGATCGACCCACCCAAGGCCTCGTTAATTTGATAATCGCGGAATAATGGGCTGGAATTTAATTAGGCCCACCAGGAAAACCCACTTCAAAATAGTATCGCTACCAGTGACTTCATTCATTTTCTTCTCTTACTGTAGCAGCAAAATCCCTTGGTAGCGTATTCACGATAATGAAGTGTGGTGGTAAAAGGATGATGGAATGGCCAACGTTTTCTATAATATAACCAAATATATGGAGTTCCCTTTCAACTGCATGAGTATGTTGGGTAAGTAGAACTATTTTCAAAAACCATTTTCGACGCCATCAACCCATCACCATTTTATTTTTAAGAAAAAATACGAATTACCCCCCCCCTCGAACTATCGCGGTCGTCCGAATTACCCCCTGAACCCGAAAACCGGACATTCTTCACCCCCAACTATACAAACCGGACGAATTACCCTGCCTCGACCCAATCCGCGGTGGTTTTGGTCTAGTGGCATACACGTGGCAGTCCAGTCAGCATTCTATTTATTTATAAAAATGTGGGACCCACCTGTCATACTCCTCCCACTCTTCCTCTCTCTCACGGGCGGCAGGCGGGGGACAGAGCAGCGCCACCCCTCCGCTCTCCCTCGCCGCCGCCTCGCCTCCTCCGCCGCCGCGCTCGCCTCGCCGCCGCCGCCACCCCTCCGCCCTGCCTCGCCGCCGCCTCGCCTCCTCCGCTGCCGCGCTCGTCTCGCCGCCGCCGCCGCCCCTCCGCCCTGCCTCGCCGCCGCCTCGCCTCCCCCGCTGCCGCGCTCGCCTCTGTCCCCCGCCTGCTGCCGTGTGAGAGAGGAAGAGTGAGAGAGATAAGAGGGAGAGTGGGAGTAGTATGATAGGTGGGTCCCACATTTTTTAATAAATAGAATGCTGATTGGACTGCCACGCGTACGCCACGTAGACCAAAACCACCGTGGATTGGGTCGAGGGGGGGTAATTCGTCCGGTTTGTATAGTTAGGGGTGAAGAATGTTCGGTTTTGTGGTTCAGGTGGTAATTCGGACGACCGCGATAGTTCGGGGAGATAATTCGTACTTTTTCCTTATTTTTATAAGCGATAAAAAAAATCCTACCTCTATAAAAATGCAGCATGTGGTCCTAAGGTCACAAACCACCTGTGTAAATTAATATTATAGAGATTTTTGCAAGTGTTTCATTAAAAGAAAACGCCTATGAAAACATGTTCATTTTTACAAGCGGGACCGCATGCAAAATTCATTTAGATGTATAAAATAAATCAATTGAGTCAGTCAAGGGTGGCCTCTTTCTCCCTCGTTCTCTCTTTCTCCATCACCTCACCCTCTCCCTTAGAGCTATCTCTTTGTCCATCAACTCACTCTCTCCCTCACCTCAGATCCTCCCTCCCTCACCTCAAATCCACGGCAGGTGCTTGGCAGCAGCTGTGAATGGGAGGGGCTGTAGTGCTCGGAGCAAGTGTTCCAATAAATTTGAGTATTTGAAATATTGGTTCCACCTTTCATATAGTATATGTTTATCCTTTACATGTTACAACACTCACACAAATATGTTGACAAAAGGTAATCGCCATCAATATTAAGTTATTAACTAGAAAGGAAATATTAATATACCTTTTTTATTGTGTAGAAATGTGTACCTATCATTTTGCTATAGGGAATATTCACCTTAATTTGATATTATATGTGGCTATCCATTTAGAGATTCGATAGATTTTTAATACTGAGAAGTTCAAGGGGTTATTTGTAAAATTAGGAGTAGGTGGAGTGGCATAGATACATTATACATACAAGTTACAACAAAGCCCTCCTCAGAAGGAAAAGACAAAAATAGTTACAACGTACAAGCCCACTACTTACATAAGTTGTTGACGGAGGTGATTACTATACAATATCAAGCTATCAAATTGTAAGATAATATATACCAACAGCTTAAAGTTGAGATAAGTTGACTAATTATCTCAAGGGAGATGTGGGACAAGGAGGAGCTTCTCCTTGAGGTGAATAGTTATCCCGAAAGTCTCTGTCATATCGATGCCTCCATTTGCTGCTTGATCTATTGGTAGCTTCCAATTGAAGCGATACACAAGGCTTGCTAGCATGACCTCGATGGCGGCGATCGCGAAGTTCATACCTGGGCATATCCTCCGACCAGTTCCGAATGGCAAGAAATTGAAATTATTTCCATTGTACCCAGCCATTGTGTTGCTAAGGAACCTCTCTGGCATGAACTCCTCGGCATTTTCCCAATAGCTAGGGTCCCTGGCAATAGCCCATGCATTGACGATGACACGAGTGCCTGAGGGTATAGTATAGCCCTCAACATTACAGTCAACCATGGAGACATGAGGCACAAGAAGTGGCGCTGCGGGGTGTAGTCGGAGTGTCTCCTTGATCACCGCCTTTAGGTAGGGCATCCTACCTAGCTGCTCCTCAGTAACGATTTCCTGCCCTTTTGGTACCACACCCCTCACCTCAGCCTGTAGCTTGGCCATCAGCTGGGGCTTCTGTATTAGCTCGGCCATGGCATACTCTAGCTCTATGTATGATGTATCTGTTCCAGCCTCGAACATGACAACCAAGTTTGCTTTGATGTTATCCTTAGTGAGGCCATACTCTTGTTGAATAGAGAGTAGAACATCGATGAAGTCACTCTCCTCATCATTGTTGTCGAGCATGGAGGATCTTCGCTTGCTAGCGTGGTCATCGATGAGTTGGTCAAGCAACTGATCCCATCTCCTCTTGACGTGATAGGCCTTGGCACAGAGCAACCTCCTGACAACAGGTAGCCTGGCCAAGCTAGGGAAGTAATCCTCAAGGTTGAAGCCACCAAGGAGCGACGAGTTGATCTCGATCAGCTCCTTGAATAGCTGGTTCCGACCTTCTTCGCGAAAAAACTTGCCAGACACAGCATGGCACACCATGTTGTTGGAGTAGCAGCTGAGCAGCTCAGTCAAGTCTATTGCCATATGTGTCGCCGCCTCCTCGACGATCTTGGCCATTACCAGCCGCACCTCCTGTTGCCGTGTCTGGCCATAGGAGTGGACCTTCTTGATGGTCAGGAGATTCATGGTGACGATCTTCTTTATTTGCCGCCAATAGTCACCATATGGTGAGAATGCCACATCTGTTGCGCCATACAAGAGGATGTCGGCTATAGTATTGTAGGGCCGTGACGCAAACACACGGTCATGAGTGCGTAGGATGGCCTGTGCTGTACGAGCCGACGAAACCACTAGGGTTGGCACCGCGCCGAGGTGGAGGAGCATCAGATCAGGACCATGCTTAGTTGCAAGGTCGCGGAGTGATTTGTGCGGGAGAGAGCTGATGAGGTGCATGTGGCCAATCACCGGAAGCCTTCCCGGCGGCGAGGGGACCCTGCTGAGCATCCCGCCGGACCTTGTTGCGTAGGCATAGCAACGGAAGATGATGAGCAGGAGGATAAGAGGGCACATCATGGCGAGCAGGAGATCAGAGCACGACATCGTCGGCATGGTGCTGGCCTCCTGTGGAGCATGCAGCGATGCTTGCTCATCATGCCTTAGGCCGTCTAGCATTTGTGCCATTGCTACGTTCTACGTATTAGTGGCCTAGCTTCCAAGGCAGAGCAAGCTCGCTAGAGCTAGCTACCTTCAAATTTGATGAATGGAATGAGTTGAGGAAGGCATTCCTTAATTGCTTCTTTTATAATGAGTTGAGCAAGCTCGCCATGCATGCATCATTACTGTGTTTATCTTTTATAATGCCATGCATTATTTACTCCTATGTTTAGAGGGAGAAGGCAGGCATCGACACATCATCCTCCATTAAATTTTAGTTCTGTTTAATTTGGAAGATATGATGTATCTATCGTTCTTATTCTCGTACTGGTGACACTGACATGGCATATATATTGATATTGGCATTGCGCGATCGACCAATCAATTACCATTCAACGGATGGTGCTAAACTAATAATTCTTGCATGCAGTTGATTACCACATGCACTATATATACGTACGTCCGGTAAAATGATTTTATGCTCAAGGCTCTAGCATTAGTGCTTAATAATGCAGAATTTAATATTATACTTCTGCATTCGTATGCTTATATAATAGTGCAATGAAATGAAAGAATTTGGCGAGACTCCGCTTCTGACAAGTGACACGCACTCAAGTACGTACGTTGCCAAATGTGATGCGCCGGTTAATTGTTGCGATTCGCCAACAATTAATATATTAATCTATCGGCTCATGAACAATTAAGCATTAATTATGGAATTGCTATATGTCATTTGAATGAAATTTGGGGATGAAATCTTAAAGATTTTGAACCATTGGATCCATGCCAAGATTCGTGCATCGGCATCTCTCCTCTAACTTCAGCGGGCTCCCCTTTTTCTTCGGCGCTGGCGACACCCCCAACTCCGACAGTGAGCATACGCGTTAGGGTTTGGGGTTGGGGTTAGGGTAGGGGGGGGTTTCCTCGGCGCTTAGAGGGATGGCCGTGGCCGGCGGAGGACCGGCAGTGGGCGGTGGAATCCAGCGGGTGGCGAGGCGGCGGCGGCACCGCCGAAGCTGTGGGGATGTAGGAGGGTGGTGGGCCGGCGTCGGCGGCGGGGGCAAAGCAAGCATGAGATTAGGAGGCGGCGGCCGGTGGTGGCGGATCCAGCGACGGGGAGCTGCCGGAGACGGGGAAGACGGCGGAGCGGGGGAATCTCGCTGTCACCTTCTTGAGAAGAAAGAGAGGGGGGGTGGGGGAGGGGGCCTCGCCGGCGTCGTTGACTCCTTCCGGCCAGCCGGCGAGGCGGGCGGCGGCGTGGTGGGGCGGTGGCGGCAGTGGATCGGGCGGTAGCGATGGTGGCGGTGGATCGGACGGAATGCTCGAGCAGAGGGGGGGGGACGGAAGAAGAAGATAGGGTTAAGTGTTTGCACGAATCTTAAAGCATATCCAATGGTCCAAAATTCGAATAATAGGAGGTGTGATTTTCTGTCACATGATATATATATACAGCCCCCTTAAATTTATATTGCTTCCTGAATCAGATAGATATACTTACAACTGCATCGCCGTCTACAACTGTGGGCGTCAAGGATGCCGCCGCCGGCTTCCCTGTCGTCGACTTCTCCCGCGCCTCCGCCCTCCCCGCCGCCTGCCAAGAGCCTAGAGAGAAGAGTGAGAGAGAGAGTGATAAGAGGAAGGGAGAGAAGAGGGGAAAGAAAGAGGAGGCTGACATGTGGGGCCCATGTAGGTCTTACGCTGACTCAGCAGTCACGTAGGATAAAACCGGGATCAAAACCGTCGAGGGACCTATTGTGACTAGTTTTGCATAATTAAGGGACCCCGCATATCTGGTTTTGTGGTTGGAGGACGATTTTGTATCCCGATGAAAAGTTGAGGGACCTTTGGTGTACTTTTTCCATTTGATAATCGCGGAATATGGGCAGGAATTTAATTAGGTCCACTAGGAAAACTCACTTCAAGGTAGTATCGCTACCACCTACTAGTGACTTCATTCATTTTCTTCACGATAATGAAGTGTGGTGGTAATAGGATGATGGAATGGCCAACGTTTTCTAGAATCTAACCAAATATATGGAGTTCCTTTTCAACAGCATGAGTATGTTGGGTAAGTAGAACTATTTTAAAAAATCATTTTCGACACCATCAACCCATCACCACTTTATTTTATAGGCAGTAAAAAAATCCTACCTATATAAAAATGCAGCATGTGGTCCTAAGGTTACAGACCACTTGTGAAAATTAATATTTCGATATTTTCACACGTGTTTCATTAAGAGAAAATGGCTATGAAAACATGTCTATTTTTACAAGCGTTCCTCCTAATAGGACCGCCTGCGAAAATCATATAAAATAAATCAATCGAATCAGTCAAGGGTGACCGGTTTCTCCCTCGTTCTCTCTTTCTCCTTCACCTCTCCCTCTCCCTTAGAGCTATCTCTTTACCCATCAACTCTCCCTTCCCTCTCCCTCACCTCAGATTCTCCTCCCCTCACCTCAAATCCACGGCGGTGCTTGGCAGCAGCGGTGAAGGGGAGGGGCTGTAGCGCTCAGTGCAAGTATTCCAATAAATTTGAGTATTTGAAATATTGGTTCCACCTTTCATATATATAGTATATGTTTATGCTTTACATGTTACAACACTCACACAAGTATGTACGTTGACAAAAGGTAAGCACCATACAATATTAAGTTATTAGCTAGAAAGGCAATATTAATCTACCCTTTTTTATTGTTTAGAAATGTGTACCTATCATTTTGCTATAGGGAATATTTCACCTTAATTTGACATTATATGTGGCTATCCATTTAGATCTGATTGATTTTTAATATTGAGAAGTTCAAGAGGTTATTTGCAAAATTATGAGTAGGTGGAGTGGTATAGATACATTATACATACAAGTTACAACAAAGCCCTCCTTAGAAGGAAAAGATAAAAATAGTTACATCGTACAAGCCCACTACTTACACAAGTTGTTGACAGAGGCGGTTACGATACAATATCAAGATATCAAATTGTAAGATAATATATATACTAGACTTAAGATCGAGATAAGTTGACTAATTATCTTGAGGGAGATGTGGGACAAGGAAGAGCTTTTCCTTGAGGTGAATAGTTGCCCCGAAAGTCTCTGTCATATCGATCCTTGAGGTGAATAGCTTCCAATCGAAGCGATACACAAGGCTTGCTAGCATGATCTCGATGGTGGTGATCGCGAAGTTTATACCTGGGCATATCCTTCGACCAGTCCTGAATGGCAAGAAATTGAAATTATTTCCATTGTAGTCAGCCATTGTGTTGCTAAGGAACCTCTCTGGCATGAACTCCTCGGCATTTTCCCAATAGCTAGGGTCCCTGGCAATAGCCCATGCATTGACGATGACACGAGTGCCTGAGGGTATAGTATAGCCCTCGACATTACAGTCAACCACGGAGACATGGGGCGCAAGAAGTGGCGCTGCAGGGTGTAGTCGGAGTGTCTCCTTGATCACCGCCTTTAGGTAGGGCATCCTACCTAGATGCTCCTCGGTAACGATGTCCTGCCCTTTTGATACCACACCCCTCACCTCAGCCTGTAGCTTGGCTATCATCTGGGGCTTCTACATTAGCTCTGCCATGGAATACTCTAGCTCTATGAATGATGTATCTGTTCCAGCCTCGAACATGATAGCCAAGTTTGCTTTGATGTTATCCTTAGTGAGGCCATACTCTTGTTGAATAGAGAGTAGAACATCGATGAAATCACTCTCCACATCATTATTGTCAAGCAAGGAGGATCTATGCTTGCTAGAGTGGTCATCAATGAGTTTGTCAAGCAACTGGTCCCATCTCTTCTTGACATCATAGGCCTTGGCATAGAGCAGTCTCCTGACAGGTAGCCTTGCCAAGCTAGGGAAGTAATCCTCAATGTTGAAGCCACCAAGGAGCGACGAGTTGATCTAGATCAGCTCCTTGAATAGTTGGTTCCGGCCTTCTTCGCAAAAAAACATGCCAGACACAGCATGGCACACCATGTTGTTGGAGTAGCAGCTGAGCAGCTCAGTCAAGTCTATTGCCATATGTGTCGCCGCCTCCTCGACGATCTTGGCCATTACCAGACGCACCTCCTGTTGCCGTGTCTGGCTATAGGAGCGGATCTTCTTGATGGTCAAGAGATTCGTTGTGACAATCTTCTTTATTTGCCGCCAATAGTCACCATACGGTGAGAATGCGACATCTGTTGCACCCTAAAAAAGGATGTCGGTTATAGCAGATTGCTACCGTGACGCGAACACACGATCGTGCGTGCGCAAGATGACCTGCGCCATACGAGAGGATGATACCACTAGGGTCGGCACCGTGCCAAGGTGGAGGAGCATCAGGTCAGTCGCAAGGTCGCGGAGTGACATGTGTGGGAAAAAACCGATGAGGTGCATGTGCCCGATAAGTGGAAGCCTACCCGGCGGCGAGGGGAGCTTGTCGAGCATCCCGCCGGACCTTGTTGCATAGGCATAGCAACGGAAGAGGAGTAGGAGGATAAGAGGGCACAAGATGGGGAGCAGGAGAGAGTATGACATCCTTGTCATGGTGCTCATCAGGCTGTCTTGGAACAATAATAATGCTCCTAGCATTTGGGCCATTGCTGCTACGTTCTACTACGTATCAGTGGCCTAGCTAGCTTCCAAGACAGAGCAAGCTAGCTAGCTCGCTAGAGCTAATTAAGCTACCTTCAACTTTGATGAATGAATGAGTGAGTTGAGTAGGGAAGGTCCTTGCTTCTTTTATAACGCGCGCCGTGCATCGATCATTACTGCATCGAGATACTTTTGTTTGGAAGATCGATACTCCTATATACGATTACACTGGCATGCATGGCATATTGATCTTCGACATTGCGCGATCGACCAATCATTTACCATTCAACGGATGGTGTGCTAAACTAATAATTCTTGCACGCGGTCGATTACCACATAAATTAGTAATTTTGTTTGGAAGATACGACGACACTAACATAGCATATTGATATTTGACATTGCGCGATCCACCAATCAATTACCATTAAACGGATGGTGCTAATAAACTAATAATTCTTGCATGCAGTTGATTACCCCACATGCTCTGTTAAAGAAATAATGACCGACGTCCTCCTCTGTTAAAGTATGGTTTTGTTTGGAAGATACAATGTAC